CATCGACCAGAAGTGCCAAAGAGAATCCCAACCAAGATGTTTGATGTTCTGCACAATTTCCAATTGCGTTGTGGGGAATGCTGACATTAGGTAAGTTTACGATTGCGTCTAGATGCTTGAATCGAAACTGTACCGGGTTGCTATCTGCATTCAAATTGGATTCTGTCAGCTGAGATGGTACAGCACCAAGCAACAACTTATTCCAGGTAGCCGGGAGCTAGCATACATGAGGTTGCCAATGGCTTCCCTGCATCTGGTATCGTAAAGGCCAAGATCTAAGCCATGTTAGCGTCGAATAAGAAAAAAATGAAAAGGGGTATGTAATCTTCAACAACGGCGCCGTACATTTGAATCCCCAAATATCGGGCGTATCCAGTTACTCGAAACAAAGCCATCTATAACGCCACCAACTGGGTAAATGGTTGAATGCGGGGAAAGCAAAAGTCTCAGTGAGATATCTCTTACCCAGCTGCAAGGTACGGTTCAATCGTGTCGGAGTTACAGTTGCCAGCGGCACTTCCTAGGGTGTCTGAATATATCGTAGACCATCGAGAGTACCCGGGGTAGTCGGTTTCTTAACTATATGTATTGGCTAAGAACAAAAGGTGGATTCTGGGGAGCGATGGAATCGAAAAAATACAGAAGGTTGCAATTGAGGTTGTGTTAATAGGGCTAGGTTTAAACATACCACGCTGTATCCTGCCACGCGTCCTCACACAATCTCACTCGACAGCCAAGACAAGGGCTGAGATTAAACAAAATTCCATATACATCGAGGAAATAGGCGCGCATCCACAACCAGGGGTGCTCCCGTAGGTTACCACTTTATTCTATCACAAAGACAAAGTTGCATATATTCTCCATACCTACATGTATATGTATGTTTAAGGAGGCTCGGGCTCATCGTTGAGGCCCGGGTCGGGGGCCTTTCTCAAGATCTCGTTGGTCCAGGCCTCCCGATCGGCTCTCAAGACTCAGGCAGGGCCGGCTCATTTCCGTCCTTAGGCCCTTGTCTCCTATAACCCATGCACGAGTAGAAAAGCACGAGTATAATCCAGGTAAAATCGTCATCCTAGATGGATATATATATAGTGATTCCTTGAGGTTTGATACAATTTTTGGAAGGGTTTGGGAATCATAATTCTTGCAATCCTACCTTTTCTCTATGGTCTTTGGTTGCCCCAGCTTTCGCAGAATGTTTTGCCATGATGGTACGAGGTCACTCATTCAAACACTCTCCTCATTCGGACGGAAGTATATTACCCGAATTGTGTCCGATTTCTGATTGAGATTTGGTAAAAAGGTTGCTTCGCAACGGACTTCACCTTGGTACATAGTGCCTTGTCTGGTTTCACGATATATTCGCCCACTTTCTGGATTCGGATCAGACAGGATAGGAATCCGGCAAGTAGAAGCCAGTTACAACGTAGGTTTTCTTGTCTTTATTTGACTGTCCGGATGAGAGCGGTGTCTGAGTAGGTTGTGGTGAAGGTGTCTAACCATACGAAAACCCCAACTGTTTGGTCCAATTGCCCAAGAAATCTAAACTATATAGTCTTCCGCATCGTCACCAGGAACGTTTTCTATTGGTTACTTACTATTTCTAATATTGATTGCATATCATTACAAAAGTAGACAAAGAACTACTCCCGAGATGGAAGGGAACTGGCATTAAAGGGCGTGTAGCTATTGCAATGGATAGATATAAAAGAACAAACACTGACAGCACTACAGCTATATTTTTATATATCAAGGTCGAATTTCCCTGATATCATTTTATCATGAAACACACGTACATACTAAAGCTACTCATTGAATGACTTAAAGTGCATACTAGAGCTAATAAATCACAGATTACCTATAAGGAGAGATGGAAATGAGGTTTAGTGCGTGCCTGTACGTTTGGATGACCCAATAATCCAGAATGACAGCAATAATCTAAGAAATTACTATCGCAGCACCGCCCGCACCTTCATTTCCTCACTACATTTGGGCGGCCGGAGGCCGCACTCCGTTGTATATTAGATAGCTATAGTAATTTTGAATAATTCCAAGTATTGCCGCAGCGACGTTCCAAGAGAAGATAAAATATATCGGAAAAGGCCTAAAATAACACACTTTCTGGTACACTTGATGTAGAGTAACACATAATGCAAAACGACACTTCTACGATCCAAAATGACACAGTTTAAAATGAAATAAAGTAGTGTTACTATACTAGTACTGTACTAATCCCACCCTATTTTTTCGTACTGTAGTAGCAACGTCGCTTAGAATATGTGTCACATAGAAGTGGTGATAGTTGTGACCCAAGCACGAATATTGTTCATGGGGTATCACTCGCTATGTGACCCGCCACGATAGCCTAGGTCCTAAACTTCTTAGCGCGGTGGCCATATATTGATAGGTACTTTACTGATAAAATAGCCCTCGTCATCGGAAAAGCGACCATGCCTGCCGTTCTCTCGTCGCGATCGAGTAGCTTTCGGTTCTTTAGAAATATTAGCTCCAGGTTTGACTGGGCTTGTGCCAGAGGATTCTGAAGTCGTTTTTTAGGCAGCTTCTAGACAAGCATAGATGTGATATTCAGAGATCCGGATTCATGCGCTATGCCTTTCTTGAAAACTTTGTGAACTTGGCTATATCGCATTAACTGTTTTCCTGAGAAAGGTCGATCGATGTACTACACACACGTCAGGATTGCGTTTAAGAACTAGTCCATCTGTCCGTGTCCGGTTTCAAGATGATGATTTCTAAACGTCCAGCTGCGAGGAGGAGTTAGTAATGCTAGAAAGGGAAAAGGAGAGGCCACAAACGGTGACTTGGGGGCGAAAATAGTTCACAGATCAGTGAAGTTCGCCCGAGGTAAAAGGCGTCTTATGAGGCAAGGCCAACTATCGTCAATACATGCGAAGGGACACAAATCGTAGGATAGGGAATAATGCACATATCTCGGCTTTGATGCCATCTTACTTGTCTGCTGAGCAGGAGTGTTCGGTCGTCGTTACCAGGCTGTCTAATTTTAGCACCTAAACCTAACCCTTGGTTTAACATGCACCTACATGTAGCTACATGTAACTTAGTACAATTTTCGTCTCATCCAACCGAACAGCCAAACGATATGAATTCATGCTTCGAGAGACTCACATGTGGGTTCTATATTAAAGTTAGAAAATCTTCTATGAATTTATAAAGTTATTTAGTATTTTCGGCACTTTCAAAGGTCAATACAGCTTCTAGGGCTTGAGATTCACATGATTATGAAGTAGGATATTTTCCATTTTCTGATTATATATAATCAATCACGTGGGAGCTAGATGTCGACCCAGGAACACTCTCCCCTTGGTGAAGTCATAAAACACTGCTAATTATAGAAATGTTTGTCATCTATATAATTGCTTTCACCTATCAAAGCTACTTTTAGATGCTGGATGCTTACCCGGGGCCCGTATAAGTATCTATCATCCCGAGACACTTTGTCCTTGTACGTATCTACGTTCAGTTACTTGGTTAAACGCATCGATCCGATCCGATCCCTTCCACTGCCCTCGAAGTTTTTTTGAAGTTTCACCGAGAGGTCTAGGGAGCCCGGGAGATCTTCTGAGTGGATATAAAGCATCCCGGCGAGCGGTACACACTCAGTTTTTCCATGCATATGGGCTTGAAAAGCCTGCGGATGTCGGGATAGGAATTGATTTAAGGGGATAAATGGAGGGCCGGGGTTGAAGAACTATTGAGGTTTGAAAGTTCCGCTCGAATTCGAATAAAACGCTGACTTCTCCGTGGATATTTGATGAAAGCTTGTTCAATACGCCTCCAAAAAGAGTTAAAATCTCGAGGCCTGTGTATTCTCCGAGTCGTTATTGCCGACTGGATTCACGAAGCGCTTTGAGAAACTGTATCCCTTTGCGATCGTTCGTTCCCGTAAAAATTGGGCATTAGGCTCACGACTAACGTTGCCCACGAGGCATTGACGCTCGAGGCCTAGAGAGAGTTCAAGGCATGGGGTTCGACGAAGCGAGCATGCTCAAGGCAAACCCTTTTACTCGCCTCGAGCTGCTCGAATTTTAGGTAATCATAGTATTAGTGGCATGTATCCAGTGGGATTGAGGTTTCCGAATCGATATTGATAGCAAAATTAGAAGTATTCCCGGATTATCCAGTGCAGTTCGTCAATATTCAACAGCAAAGTATAATCTAATATGTCTATGTATAGTAATTATCTGCCTCGAGGTGGTTCGAGAATCTCGAGGCATCATCTCTGCACGAGCAAGAAAAGTTATGAACTATATGTACGAGAGGCATTTGTCTCTGCTCGCCTCGAGTAGCCTCATGGACCACAATACCCACGGCGGCGCGGTAATATTTAGGAATCTAGCTACATACCTAGGCCTACGGAGTGTGGAGACACCAGAATAGGCAGAGGACGGGTCACAGAAGGTGACTTCACAGCAAAAAGAGGTTCACGGAATGAGGGTTAGGTTTACTACTGAGTAAAACGCAATCTGGTCTCCTGGTCGTGAAGACACACGAAGGGATATAGATCCTGAGAGCGGAATAGTTGGGACACCAATACACGATTTTAGGGAATCTTTTTTGTGGGCGTGCACCAAGCGCTTTTGTTCGAGACGTACACTGGATCTCAAGTCGATGTTTCTGGATATCTGGTCGGTATAATGTTTCCACGGTTATACGGAAAGAAGGGAATATTCATTGGAGAGAATGGAGGTGGCCACTTCGCCGCTTATGAAAATACTACTTCTCATTTCCTTCAAACAAACACGTTTGCTTTTTGAAATCCTTTGGTGGCGGTATATTATCTGGCTCTTAGTCGATTCGGAAAGACCAACATAATCCATATATTCCAGCGTATAAAGAACCTTAAATCCTCTACGAAGATTCCTTTCACCCCACTCTTCATCTCGAAATTCCCCTTCTCCATCACTCGTTTTTGTATCTCACAATAGTCTGGGAAAGGAAAAAAAAAAAAGAAAGTCAAGATGATTGCCAAAATTCTTCCTGTCCTCCTCGCCGCGGCTGGTATTAGTGCTGTCAATGGTCGTGCCATCGCTTCTCCCCAGGGAGTGACTGATTTACTCACTCCCTCCACTGCTGTTCCCGGAAACTGTGTGTTGTCTTCTCCTAACACTTATGGGCTCAGCATTGCTCCCGCAGATAGTATGCCCCCCCCCCCCCCCTTTCTCCCCAATACGAGCATGGTTTATTCAAAGAGGGTATGAAGATTATGCGCTAATATTTGTTTAATACTAGATGCTGCTATCAGAAGAAGGCAGGCTGTCACTCAAATTGCAGATGGTAAGTCCAACTCCACGAACTTTAGTAAAATCCACTGACATCGAGAAGGCCAGGTCCAGGCTCCTGGTGGCACCGGAGCAGCTGGATCATCTGCTGCCGGTTCCGCTGCTGGTACTGCTGCTGGAGCTGGCCCTGGTGCTGGCTCCGCCGCCGGTGCTGCTGGCTCTGCCGGGTCTCCTGGAGATGAAGTATCTGCAACTCCAGAAGAAGCTGCAAATGCTGGCGCTGCCGCCGCCGCTGCTGGTGCCGCAGGCGTTCCTCCTTCCGTAGTTGCAGAAAATACTGCTGCTAACGTTGCGAATGGCGTTGTACCACAAACTTCTGAGCAATTTGGAGCTGGCAGTGGTGCTGGTTCCGCTACTGGTGCTGCTGGTGAAGCTGGTCCTGGTGCTGGTCCTGGTGCTGGTCCTGGTGCTGGTCCTGGTGCTGGTACTGGTGCTGGCTCTGCCGGGTCTCCTGGAGACGAAGTATCTGCGACTCCAGAAGAAGCTGCAAATGCTGGTTCTGCCGCTGCCGCAGCTGGTGCCGCAGGCGTCCCTCCCTCTGTGGTTGCAGAAAATGCTGCTGCCAACGTTGCGAATGGCGTTGTCCCACAAACTCCTGAACAATATGTGGCTGGACCTGGAGCTGGAGCTGGCCCTGGCCCTGGAGCCGAAGCTGGAGCTGGAGCTGGTAATGGCGTTAGTTCCTCTGGAGTTGCTACTCAATTTGCTGATGGACAAATCCAAGTATCCGAAGCAGGACCTCCTCCCATCGGCCCCCCCACAAACCAGGTGACCCAGATCCAGGATGGCCAAATTCAGGCTCCAGGCATTGGACCTGAGGCATCTACTGGGGCCGCAGGCTCTTCCGCTGCTGGAGTAGCCCCTGGAGCAGCCCCTGGATCTGCTGGATCCCCTGGCGCTGAGGACTCTGGCACCGTCTCATCACCTACCCCCGAAGGTGCTTCCGCAACTCCTGGCGAGGCTGCAAATGCGGCAGGTTCTGCTGCTGAGGCTGGAGCCGCAGGTGTTCCTCCAGCCCAGGTAGGCCAAGAAGCTGCTGATTTGACTGCTAATGGGCAGGTCCCACAGACGCCAGGTTCATTTGGCGCCGGCGCCGTCGGTGACGCCGGTGCCGCTGGCTCAGGTGCTGGCTCAGGTGCTGGTGCCGGTGCTGCCGGTGCTGCTGGCTCTGATGCTGGTTCCGCCGCTGGTGCTACCGGTGCTGGAGGCTCCGATACTGGAGCTGGTGCCGGTGCTGGTGCTGCCGCTGGTGGTGCCGGCTCTGGTGCCGGTGCTGCTGGTGCCACCCCAGTAACCCAGATTGCCGACGGACAGATCCAAGCTCGCCAGAATGGAGATCTCTTGGGAGTCACCCTCAATAACGGTGTCCTTACTGATGCCAGTGGACGCACTGGTTATATCGCCGATAACCGCCAGCTTCAATTCGATAGCCCACCCCAGACAGGAGCCGTTATTACTGGTGGGTTCAATATTTGTGATGACAATACTCTTGGTTTAGGAGGAAACAATGTCTTCTATGCTTGCGGAAGCTCTGACTGTAAGTCGTGCTCTAATCCTCTGGTCCGCTGAGGGCATTGGCATAACGCTGACACAAATTGTATAATAGTCTCAAACCTCTATGACACAGAAATCTACCCAGACAACTGCAACCCCGTAAACCTATTGCTTAACTAGTAAGCGATCAAATAGGATAGTATTCGGTACTATAGGAGCGGAGGATGAATTATTAAAGCCGTTGGTTTAAAAAAAATTGGATATGCACCGAAGTGTGCTTATGATGAATTAAGCTGTTATGGGGAAACTGTGTAAATAAGTTAGAAATAAAATTTCCTTCTGTTATCAAGTTTCTCCACCCTCTGTTTTGCTAATCTTGTAGTTAGATACCGATTACCCAACGCTACTAATGTAGAGTCTTTCGTAGAGGTTTCAACATTTCATTTAGTTATGACTGCATGGAGACCGAGGAATGATGCCGAGACGTACTAAAGTAGACATTATAATATTATGCATGGACTGAGGACTATGATTGTTTGGAAAGATGTTAGTTTGGCTTGGCATAATGACGAACCTGTTTAGATAATTTGGTTTGAGTTAAATTGAAATTGACGAAAGGAAGAGGAAGTGGGGATAAGTACATGTCAGTATTTACCTACGTATTAGTATAACTAGGTAATTATTGGTGTATGTATGGGTATAACCCTCAGGTAACGTTATAGGAAAGCTGGTGTGTTTTTGTAACGGTGAAAAGATACATGTACTCTAAGCTTATGGATACGTAAATAGCACCGTACTACTATTTGCAGTTTGTATCGATGTAGATTTTTTTACCATGGTTTGTTTACCACTCATTTATTAAAAATTTGAGCGGAGACGTACTGTACTTTGCCGCCACTATATACACACAAACAAACAAATAAAAAAAGATAATGGGCCTGCTAAGGGTGAATACAGATATATGCGACCATTGATCCTCCAGGGATGGATGACCTGACCTAGTTAGTATACTCGAGCACTTCGATTTCCTGATAATACAATTGGCTTTTTGAAAAAAAAAAACGCCGTGTGTGTGTGAGACCACCTCTACCTCGTTATGATAATTAGCCAAGACGGTTCAACCAGTTCAAGCAGAGGGTGGGGAGATAGCTACCTTAAACATACACAGCTCTCTTCCACAGCCACCCCTCGAAATCATCATGGTCAGACCTAGCCCTATCCGACAGCTTCGACTCCCACTTCTTCGACACCCCTGCCAACCTGTGCGTCTCTGGCTTATCCACAAACGCCTGTCTCTCCTTCAGCCCCGGCGCGTCCTCACCCTCGCAGCATATCACCTCCTCAATATGCTTCCTCGCAAACACGCTCGCCCGCGCCATATCTCCGTTCGAAACACAGATCTGAAAGGCATCGTAGTATGCTCTTGCTACCCGCATGTCCTGTATTCCCTCGTCCTCTAGGTGCTCGATGATGGTCCTGCACGCGCCAAGAGCCCTGGGTGCGTTGAGTACTAGCAGCTCGCCGGTGCCAATGATGCGGTCGAGCTCCTCGATCTCGGCCCTGCGTTGGTCGCTCTCGCGGGAGTCCTCTTCGGGAAGGACGCAGATCATGCAGTGGCACTCGAAGCCAAACATCTTTAGGAGCTCATCCTGGCGGCTGGCTCTGTTTGCGTGTGATGATTGCGAGGACTGGTAGCATATAGTTATTTCCTCGCCTGGGTCGATATCTCTGATAGCATGGACAGACTCCGTCCTCGTATCGCTGTTCCACGAATGGTTCGCGTTAGGGGAGCAGCTGTGGTTGAGACGCGCACATGTGAGGAAGAGGCCAAGCTCCGGGGATTCCGGGCCGAAGGGGAGGGAGTTTGTTCTGACGATGCCGTAGAAGGGGGATGCCTGTCTGATGAAAGCGTTGTGGAGGCCGAGGAAGCCGCGTTGCTGGTCCTTGGGGAGCTTTTTGAGGATTGAGGTCACGTAGGCGACGATGTCGGTTAGGGAGGTCTGGGCGAAGTTTGAAATGCTGAAGAGGGGGGCTTCCGAGATGATGCGGGTGCCGCGAGGGATGTAGGTTCGTGCTACTAGGCCTTTGCCGCAGCCAGGGACGACCATAACATCGAAAAGCTCTTTTGCCATGTTTGTGTGTTGGGTTTTTTTTTTTTTCAGAGTATTGGTGTTGGGATTGATGTATTGTATGTGTTATAGAGCTGTATGGGAGCGGAATGGTAGCAGAAGAGCGTCCTGGAGTACAGAAAGAAGGAAGAAGGGGAAAGGAGGAGGAGGGAAGGGTCCAGCTCGGGGTACCTACGATATGTATTTAACGCCCCGGTGATCTTAGCTCATAGAGAGCACGCGCTCAAGCACAGACGCCCCGCATTCGAAACGATGAGGTGAAAAAAGCACCGTGTGTAAGCATACATCTGTTGTCATTAATTCATTGGAGGATCGTCGATTTTCTACTCTCTGCTGTTGATGTGCAGAATGCGGTGGCATCCGCTCTGTTGTCATTGGTCCCTTGATGGAATTTTCCCTTGCTTCAAGTCTCCCAAGTTGGTATTCACAGCGGCATTGCGCGGCTAAGAATAAATCCCCACTGCTAAGCGAGGGGATTCTAGAACATTTGAGAGATGGGTGTCTTTGTAGACATGAAGCATTGAGTACTCCAAGAGCACCCAGACAATACTCCTTTAACGGCAGACATTCAGCGTCGGTGTCGGAGAGAGAGAGACAAAAGGCATTATCCAATAATCAAAGTAATGACAGCACCTCCCCCTCTCCCCTCAATGATGATTACGACGATGATCCCAACGCCTCATCTCCGCCAATTGCTGGACTTCTGGCGCCAAAGGGCTGATCTCCGTGCCAGCATGCCAACTGTTCACGAGGTTAGCACGCCAAGGCCTGTATAGTAGGGCTAGGGTTTATGCACATACAGGGACTAGCCTGTAGTGCAATGGACGATTCGAGATCAATTTACAACGGCACAAGTCCAGGTAGGCGAATTTATAAATTAAGAGCTTCGGTCCCGGAGAATAATAATTAAGCATCAGCACGTATATTAACCGCACCACACATATTCCGGTAGAGTGGAGTAGATCACCTACCTGCTTGCATAATATGTGGATGTGTATGTTCGATAAATAACGCCATTTCAAAACAGATCGGTAGTGAATCTGTGGAGAACTTTCCACAGGCGCATATGTACCCCAAATAGCAGCCATTAATTCCTGAGATTTCTCCGATCAATAACCAGATCTTGCCAGGAATCCAAGATTCCGACCGGATCACACCCCTGCAAAAATGTAGGTATTCATACCAGGCAGTTCCTACCCTCAACCATAATTGGCTAGTGCAATTGTACCGGTTGTGATCCGAAAGAAGATACATGTAGGTATACCCGGCGACACCTCTGGTAGCTGGAGGAGCTGGAGGGAGGACCAGAGCTCAGCCATTCCCGCCAGGTAGAGACTACACAAGACGGAGGATGAAGGTCAGTACGTGTAAGTATCTCAAATGGACGGAGATAGGACTCAACGAGATCGAGATTGTATGTACTCCGGACCTCGAAACAAAACTTTACGTATGCCGGAGTACCTCAGCGGGGGAACCAGGTGGTGTTCCCAGCCCAGTACGGTAAAGAGGGTGCATATGGTTACAGGTACTTACTTGTAAGTAGGTGATGAATCGACTAATTGGATAATCCTCTGTATGTGGTTTACTCCACGTGGTGTGATCCTCCGTAGAGAAGATCTGGCTCGTGTCCGCAAACACCTGTCATCCAGCAGCGAGCTACTCATATATGCCCGCCAACAACGGGACAGCTAACCAACGGAACCCGCCGGGGACACCACCGAAACTTTATCCCATCGTCCGTCAGTGAAATGCTGACCTCCAGAAAAAAGCAAGTTTTTGTTGCTTTACTAACAGATCTTGTTATCTCTCTCATCAATAATAGATCTCCCATACAAATTTAATTCCTCGATTATAGGGTGGTCAGCATTGACAGACCATGGATAGCGGTGCTTAAACGGGCAGCACGGTAGATAAAGCAGGACCCGAGATCCGAGATCGATGTTCCCCGAACTGCCATTGCGCCCGCTAGATAGCTGGTCTAGGCTTCGTGTAAAGAGCTCCCTAAAATGCTGCCAACTTTAAGACAGCTGATCTTGCCAAAAGAAGAGCTATATATAATTGTGTATATCTACATGTACATGTAGTCTGTCTAAAATTGGCGAGTGAATTGGCAGAGGTTGGAGGCATTAGCATATGAACGGGTAGGTAGCCCCTTGAAATTGGCCTATTTATCATGATCTTCATTATGTGTTGACTGCGGCCATAAATGATCCATTCTTTGATCATTCGACGGCTCTATAGATCGAAGAATATATCTCGAAGATTCTCGAAGAACCTTTCCAATACGCTTAATTTCTCCCAATCCCTCAATGGCCCCGAACACATCGCTTTCTTCAGTTTGTACCTCATCCGCACATTTAGTTTCACTTATCCCATCATAGATAAAAGGTGGTCATATATAAATGTAGCCAAACTCCCGCAATGCGAAGTCTCCTCTACATACCACCTCACTATCTATTGTATGCTTGTAGTTCAAGACTTTTTTGTTAAGCGTTGTTACTTCCAAGCGGGAATTATAGAGCAGAGCAGGAGAATACCTTCACTATCCGCCCGCCTCTCTGGGTTGGTCCTTCAGCTGCTAATCTGGTGCTAGATGTACATGTCTCAAGTCTCTCTCTCTTCACAGATTCGACCGCCACTTACCCCGCCGTCCAGCCCTCCACAGTTTGAGAGTATTCATTACAGACAAAGGGGTACTTGCTGAAGGATGGCCAGAATGAACACTGCACTCGATGCCGTGATATAAGATAACCCACAAGTACCGTGTAGAGCTCACTCCTGCACATGGTACTGGCCCTGAGCTCTAGCTCGAGCCTTCATGTATCCTTGTATGCCAATCGTAGGTCTCAACTACATAGTTCAAATGCTCTGAGAACCGGCCTCCGAAGCCTCTGACCTCAAGTAGTTATACTTCTCTCACTCGCATTTCCATACCTTCAAACACCCACCTCAACCCGAGCATCAAATTCGTAAAGCCCGACTGGTCGTCCAATCTGGCCCAAAATCTGACTTATCCGATGGATGGCCTTTTGCGGTAATCTTAAGGAGATACCGCGGAAGGAGCCCAAAATAGCACCGACCCAAGGTTGCTCACTGATATAGAACCGGATTTTGCCAGCCCATATGTAAACCACTGCGGGAACTCTACTATAGAATCCATGGATAGTTCTGTAAGACGTCATTATCTATTTGTTTGTGTTTAGAAGAGGGTATTGGAGGTCCGGCCCTCGTGGTTCAGACTGCTGTGCTATGTAGCCGATACTATCCCTTTCGTTTAGTTCTTTTACTTTTAGATTAGTTTTGCTTCCTCCCCCAACGAGAACCGGTTCGTGCCATTGGAGACATTCGTTGTCATATGAAGCCACAGGCCATCCCTCAACCCAACGATGCTGTAGGTCATATCAGAGCCTATCACTCCTGCAAGCCCCCAGACTAATACCCCACCACACAGGAAGACTCGGGCATGGCGGGAACCAAGCCCTGTCTCTGGAAGTTCCGAAAGGGTCAGAGCTTGCAAGATAGCGCAGCGTTCCCAATGGGGCAACTGGTACAGCCAAATAGCCAAACCCGTCCCTGCACCGCACAAGTCCTTCGGGCAAGTCAGTTCTCCTTGCCGACTACGGCAACATTACAAACGTGAACTAGAAGCAACTACACAGTTAAAGTAAGTTGTCTCCATGGTGTAGACAATGCCCCGTGTTGTAACGACGTGGTAGATGTATACGTACACCACCTGCGGGTCACACTGACGCATCTGTTCGCTGCCGTGTAGTAGCCTTGCGGTTGAATCTCGATTGACGGAATGCTCAGGCCTCAAGGCTGTTCTCCCAGTCCTCTTCTTCAGCTCTTTCCTTGTTTCTTGCCCCTTGTTATCACCCAAAACCTCCGCCCACCGCCCCCCATCCCGCTGATTTTATAGTTCCTTGGCAACTTGGCAAAACCAGCGAGTGATACTCCGTGATTCCATGGCCTCTTTTTTTTTTTTTTTTTTTTTTTTTGTTTAATTCATTAATTGTGATTCCATGGCCTTGCGCTCCCAGCTGGTAGCTGCCCCGTCAGAAGCAGTGCGTAAGGTTATGCCCCCCTTTGGAACCCTCACGCCACCCCGCTAAAACCAAGCCAGAAATTAGGGCACACCAGCAGCAGATCAAGAAAAAAACACCCCCGAAGCCCACGAACAGTCCAAAAGTAACACCCGGAAAACCGCATCCAAGACGCCAAACAAAACCGTGCAAAGGGTAAACACGAATAATTGCGCGCCGGCCCAGAATCTTCACCTCTGCGCACTCCCATCATCATAAGTATCTCAGAGGCTCCACGCGCCGAAGAATCAACCTCGCACGCAACAGAACCAGATTCAGCAGCGGGCTAGGTTTGAGAGAGCGCTCTATAGGCTCTGAGTTGATATACGGCGGCGGTGGCCCCAAGGACATCGAGGTGGTGCATGATGGGAGCCGGGTACGTCCGCTGCTAGTGGCCTCTTGTTTGTCTTTGGGTACTGTACAGGAAGAGTGTCGCGTTGGACGGCGGGAGGTGGCAGTGGTGGTGGGGTGGGTAGGAGAGAGGGATTGAACGGTACATGTAGTTACACTAAAGGGATGTCAAACTGTTCCGAGTAGTGCCGCTGGGGGTTCTCATTGAAGGTTAGGGGTGAATAGTGGGGAGACAAATACGTGTGATGAGCGAGAAGCTAAGATACATGTAGTCCAAGCTGTGATCCCGGGGCCAGAGATCTGATTGATATCACACCAACCAACAAGGAGTCGAGGGCTCATCCAATAAGCTCCAGAAAAACGGCAATAAATTTACAAAAAGTCATGCTGAGGTGTATATTTTTCACGGGGCTCAATTCCGGTATATTACATGTATTTATACAACACAGCTACACTCCCGCCCCTGAGATTGAACCCATGACCTACTAAATGACCATGGGGACTCAACGTACCCACTCGGTGTTCCTCCATGACGAGCTGTCTACTCCTAGACCACACTCACCCGCACAGTTTTCAGCTGCCCGGAAGTAACACTTAAGGGGAGACGAAGGTAAAGCGAGCTAGAGGGTACACCTAACCCCGCTATGAAATCTATATCATAACCCTCACCAGCCCCTTGTAGTCAAAAGAAAGGCTAAGATGCTAGCTTGGACCAAGGTTTTTGTCAAATGCAGCTGATGTGACGGACCCCTCTATTCGTACCAAACACCTCTCTGCTGGTATCCGCATCCGGCCACGGCGGGGGCAACGGGGTGGAAAGTGAAGCTCGGCTGTCCCAGCGCTCGTCATTGACCGGTGGAGTGTTTTCGCTAGTATTGTGTGCGTTTTGCTGTTTTTGTTTGAAGATCTAAACTTCAGCTCCGCACACTCGCTCGCTCATACTCTGTGGGACGTATGAGCTCCGATATCTCTTACAGCCACCGAGAGATCAAATTGGACCAATAATGCTATTAATGTGTCTTGCCCATATGATGTGTAGGCTAGAAAGGCCGAAAGGTTATTAAACAACAAAAACCTTTACCTGAAAACGAGCTGTCCGTGTAGGCCCCAGAGCCCCTTCAAGTTAAAGCGAGCCCTATACAAAGAGTAGCTATCTCGCCAGCGGGGTTCTATGGCTAGTAATTCCCGGGCTCTCAAACTTGGACTTTCGGCGGAGACATGATGCCAGGGTTAGGGGAATGACAGCTAAACCCTAACCCTCGCCCGTCAGCTTTAAGGGTTCCAGAACCATACAAGTTTGCACTATTTTCAGCCCCATGTGAAACTATCGGATACAGGAAGAGTTAAAAGGTCATGCCAACCTGCAGGCGGAAATTGAAAGGTCACCGTGAAATTTACTAATTGTCGGGTTCGCAAGACGGAGCTGCAGCAAAATTACTGACGGACAAGGAAAATTGCTTGTTCAGTGTTAAGCTTCTTCCTACCGGTACCGAGTTGTTTCTCTGTGTTGGGATGTAGCTTCGGTAGTATGTAGCTTTGGACGTATCGGGGGCGGAGAATGCGTGCTTTCGTTACAAGTGGTTGTTTGCTGTAGGTAGATAGAAGCGTTACCGAATTCTATAAAGAGCAGAGCATCAAATTAAGACTCACAGTGAGGCCGAAGCTCCCTATGAAACTACAGGAGCACTTGGGCGGAGCAATTGGGCGGAGCAATTGGGCGAGCTCTATGGCCTGAACAGGGACGCAGATGCTGGTCTGAAAAGTACGGTTATGCAGGATCCTTGCGTCGATCGCCCCGGAGAGGTATGGTGCGGGTGTGATGACACCATCATGAGCTTAACTAAACCGCTTGGCCTCAACCCATGTCTTGGGGCGACAACATCTCCAGGGAAAGGTTCCGAGCGGGGGGGCCAAACCACAGATCAGATATATATTTTGGTTTCCCCATTACTTCTTACGCTATATATCACACGGTCTCGCACCAGCACCCGACCTACACTTACACCCAGCACAGTGGGAGTGTCACCTCACGCGTCTTCTTCACAGCTGGACGCGAGACATCCCCGCCTTTCTGCTGTCGGTGGCTCTAAGACTCCTCTGCGGCTAGGCAGATCCCCAGATGTAGATTACCGATGGGGCTGAGCCATGAGAGTCTTTATGGATCATGAGGGGCAGGAAACACATAATGCACGATGGCGGCGAAGGAGCACCATCGGAAGAAAATGACGAATCATATCAGCCGCGCTATGTAGCCTAACAGGCAAAAGTTCAATGTCTCAGTGCCATTACATGGGTATCTCTGCGCAACCTCGCCCCTACGTTTATCATGGAATCGCCGACTTGCCAATTGCTGCGCATGCGTGTGATGTGCGCATCCAGAGCACAGTGAGGATCTCGATTTCACTGATTGAACCGCTGGCCAATTGAATAGCCCACAGCCACGCCGGGTGGGTGAGGGGTAGGCCTCCATGGTGTGTTAAAGGCCGAGGGGTGCCCGAGTTCAACCCCCTACTGCCCGGTATGGTATAAAGATTAACCTACATATATCGTCGTCCTGAAATCCACACGAATCCCGCCGTACTATCTGCCTGAAACGAGAGGACCCTGTGTTCGTTGGCTGCTCATCTCCGAGACCTGTTTCAATCACCTGCGTTATTGACAACGTCGACCTGTGTGAAGAGAAGTAGCACTAGATTCTCCTGCCGAGTGCTGGAATGAGAGATGTGCTGACGATGGAAGGTTCTGCGTTGACGGCGTGGGGAAACGGATCATCGCAAGGGACGAGGCTTTGTCGCAAAGGTCTCAAACACCACGTCAAGTTTACAATTCAAAAGGTATGATCACAACCGGAGTGGGAATTTGCACAGTCACCTAACCTGCAATTATGCGGTCCAAAAGCAACATCTCCGTAGGCAAAGTGAAGAATGGATGTCCTCAGAGGTAGTCTCACTTGCAAAACGCAACTATGGCATCGTTCTAGCATGCTGACCTTCGGCGTAACCCGTAGATCTCAACTCGGTGGTACCACATCTCCTCCTTATATTCATCTTCCTCCCGCACGCCCGCAGCGTATGCAGCGGTCTCGACGACTGCACCATCTACGGCGGCTGGGAGAACTTTGCCAACAACCTCGGCACCGACCTTGCCCCTCTGCTCGCCCTCTTTGGGGAGCAAGTCACCAAGCAATTTATGAGCGAGTCCACGTCGGGGCTCGACAGTATCCTTTTTGGCCTCGCCCCCCTCGGCGTCATCACCGCCATCATCTCTGCGATCCGTGTCTCCGGCAGCCCGCGCCTCCGCGCGCTCGTAGGCAGGGCCAAGGAGAGCCGCGGCCAGGTCGAGGCGGACCTGATGAGCTCCACCAGCCCCGACGTATGCGAACTGTGGAACGGCGATGGGGTGGTCAGGGTCCTGGGGCGGCCGGTCCTCCTGCAGATCATCCGCGCGCGGGATGAGAACGGCGCCTACAGGCTATACACGTTCCAGGAGGCCTACGATAGGATCTTTGGTCCCGCCGACAATGGCGACTATCCCGTTCAAAGCCTGGGGCAGAACCCACCGAACCTCTCGTTGAATGTTAATATGGACCCGCTTCCTCGGTATGTGTCAATACTGCTGATATCGATCGGTGTCTTGCTACAAGGCGGCGTCCTGGTCTACGCCGCTGTATCCCAGTACCACCTCAAGCTGAGCAAGTACGACGGCGATGTGGTCATCGTATACGGCTTTCCGCTCCTTGCCACCGGAACTATATTCCTGGCGATCGGCATGTACTTCTGCGCCGAGGTTGTGCAGACCAGCACCAAAGAGCGGACCTGGAACTTCCGCAAGCCAGGCTTCCACTGCGAAGGCATCATCTGGCTGCAGCAGGGCGGTCAGACGGTGGGCGACCAGCGGTTCGAGTCCTTCGCGCGCCACATGGACAAAAAGCACGAGATCAGGACCTCCGTCAAGTGCGAAAAGCTCCGCACCACGCAGATCGTCCTGGTCAGTGTCGGCCTCACCCTTGTCGGCTTTGTCTCGCAGTTTGTGGCGCTGCGGGCAATGCATGCGACAGTGACCGTCGTGCAGCTGGGAGCGATACTCATCATGACGGCGATCAGGTCCTGCGCGCATATCCAGCGAAATGACAAGAACGATATCCTGGATCCGCTGCAGGTCGAGGGACATGAGCTGGAGTGGCTGGCGAAGGACCTTCACGGGTGCACTGCCTGGGAGGTGCAGCTGGGGTCGTTCTATGTTGGCGAGGCCAGGGATCGGAGGGTTCCTGACTCGCCCTCCCCGATGCCCGACTCAGTACAGATGGCCCCGATTGATGAGCTTGACCTAGGGCCGGTATTTACTAGCGAGGAAGTTTCGATCCCAGGCTCGCCCCCTTTGATCCCCCACTCACTCCCTTCGATCTCCGCCTTACTCCATGCGGTCCACAACCCCCCTTCGATCCTCGATTCACCCCCTGCCATATCCGACTTAATCTGGATAGACAAGAGCGAAGAGGATGGCTCATGGCCGGGCCTCATTGAGAAGGCGGGCGAGCAAACTCCCGCGGTCCTGGACTCCCCCGCTGTCACCTGCAACCCGCCTCCGATCCCCGACTCACACCATTCAATCCCCGAATCACCCTCTACGGGCGCACTCCCCCTGATTACCGACCCAGTACCCGCAGTCTCCGACTCTCTCTCAGCGATCCCCGCCTCACCCCCTGTAGTCGCCGTCCCGCCCCCCCTGGTTGTCAACTCGGCCTCTGCAGTTCTCAACTCGACCCGTCCAATCTCCATCTCATCCCCTCCGATCCCCGCCGCACCACCGCTGGGTCCGGTCGGAAGACAGAACCCAGGCGAGCCAGAGAACCTTGCGATCGAGGTGATGCAGACCCGCGCACGGCTAGCGGAGCTCTCGCAGGGCTGGGTTCTGCAGCTGCGCAAAACCGTCAAATCACTGCAGACGACGCTTGACAAGACCATGAACGAGATCTACACCAGTATCACGCTGAAGGAGGACTGGAAGAGCAAGGAGAGCTACTCCTGGTTTCTGCCAGTCTGGGCGGAGCAGAAAGGACCGCTGACTAACAGGAGTTCACGCGGGCCGACGATGTTTGTTGAGCTCACCATGACGCGGGGGCTGGATCAGAATGACCATTGGGGGCCATGGGTGTCCAACCCCTGCGAGCTCGAGGCCATCCTGTCACTGTGGGTGTCGTCGGCAAAGGAAAAGAGGATGCATTCGAATGGAAGTGTCTCTGGATCCGTCGGCCAGGCGAGTGAGTGTTTTTGGTATCTGGGCGTGGGGAGCGATAAGGCGAGCAGAGACTACAACCTTTGGATCCACCGTGAAACAGTTCCATGTAAGGATAAGTTGTCTGAGGGTCACATGTATTTCGGGAGCGTGGACTCCCTGCCGGCGGATAAGGACGCTCCCTGCCTTACCGTTAAGTCTTCCAATGCCCTCGAAATTCTCTGCGCGCAGCATATATACAGCGCCTTCATGTCCAAGCTTACCCCCGAGATTGTCAGCATTGGTGGCACTACCGAGCGCCGTAGGACGGAGATCACTACCTCCGAAGGGAATCTCCCAACGTGGATGCACTTTCGACTGAATAATACGAAGCTGGTTCGACTGGCGGGTATATTCTTCGAGGCTAGGTTGGGGACAATAGAGGAGGCTTACTTTTGCTTCTTTCCATTCCTAAGCAGGGAGGAGATCGTACCTCTAGCAAAGGAGGCCTTTCGGGAGGCCTCGCAGGCGGCAAAGAGGTGTCAGTCGAGTGGGGGCTGGGATCAGGCACTGTTGATTGATGAGTGGATGAGTGACAATAAGGAGGCGACCGGGTTTGACGAGCTGGGTTTGGCCATCTGGTATTCGGAGATAGATGAGAGGGTTTTGGTGCTTCTCGGTTTTATAAACAATTGCATTATCAGTCGCGAGTACGATCATCCAATCTGGAGGTCCCCAGGACCGTTCGCGAAGATTTTGCGGGGAGTGATGAGGATGAGTCGGGGACGAGACGCCACCTCTGTGCTATACTGGAATACAGTGGTGTTTTATGTGCTTCACCTGTGGCAAAAGTTTACATCTCAACGCGGATTACAATTTAGCAAGGCCAACAAGGTCGAGGTTATCATTAATAAATTAAACAAAAAAAAAAGAAAGGCCGAGGTTTTCAAGCTTGCGGTAGAGTTCCTCCATAGTTTACCTGTAAGCCAAGATCTTCCACAACAGATTCAGCTTCTACTCCTCATCAGGAACCTGGCGCTGAGGAACGACGAAATCACCATGGCAAATAATATTTCGCTTGTGGTTTGGAATGCTACACTTTCGGCGGGAGGAACCCGTGAGTTGGTCAGTGCAAACTACGGAGCCTCTCAGATACTACTATCAATGCGTCTTAGTAGCTCAGTCTTCCTGAACATGGAGGACTTGGAGAAATATCTCCCCAACATGGCTGGATTCGACAACGCCGGGGAAGGTGCCATCACACAGGTTGCCTTAAATACCTCATCGATTGAGGTCGATCTAAAGCTATTACGCCCATACCGAACTCTCTTGCAGGGGGCCGCCGAAGCTGGACGTCTCGATGCCGTCAAACGTATCCTTGAGTGCGAGCCAGAAGCCGTTAACGCCGCCCCCATATCCCCATACGGCCGCAGCGCGCTCCAAGCCGCCTCCGGTAATGGTCATCACGAGCTGGTAGAGTACCTCCTCACTTGTGCCTCTCCTCGGTCCGATGTAAACTGTCCCGCCGCGGTTCCATTTGGCTGCACGGCCCTTCAGGCGGCCTCCCAAGGGGGCCACGCAGACGTCGTCAAGCTTCTACTCGCGAATGGTGCGTCCGTAGACGTCGTTCCTGTCCCAAACCTCGACCACTGCGTCCAGTTCCGCCGTCGGCTCAACATGGATGTCTCGGTGGAGGTCACAGCCTACGGATACCAATACATCCCCGCACATAGAGTTCATCAGACCCGTGTTGGGGTAAGCGCATTGTGTGCTGCCGCCACCAACGGCCACGAGAAGGTTGTACAGACCCTCTTAAGAGCGAAAGCAGAGGTAAATATGATGAGCCACGGCACGGCCCTTCAGGCGGCGGCAGCGGCAGGACACCTACGTGTGGTGAAGAAGCTGCGAAGATGGGGGGCAAATCTTAACGTGGCTGCGGACGCTTGTGGGGGTGCTACAGCACTCCAGGCGGCGGTTGGAGAAGGTCATTTCTATGTGGCGCGGTATCTATTGGACTTCGGCGCCGACGTAGATGCGCCTCCTGCTGCTTACCACGGACGCAGCGCGCTGGCGGCGGCTGCGGGTCGGGGTGATACCTTTATGGTAGAGTATCTGATATATAAAGGCGCAGATGTGAACCAAGCCCCGGGTACATGCTTTGGTACGACGGCGCTCCAGGCCGCAGCACGCATTGGCAACCCTCAGATCGTCTCCATACTTTTAAAGTCAGGAGCAGACATCAATGGTCCTGCCGCCACCATAGGAGGAATTACTGCACTAGCAGCCGCAGCGGCGGCGGGACACTTGGATATCGTGAAACTGCTGTTGAACCACCCGGAGCCGGGTGACGCCAACGCAGCGGCGCCCTACGGAGGGCTTACAGCGCTTCAAGCGGCAGCAGAAGGTGGTCACGCTAAGATAGTCGAGTTGCTATTGCTGAAGGGGGCAGACGCAAATGATATGCCTGCGCCAGGTGGGGGGAAAACGGCGCTGGTAGCGGCTCTGGAGGGCGGCCATGTCGAGGTTGTGAATATGTTGATAGGGGCCGGGGCGAACGTGAATGAGGGGTTGGTCGATGATTTTGGGCACTCCGCAATCGAGGAGGCAGTCGGAGAAGGCATGCTGGATGTGGTTGAGGAATGGTTGGCTACATTTAAGCCTCTGAAGAGACGTGGAATCATACCGCTTGCGGTAGCAGTACAGAGTGGAAACTTGGATATGGTCGATATGCTGCTGAATGCGGAGGCAAACGCTACAATGGAGGAGGACGAAGAGAACCAGCTCATGCGGGAGGAGTACGGGCTAGACGAGGACCGAGTTGAGACGATGAATAGAATATTGGGAAAACCACAATATTCGGACACAATCGAAAAGTCGGCTTCAGAGCGCCTGCTCTTCGAAAGGAAAATTGCGACGCTATTAAAAATGAAGAACCTCTTGCAAAATATCAAGTTAGAGGCCCAGGAATTTCCCATACACTTGGCTGAAAGGCTGGGGTATGTAGATATTGCTAAGAGATTAAAGTCAGTGCCTGAAGAAGAGATGGCACGGAAACGGGGGTCGGAGATAGTAGAAAATGGCGACTCCGATGACGAGAGGAGTATGGTATACATTTGATTGGAATTAGTGCTCTGAAGGCTTTGTTTGGGAGGGTGGTCAGGTATGATGGAGATATGTCATACCATATTGACTGGCGAGAGAGGACAGATCTAACCAAATTAGTGAAACGTGGTCCCAATTTGGCCTTAGGCTCTCGATTCCTCAGAAATTTTGCAGAGGATTGGGTTTATTTCCTTCTAGCGTCTACTAGTGGTTTATCCGTTCTCGCCAGTTAATGTGGTGCCTCCTATAATTCTGATATCTGGTCTCTTTGGAATGGATATTTATAATACTCATGAAACTAGAAATTATATAATATATCTATTTTCGCCTAGCGCGGCTGTATTAAGTATTTGCTCGCTCCCCATCAGTAACCACCCCAATCAGGCGCGGAAACATCCCCAGAGATGTGTACCCCCCACGTGAAGTATTGGGAAATGGAGAGGGGGGGACTCGGGTTCGGGAACGGGGTAAGTTACAATTATGATAGAAGATTCTGATCGAGTAGGACGCGCCTGAAGTGTGTTTGTGTGGAGGGTACATGTAATGCTATATATAGTGAATGAAAAGGGGTCGAGTATCACGAAGGAAACTCCCGGCCACGGCCTTCTATAGCTACAATGCAATCCAGGCAACCTGTTCTCGAAGCGCAATTTCCGTGAGCTGTACCCACGATCCGACAGGGTCAGCACACATGTCTTTACGCTCCTGCACTGTGTAGGATATGCGGCATAGCGAGGAAGAGACAGGTGCAGATGCGCAAGGGGAGCGAGAAATAGTCTCTTCCTAACATTCTTAGTAATAAGCACAAGACGAAAAGTCTCGAGGCCTTGTCTCGAGATACGAGACGAAACAAACATAGCTAGAATAAGATAAAACAAGAAAGACAAAAGTCTACTCTCGAAACATGCGAGTGATCGTCTGTGACCCACATATCTTTAGTAGACTTCTACATAGTCTAGATCTGATAAGTACTCTGAGAGAAAAATCTTTTTGCTGAGTTCCGAGACCTCCTTCTGAAATTCACGAAACATTCTCAAGTATCGTCTTGTTTTTTTATTGTGCCCATCACTAAACTTGCTTTAGGAAGGCGAGGTACCCAAGGATCCATTTCAAGGCCAGGCCTCGATGCGCGCGTGCCGGGCAGGAGCCGGTAGGTTATAGGACCGAGCTAGGTCCTTGAGGGCATCATGATCAGGTATCCTTGTTTCGAGGTATCTCGAGGCCTCCAAGCATTGTAGTTTTTCTAGGGGTCGACTGCGTTACTGAGTTGAACTCCTACAAACAAATACCGTGTTCTAACCTACTAGTCAACGCTTCCCAGCCATCAACGATTTTAATTGGGATGACCCATTGATCAATGGGGCGGTATTGATGACTGGAACCCCAGTCACCAACGGGTCCTCTCTCATCTCATCACTCCTTTCCCACAGGTACACTATGTTTACCGAATCAATAGCATTATTTGAGTAGAGTCAAAACCCAGGAGTACAGTCCTTTCTGAATTGTTGGAGAAACGGTTCGATGCGAAGATGGAGGAAGCCAGTCAGCAGTTGATGCACTAATACGGCTTCTTATTGGCCATCCAATCCCGTCCGCCATTCAGCCAGAACCGCTAACGATCTAGAAATGACTGTAGGTTTAAAACTACTATGATAGTTTGAATTTATGTAGCAATCAAATGAAAATTACTCTAATGAGTCCTGGACTAAATGTATATTGGAAGTACATAGATGGTAGTGTACATGTGGGCTCCTGAAAGTCCTGAGAGCTGGACAAAGTTTTCCTACTCTTCCTTTTTGTTTCCCTTTCAAACGAGTCATTTGATGTCAATTATAACGAACATACTAGACTCCTCATAATCTTTCTTTTTTATAAGCGAAGTTCTAGTACATTCTAGTGCATTCTACCTCAGCGCCGAGCGGTTTCACTCTCTTAGGCCGTATCACCGCGTATAATATGTTACTTAATCTCTACTAAAATCATACTTCTTAGGTCTTCCACCATCGCGCTTCTTTCCTTTTGGTTCAGGGCCTTCATCCGGCTCCTTATGGCGACCTTCATTTTTTAGATTCTCACCCAGGATCTCACTAACATCCTCATCCAACAACCCCTCCTTGTATCCAATAAGACCCCTCAAGTCTCTTCTTAAAGTGGGTAACATCCCCTTTACATCTGTGTATTGATTGTGTTTGACTGCAGTATGCGTAGCACTTCATTCCAGACCGCCTTAGACTTTCCCCATGCAGCGGATAGCTAGCTGGGCTTTGAGGGCTCAAAAGGTTTCTCTAGGCGGGCAAAACCATTTCAGCATCGTATTTTTGAAGCTGGGCCATGATTAGATTTAGAAGATGTTTCATTATCTGGGTCTAAGTCTAAGTCAGAAAATTAAAGTGCCTGGCTCAGCCCACCGAGGTAACTTCTAGCCATAGGTACAGATACGTGCAGTTTTCTCCTGAATAATTGTATTTTTATTAGTATGTTGATAGGTAGCTAAATCTGTAGATTTTATGATTCTCATTGATGCCCATGCCCATGTTCGTGGACGAATTGGTTAATTGGAACGCGAAAGCTGGTGGAGAAGGGCGATAGGCGAGGCCGGAACGTTTAACACTTTGTATTTTTATTATCTGTAAATCAAGCATGATAGAGAGACAAATACTCGTTACTCGTTGACTCTAATTAATATAGGGTTACTTGAATGCAGATCAAAATTCAGGATTTCATGCATATATCTATGTTGATCCCTCCTAATATGCTCTCTTGGAAAAGAAGAAAGTTCAAAAAGATCACCAGAACTTAGTAAAATGTAGCTCCAATGACAAAGCCTAAAACATGAACATTGAAACCTAACACCCAGAATGTGAGCCAAACGATACGCCAAACCGCGTGGAAATGCCCTGAGTTATATACGATTAATGATGATGTAAAGACTGAAAGTACCATCCCACATCTCTTACCTTAGTTCAGGCGTAATCACACCGATATCTCTTCAAGTTTTCCCAAAATCTAGAGAACTAGTCAGACCCAAAACCAAATAATAGTACGGGAGTTACACATCGCTCAGCTTACCTTCTCGATATAACTTGCGCTCACACTGACAGTTTCCTCCCTCAAAGGATTTGCAATCTCCATTTTATGTTCATCCCCCATCAAGGTCATCGCATCATCATCGTCGTTCCCAGCGTCTAGACATGTCAAGCACGATATGACAACATCTGTATACTTGCTCCCGAGTATTCGCGGTACCCTCTCCTCAGCCATTTTCACCATTCTTGCTTTTATTTCATAAGGCCTGACCTGCTTTCCGTTCTCACTGGGCCTCAGCAAATAGTCTGATATTTCTGTCATCACAGGCTGATTGTCTTCGGTCCACACCACAAACGATTGCCATAATGCAATTTCAAGCAAACAAACACCAAGACTGTATACATCATGCTCCATTTTGTAAACCGTCTGGTGGAATTCCCCTTGGCGATCTGGGTGTCGGTATATATTTTCCTCCCAGGCTTTGTCTCCTAGGTAAGCTGTAAAGCCAACAGCAGGACGAGCTTTCTGAAAACCTATAAGGAAAGGAGAACCGAGAGAGTTCTTGCTGTCCGAGTTGAACATGAGTATCATCTCTGGGCGGAAGTTTTTGTGAACAAAATCAGCCGCATGGACATATAAAACAGTTCTGGCGAGTTTCTTCGCAAGTTCTATCCTTGCACCGATGGGATACAATGATACATTGTGATTTTCCATCAAAAGCAGAGATCGTAGAGACTCTGGGGCGTTGAGTCTTGGGGGTACATTGAATACCATTTCGATCTCACAGCTGACATCTGTCCTCGGCAATTCGACGATCCCAGAGCAGTTAAGAATACCAAAGTTACTCGGAGAAACCGATTTGAGAACTAAAGCTAGCTGTCGAAAATCTTGGACGCGATGCTGCCTTTCGGAAGGACTGCAAGGAATGGAATCGATTATAAATCGACTGCCTGGTATTTCTAGTATGCTGGCGCTTGTGTGTTTGATTTTCTGCCGATTCCTCCAGTAAAGATTGTCATCGTGTTCGAAGTTTATCTGAGCGCCCTTTATCCGCTTGGTATTATTCTTGGTAGAAATGGCCTCTCGTAAGCTCGTGACTACCGCGAAATATGGGGGTATGAATTGTGCTGATTGAAGTTTGATTCTCTGATCCAGCATCGTGTTCGAATTTAGAGTGAGCGTGTAGATCAAATCTCCAAGACTGTCATGCCGTCTCTGGAGTTCGTGGATAGCCTCGTTAAGTATTCTTTTGAAAAATACGAACTTCAGCTTGTATAAAATCTTCTCCTTCCTCGAGTATTCGTCGATTTTCAGCATGATATCTCGAAATTTACCGCACAAAAGGTTCGAAAGCTTTTTAAAACAATCTTTGAGGCTGTGTTCGAGACAGTCTTCGATAGATGCAAGATATTTAAGCTCCTCCTCAAGCCTGAGCCATTGACTTTGGACTACAGTAATAAGCTCATCTACTTCGGATCCATAGTTCTGGAAAGTTCTGAATTTGTCAACGAGGTCCTTTCCTAGCCTAACCCCCCACCTCAACCGTTAGTCTATTTCAAATCCGTAGCCGTAAGTGAAGCCGGTACGGGCTTACATGATTGACATTTCCACTAATGAGGGGATTGCCAGCGCAATACCCACTGCAAATTCCATCGTGAGCCAAAGATGCTTCCCGCGGTTCTCTGATGTGATCGCTAAACGAATTCGTCCGTGTTTCTGGGGAGGGGTTGTAAAATGGGAGGGGCAAGGGAATGTGGCTAGATACCTTGCAATAAGTGTCGTATGCGACACGGCGTGGGCACATCTCATTGATTCGGGCTGGTACTGAATTGACCGGGTTTACTATTGGTAGAGAAAGCGTTCTTGGACCGGGGATCGCCGAGTATTGCCAATTCAAAGTCGTTTAGCAACCGACCGTAAGAAAAGACGTTGTATTCAGCATTCCCAATGGTATTTATATACCTCTCTATCTCAATTATGTTACTATGATAGAGGCCAAATCCCCTTAGTCGGGGAACGCACAGTACAGTGCTCTTAGGACCTTCCATTTCTTAGAAGTCGACTTTTTTACCGCGGGTGATCAAGTACATACAACCTGACTCTAATCTGCAAAATTCAAAGAATTAGCTATAAGACCAAAGGAAGCATAATATAATGGAATTCAAACTGCACAGGATTTCACGAGCTCAAAGATACTTATTGAACTCATCTTGTCGCCGATACACCCCACGTAATCCGGCCGGAATTATCCCGACCCTATGCAAAAGACGTCGATACACCCCCATTAGGAACGTGATCATTAATATTGTGTTGTGACTTGTTATTGAAGCCTTTGAAGCAATAATACGAACTTATATGGGTTGATCATGATCTGACCTACTAAACCTTGTAATAGGTACCGAGCAGCTAGGATCAGACCAGATACATATTGTAGTAGAGCATGCGTGGTTGATGTGCCAAAAATCAAGGGTGTCTCATGTCGGTAGGCTTTTGGACCTCTAAAGTAATGTTTTTCAGGTGCCGGAGAAGAATAGCCTATCAATATTAATGAAGTGGTTTTAACTGTAGTATACTAGTCTAATATGTAAAGTACTGTAAACCCTCCATTTTTGCAGCTTATTGGTCGAGATCGAGGAACCCTAACTCACATGGCAACCAGCCCACTAGCTACCTGACTGCATTATAATTATGTAGAGCGCTGTGGGCCATGGGGATATGTTAGAAATATCAGAAAGACCACATTACTACAACCCATTCTATCTCTTTCTCTTCTTGAATTCTCCTTATTATTATTACTACCTTATATGTATAGACGTGAATGAACAGAAAGCAAAGACTACATGTATATATATGAGTGAAACGCGCTGCCAGCTAGGCCTATAGCCTACGATAAAATGCAATGCGTATGCACCTGGTCTGTTGAACGAACACATATCTCCCAGTAGGGCAGCGGGGTTGAGGGGCACGTACTTTCCGTAGTTTAATTATGGTCACATCCGCTTCATGTCACTACCTACATGTAGTGATCATACAATATATTGATCAATTCGAAAGCAACTTATAAATTAAATCGCGCATCATAGATCTAGCAATATTTCATGATAATGTGGTAGGTACCTCCTGAGGCTTAAGAAGTATTTATATCGGGACACACAATTGACTTTGATTGTGAGGCACAGAAACTTCGAAAAGCAAAATACGATGAATGTTCCCTTGGATCTGGGGATATACTTTTTGGAAAACACTATATTGACAAGAGAGAGGGAGAGAGTAGTCCTTTAACTTAAATTATATGTACATAGTGTTGAAAATATTCAATATTCAGTTGCGGCCGAAACAAGTGTTGCACCGTATAATTAATGAATTGAACAAAAAAAAAAAAAAGATAAGTGTTGCATCGTATCACTAGCGATCACTCGGCAGCTGTTCCCGTCACGAAATGTAGTTATAAATCCTGACATAGAGATTGTATCCTTAGATACATACCCATGGGCGGCGATCCGGGAAAACGTTGTTTAGGGATGTTAATATAAGCCAACTTTTCCCGGATCGCCGCCGTATGTACATGTAGGTACATGCGGCTACATGGGTACCACTAGAGTAGAGTACTTCCTGACTCCGAAGAATGCCGGCCGCTCTTCTGTCATGTTCAGTAGGTGAAATCCAGTCTAGGCTAGGTACATACATAAATGTATGTACCTAGCCGCAACAGAGCAGGAAATACAGGTGACAGATCACATGAATACCTAAGTCCATGTATATCCAGAAATTTACGCGTCAATGGCGAACATGGTCGATGTTGAATTGTTGGTCAATTATAGATCCTAAGGCAAAGAGGCCTGTGCGCTTTTGGTGCCCATTTACAATTAATAAAATTCACCATTGGCCCTTTGAAATGACGTTATTCTCGTACTCACAGCAGGTAACAAGTGCCCGAAAACGCCAGCCCTAATCTACAATTGCCATTGGAATAGAAGTCAAAAATACACCAAAACCTTGCAGCTGCATTTTTGGGTACTTCAGGCCTGTTGCGAGTAGATAGAGTACTCGTAAAGACTTGAATTTTGGACTGCTATTACATAAGATACCAGTCCACGATTTCGTATCGTATAAAAACAATGTCAAGATCTACCCGTTGTAATGGCGCGGTACCGGCCAATTAATGGCTGCCCATTGACACCTACATGTGCAATCAACAGGGATAACGATTAGTTTTGCCTATCATTTCCAGCCACCATCGGACATGAACTCCCATACCGCCAAAAGTCGAGAAATTGGCTGTGCATGCAAGATCAAAATTACTACTAATGGACACTTCTGAGGGTGATCAATAGCGTTCAACCAATTGTTAAAGAGATAATCCATGGCCGGAGATAGCCAATTTATCGAGTTTTGGCGGTATATTCTTACAGTGAATTATGATTTCGATTCCTGTACTCTGGGAAAGCTTCGTCCCGCCCGCATTATGTGGGCGCCGACTAATATATGTCTTATGAGATCATTGTGACCGCTGAGCTGATATAAAATTCTGATTTCAAACTGTTAATGACAACTATGTGCAAGCGCTGCAAAGGAAAGAGTAACTTTACCAAGGGATAGAAGAAATTAGTCAACAACAACCCTGGTTTGTGATATCGGCAGCTAGCGTGTCCTCAAACCAAGTCAGATCATTCTTGACTGAAAACCTTGTGCATGTGGATGAGATGCATATATCCACCTAAACGATCAAGGGTACGAGTATGTACTAGGATTGGAAGGATCTCACATTCGTTCCTTGAAACGTACACGGGGAGGAATCATAGGACCGAATAAGTTACCGGCCAATTCGGTTACTGCACGGCATCCCAACCCTTCACTAACATTACGTCATTGTCCTGAACTTCATCCGATTATAAGCGGAGAATTCCCTCGAGGAATTGCTTCAATTCTCCTGAGATAAAGCATTCTATACCCCTTTAACATACTCTCTATCAATATATTACTCCCACCATTTTTAGTTATCCCCAGAACTAGCCTGAACAGTTTCTCTAGAAATGGGAGCCTTCAATGACAAAAATGGCTCCGGCCATGAAAACCAAGTGGAAATCCTCGATATTAGAGTTAATAAGGCAGGCCTTGAGTCAACTCTAAAGGGTGATATTGTAGCTGGTCTAAAAAAGGAAGCGGGAGAAAAAACCCTTCCGACCCTGTTACTTTATGACGACCGTGGCCTGAAGCTCTTCGAAGAAATCACCTACCTCGACGAGTATTATTTGACCAACACAGAGATCGGAATACTCGAGAAATATGCAGAGAACATGGCAGAGAGGATTGAAGATGGTGGAGTTGTTATAGAACTGGGGAGTGGGTAGGATATTTATCCCTTTAGTCGTTTTAGACCGCTTTCGGATTTTTAGCTGACAGAACAATTAATATTGTTCTAGAAACCTCCGAAAAGTGAACATCCTTTTGCATGCCCTTGACCGTCTGGGTAAAAAAATCACATATTATGCACTTGATCTGGATCGTTCCGAATTGGTGCGGACTTTGCAGTTGATACCTGCCGGAACATTCAAAAATGTCCGCTGCGTCGGACTGCATGGAACATATGATGACGGGAAGGCCTGGTTGAAGTCATCTGCAACCGCAAACGACAAGAGTCGTTGCATATTGTGGCTCGGTTCTTCGGCCGGAAACTTTAATTTGAGGGGGGTTGCTGAGTTTCTGAAGGAATGGGCAGCTGATGCCTTGCGTGTTGGGAAGCCCGATTGTATGTTGGTTGGTCTTGATGGCTGCAAGGTTGCGGAGAAAGTCAAGTTAGCGTACAACGACCCCAAAGGGGTCTCGCGGGACTTCACTTTGAATGGCTTGTGGCACGCAAATAGTGTAATGGAGAAGGAGCATTTTGTTCGTGGGGAATGGGAATTCGTTGGGGAGTGGAATGCGGAAGAAGGAAGACATCAGGCGTATTATGAAGCTTTGAAAGATATTACCTTTGACGGTGCTCTCGAGGGTGTTACGGTAAAGAAAGGGGAGAAGATCAATGTCGAATACAGCTACAAATTTGATGAGAACGAATCGCACTTACTTTGGGAACATGCTGGGCTGGCTGATGGAGCACGGTGGTCTAACGACGCCGGGGACTATTGCAAGTACTCCCCAGTATTGTTGACCACAACCGAGTTTATACGACCTGATTTTACATTGAAATACGAGTGTCTAATTGTAAAGTTTAGATCTTCATATGCTTTACAAACCAAGATTCAATTTCCTGCTAGGACCACCCTCGCTATGTGCCCCGAGTCCAACGCCAACAGTGTCGGAATGGATGGAATTGTGGGCGGCGTGGGACACTGTGACTCTTGGTATGATTCCCAAGGACAAACTCCTCACTAAACCAATCGATCTTCGAAACCCATGCATTTTCTACATTGGACACATTCCAGCCTTTTTAGACATTCAGATTTCTCGCGCGTCGGATGGAAAGATGACTAGCCCGGGGCAGAAATATCAAGACATCTTTCAGCGCGGGATCGACCCCGACGTCGACGACCCCAACCAGTGCCATAAACACAGTGAAATACCGAATTCCTGGCCTGAATTAGATGAAATTCTAGATTACTCTCGCAGAGTTAGAGCGAGGATCCTGGCGCTATACGGCACAGGCGAGGTAGCCCGTGTGGACTCTTCTAAACTTCAACGCGCCCTTTGGTTGGCGTTTGAACATGAGGCTATGCATTTAGAAACACTGCTTTATATGCTTGTACAAAGCGAAGATACACTCCCACCGCCCGGTGTGGTTAAACCCGATTTTGTTTCTGGTAGAGAGTGGGAATTGAGAAGAGGAGCAAACACCAAAAACGCCGAGAAATGGACTGAAATCCCAAAGAAGATTATTAGTGTCGGTATTGACGACCATGAAACCCATACATCTAATGGGTCGGCTAGAAACGGGGACTGTGGTTACCAACAGCGATACTTCGGATGGGACAATGAGAAACCGATACGTCACGGCATTGAGGTGCCAGCATTCAAGGTTAGATCACATCCCATCACTAACGAGGAGTATGCCAAATATCTTCATTCACAATCCTCCAACAATATTCCTGCTTCTTGGACTTTCTCCGGTCCAAAGTTGAACGGAGCTATTTATCAAAATGGGAACGGTGCTGCTCATCAAAATGGGAACGGCACTACCTATCAAAACGGAAACGGCACGGACAGCTCACTAGAGCATTTCATCTCCTCCCTCTTTGTTAAAACTGTCTTCGGCCCCGTCTCGTTGAAGCTCGCCGGTGAGTGGCCGGTCATGGCATCCTATGACGAACTCCAGGGCTGCGCAAAATGGATGGGCGGAAGGATACCCACCGCAGATGAAGTGAGAGCCCTATACGAGTATGTTGAATCATTAGACGTTGCAGAGAAGACTCTGGGAAAGAGGATCGATGCTGTCAATGGGTAAGTATCAATCACTGCGCATGCTGCATCCTAGATAACCACAAGGAGTGGCCAAGAATGTATACTAATTCCATCCTCACCAGACATCTAATCAACAATGGCGTCCGCGAGTCACCACCAAGCCCATCCTCCATCTTCGCCGACATCCGGGGCAACAACGTCGGCCTCAAATTCTGGCACCCCACGTCGGTCATTCCCAGCGGGGGGACACCACTCGGGCGCGCCGCAACAGGCGGTGCCTGGGAATGGACCAGCACTATCCTAGAGCGCCACGAGGGCTTCAAGGAGGACGAGATGTATCCCGAGTACACCGGTAAGTACATATGGACTGAACAAAGTCTCATAACCCAAGATGAAGCTAAGAATCACTTGTGTAGCGGATTTCTTTGACGGGAAGCACAACGTCATGCTCGGCGGAAGTTGGGCCACCCACCCGAGGATTGCGGGGAGGAGGAGTTTGTAAGATCCCCCCAGTTCAGCTTCCTCTTTTAGTTGACTTGGGCTAATTATGGGTACGCGGCAGTGTCAATTGGTACCAGCGCAATTACAAGTATACTTGGGCCACGGCCAGGATTGTAGCCCTGGAATAAAGGATATGTAACAGCTGAATATATTAAAGAATCTAAAGTTTCACGGAGGAAGAATAACCCGGATCCGCTCGTGTGAAATATCACCTATCAATTTTGCTTCTTGGACAAATATGCGCCGGGGCCCGGGCCGGGGCATGAGTTGCGCTTTCCATTTCGTAATCGTATGTGTGAATGATATGGGACCGGTCATTAACGTTATAACATCATTAAAGTATACCAAACATGCCTCGACCGATCTTTTCGTGGCGGGGAAATCGAGAACTTCTTAATACATACATACCAGAAACTAAGCCTAAGACTAAGTTAGTGAGGCGAGTACTACATGTAGTATCTTCCTGACATTTTTGAACTGGGCCTTATTGCACACACCCAAAATCATGAGCTTGGCGTATTTTCGTACGGCATGCAATAGTGGAGGCAAGTGTCTCGAGGTGCATGCCTCTACCTCGTACATATGGTCCACCATGTCTTTACTTGCTCGTGTAAAGAGGGGTGATGCCTCGAGGTGCTCGAGCCGGGTCGAAGCAGATAATTACTATATTTAGATCTGTCAAAATTGCATTTTATTGTAATACTGGTAGTAGGGAGCACTTCCAATGTTCCTATCGGAAATATCAAACCTACTGGATACATGCCACTAATACTATGATTACATGTACCTAAACCTCGAGCAGTTCAAAGTGAGCAAGAAAAGAGGGAGTTTACTTCGAGCACGCTCGCCTCGTCGACCCCCACGCATTGAGCTCTCTCGAGGCCTCGGGCGTCAATGCCTCGCGGACCACACTAAGGTCCAGAGTACATACATACATGAAGTCTTGATAAACGGGGCCGATAAGAACCCCACCCCGCAAGGTGTTTGGCTGTGTGGCACGAGTGGAGGTGTGCTCGTTGGTGGAGGAGCTCCAAGCTTACCCTGTTCGAGATAAGCGGTGTCGATCATCCGCATCACCCCTGTCAGACTCCCGTCAATGGGGGCGTCTATCGATTGGCTGGCCAGTATCATACATATATGCACGTCGATATATCACTTTCGCATATCTGAGATGAACTATCGAGTACATACATGTAGTGAAGACATTCTATCCATGTATCTGTAATTCATGAATTGACTCTGTATTCACAAGTAGATAACAAGTACCCAAGTAAAAATAGCCCTCTCAAACTCAAACCGCCATGGAAGAAGCTCCGTACTGGTAAGATGACGACCACCCATTTCACCCAGATTCCACCTTAAGTCCTAACGACGGGCAGGGCAGGGCGGGCGGGCAAAACCAAAGCCGCCAAGACGCACAAAGACGTCAAAAACCAGCGGTATGCAAGCCGATATCCCATCCCACCCCACCCACCCATCCATACAGAGCTTGCTTCACCCCCACATATCCCAATTCATCTATCACAATCCTAATTCATCTATCACAATCCCAATTCATCCATCACAATTCCAATTAAACCCCCCCCATCCATCCAAACCGGTAGCCATGGCAGTCCTCCAAGACCTCCCCAACGAGATCATCTACCAGATCCTCTCCGCTCTCTACAGCTCCTACAACCCCAAGCTCGACCCCACCCCCCGCCTCAACACCTTCCTCGCCCTCGGCCGTGTCTCCCGCCGCCTCCGCAAGAACGCCGAGCGGTTCATCTACCGGACCGTCGACGTCGGCTACAGCCCGACCTCCACGTCCAAGCACAAAAGGCCCTGGCAGCTCCTCCGCACGCTCATTGCCCGCCCGTACCTCGCGGCGTACATCAGGAGCATCAGCATCAGATGGGGAACGGAGCACAAGCCGAAGGTCACATCGCACGAGAACGCCCTCTTTACCGCTGCCGCATCGAAGCTCGGCCTCGAGCTCGCGGTGAGATGGGAGGGCGACCAGGCCCTGCTCCTGTGCCACATGTTGAAAAACGTCGAGACACTCGCCATCAGCTACCCGCCCGACTTCGGGCCCAACCTCACCGATCCGTTCGGGCTCCTCCGGGAGTACGGCCCCTCCGTCCCCGCCCCCGGCGTACCACCCCTCTCCACAACCGGCATGCAGGGCATCCACACCCTCACCGTCCACTCCGAGTCCACCACCACCGCGCAGCACATCATCCCCATGCTCCTCCTCCCCAACCTCAGAACCCTCACGGCCCACCACGTCACCACCACCGCCGCCCTCCTCCCCGAGAACCCCGCGTGGCACGGCGCCTCCCGCGTCACGCACCTGCGCCTGCTCGCCTGCGAGCTCCACGGCTCCACACTGGCCATCATGTTCCGCGTCGCCAGCAAGCTCAAGCACCTCGAGTACGACGACGCCGGCGGCCGCTTCAACCCCGCGCACGCCTGCGACGAGGCGTTCGCGGCCGCGCTGCAGATCGTGCGCCCGACGCTGCAGCACCTCGCCGTCAACCTGGCGAAGGTGCAGGCACGCGACGGCACCCACGGCAAGGTCGGGTCGCTCAAGGCCTTCCCGCTGCTACGAGAGGTAGTCTGCAATTATGGGGCTATCTGGGGGATGACGTTCGCCACCTTTACGCCCGGGGTTGCGTGGCGGTTGGAGTTTGCGGCGGCGCTGCCGGCGGCGTTGGAAGCGCTGGAGGTATGGCTGCCGTGGGAGTTTACCATGAGCTGGTTGGGGGAGTTGCTGAAGGAGAAGGAGACACGGTTTAGGTTCTTGAAGATCATCAGGATGTATCCGATGGGCAAGTATGGGAGCAGGGGGAAGCGCTTCATCAAGAAGTTTAGGAGGAAGGCGGAGAGGGTGGGCGTCAAGGTTGGGGTGGCGAAGATGGTGGGTGATCGTATTGCCGGCTATGAGTTTTCTTGAGGAAACCGCCACTACATACATGTACTTTCTGCATGTTTCGTTGGCTGTAGATAAAAGATCGATCGTATTTGCGAAATAAAAAATCTGGCTATTTCATGGGGTAAAGTAAAGGTCAGGCAGGGTCCACAGCTGTGATAAAACTCAGGGACCCGGTGCGATGAAGGAAGGGGTGTTGCCCCACCCATCACCCATCATCCCACGCACGTGTCTCCCCGGTCCCGGCACTGGCTGGATTTAAGCCTTTGCCAAGCCTGTGCACCACACCACCCTCGAAAGTGCAGGCACAGAGCTCCGGCGGGTATGTATGTACGGTGAACATAAGGTGCGTACATGTAGGTAGTACGCGATAAACTTAAGAACTCTCGCCGAGTGTTACGGCAGCACAAGTATAGGTTCCACTGTGCTCCTACCCATCCTAGTACTAGTGTAGTCGACGAGTCGAGTCCACAGCTCGAGTCCACAGCTCGAGCTTTATCCTCGAGCAGGGTCGAGCAGGAGGAGTCACGAGTCGAGCTTTCCCGCGCAATTTATCAAAACTCTAATGACCCTGTAAATGAATCAGCAAAGTCGTCGGTAAAGGCATCATTGGTAAATGTGCACTGGCACGTGTATCGGGAAAGTCGTTTCTCGATTATATAGTAATTCTCGGTAGGTAAATGCATCAGTAAAGTCGTAGCTAGGGAAATTGGACGACTTTACCAACGACTTTACATACCTACTAATTTACATGCGACTTCGTGGCATTTAGGGTCGGGGGAATAAGCTTTGTTGGCTCTACCTGTGATCGCATTGATTTACAATATACTTCACAGATGCATTGAAACCGGCAACACAATCGATCATATTGATCAAGGGGAACACCCGAAGGCCGAGAGTTACAATCACAGAACTGCCTCTACATTCCAATTGAACAATACGCTTTCTAAATTTCAATTGTATTCCCCAAATGTTACAAGCCCATTAACATAGAGGAACATCTGGTGATGCTGTATACATATTTTGTTTCAAAGATCAAGTATCTTGAGATTCTAATAAAGGCTTCATCGGAAAAAAGAAATATTTTCCGGAGGAAATGGAAAAAGGGTCCGGAAATGGTAAAAGCCGTAGGGAAAAGGCATTACAAGCTGTAAAGTCGTAGGAAAAAGCATCCACAGATGCATTTACACAAGACATCGACTGTAAATGTGCTTTTTCGTGCCCTTTTGTGCCTTTTACCACTTTATTTATATGTGAAAAGGGATTATTGATGCGTTTACCGGGCTATTAGGGAAATCGACTCGAGCTGCTCGAGCTTTCTAATCATATAGGATTTGAGCACATATCGATAGATGAAAGGCTATTTGGCCCAATTGGAACCAAAAAATCTATTTTTCGCAAAGATTACTTTCAACATTTCCCCTTATCAGGAATTAGGCCGGCATTAAATATATTTATTGGAAAGCTCGAGTTTTGCCACGAGCAGAGGTAGTTTCACGAGTCGAGCGGAGCAATCCTGCTAAACGCACGAGTTGCTCGAGCCAATTAGTAAAAATCAACTCGATCGGACTCGTCGACCACACTAATTAAACCCATCCCCTCCGAACGAGCAGCTTGCTCGGCAGGAGCGCTGGTACGAGACTAAGACCCCCCCCCCTTCCAGGAAAAATTCCCATCTACTAAGTATCCCAATTTCTTTCGCAAAACGATTCCCAGCCGCATGTAGCATTGAGAATGGAGGTTGGTAGTAGGTTGAATTACTACATAATATTATGCTGGGAACTCGAATAGTTAGGAGGCCCAGAGAACCCCCATCAAGTTTCTGTCTTCAAAGTTAAGGTTTGAGGATCTATGCATGTACTACAATAATATTCTCTCTGTGTCTCCATTGACTCAATTTGGGTCATGAGACAAAGGTGGCTGTTCCCGTTTATACGCTGGTGTAGGAATACAGCGGCCCATGACTCCAAACTCGGTGTGGTAGCAACATATGAGACCTGCTCGTTCAATATTTTTTTTTTTTTTCGTGTCCTCTGACTACTTCCTTTTTTCCTTTCTTCCTCGTTCACCACCACCACTAACACCATCGTTTCTTTTTGTTTGCCCTTTTATGTCTCCGGCATCGGCTTTCTGGAATTTATCAATACACGAAATTAATGCTGAATTTATCTGCTGCACTACAACCGATGATTATTGCAGCAGTCAATTATGATTATTTTCTGCTCGTTGTTTACAGCAGTTACTAAATCCCATCCATCAACCTCCGCTCGAATTCATCGACTATAGTTGGCTATTAATTATTAATTGTATCTTTGAACGGGCATGATCCAAGTTACTACCAGGTTCGTCTTTCTTGTTTTACACTCGCACATCCAATCGTGTTCGAAAAACTTAATTGCCTGAAGACTAATCACTTGACTTCCGTAGCACGAGGAACTCGTTCATGCATTAGTAAACTTAGAGAGGATATCGTCATAGCCTCCGGGCTGCATACGATTAATGAATTAACAAAAGCAAAAAAACAAGGAACTCGTTCATAGTTTCTCACTCGATATCTAATATCAAGCAACAAATTCGACATCATTTATCGTGTGACAGGAGAGATCAGCCAAGAGCTGGTTCTACCGGCTATTTTCTGATTATCAACAGTTCCTACGAAAATGCTGGCGTGTCAATCACTGTGAGAGATGCTAGCTAGCCAGCTCGAACTCACCAATCAGCAGCCCAATTATTAAAGCGGCAATCCTCCTCCTCGATTATCAATTGCAACGATGTTAGCCATCTTTGGCATGATGCACCAACAACGAACACTGTGTCCTCGTTGGTCCAGTGCTAAAAATATCATTAGCCCCATGGCAACGTCGAGATCGAGTTTCAAACACAAACTAGATTCCATCCTCTATCTCTCAATTGTTTGCCGCTGCTGTTTTTGCTAATTGCCGTGGGTGGATAGGTGAATCTCGGGTTCTGTTTTGTCTATTCCAGCGGTGCATGTTGATGTTCAATTTATATCCACCCTTTTGGGCCTTGGTTTCTATTCGCCAATTGCAATTATATACGCCCATATCTCCAAGAGCGTCTGAGAAACGTTTCGTTTTGGAGATTTGTTTCTTCGCCAGTTGCAGAAACACACTCATAAGACCACTTCACACTAGACCATGCACAAAGGCTCCAGCACGGGCCCCAGACTGATACACGGCGATCAATCAATATCTAACACACAGATGCTGATCAATATCTCCGGCCGGTACCCTCCCAAAACATGGACCACAGTTCCGTATTAACAGTATCTACCTACCGCGCAGTCATCTCTTCGAATCCAAATCAGCCTCACACGTCTTTCAAAGTCCAACCGCCGGAATACAGATCTGCGCTCAGTTAATTTGGCGCTCGGTTAAGCACAGAGTCCGAGGAAGGGTTGATCGAGCAAGGCCACATATCTATGCTCCGAGATTTCCTCACTGGCCAGCTACGATGGTCAAAGTGTTACTAAGTGTAGGGCTGCATGATGGGTGCTCTACATGAAGCATGGAGTGGACAATATGCATGCCCATGAAGCGCGAAGCTGCGAGAACAGGACAGGCAGGCACAGGCATGCGTCGTTGACGTCTTGGCATCCACGCATCCGCATCCGAGAGCCTCAACCTTAAGAGGGGTTGCGGCGCACGGCCCACCCAACCCCCCATCGACCCCTACCTAGCGTTGCGCAGGGCCTGCGTCTTCCGCAGATCTTCTGGCTTCGACGGCCTTCTACCGCGGTTTCCCTCACCACCGCCGCCGCCTTAGACAGAGCGGGGAACGGTTGGCAGCATACGCAGTTTCACGGTTACAATTGATTGGTACACACCTTTTTTTTCCCTTCATGACAAGTTTTACGCTGAAAACTAGTGGGGAAGCAATCGGTGGCATCGTTTTATTGCATGATGTATATATTCTATGTTGCACATATATCTAAGCATATTAACATTTGACAAGCTTGAAAACCCACCAGTAGGTGGTTCGGATTGTTCGCACCCCTGAGATCATTATAGCTACGAATCAGAGCCCTATTTGCGGTCCCTCGCCGATCCGACGCGTCTTCCCAGAGGTTCTACCCCACGACTGACCACGTGTCCTGGGCCTCATCTGTTGGGAGGATCTACTCCTACCTACATTCTCCTGTCTCTCCAATATGGCTTGAGTTCCTCGTTTCATGCCCCTTCCTCATCATCTTCACCAACGTCACTGTCATCAAGTTCCATCAAGTTCCATCATCAAGTTCTATCATCACTTTTACAGCATCATCTTTCATCTTCTCCTTTTACCGCTATCTAATACCTCCATCATGCAACGCTCCCTCTTTAGAAAACCTGGCGACAGTGATGATGAGAGCAGTTCTGAGTCTGAGGATCTCAGTAGTTCGGCGTCCGCTGTTTCTGGAGATTCTGCTGGTCTTTCATCATCCCCCACAGCTCTTCCTGATAACCTGGGGCCGAATCCCTCCGTACCCACTGCAGCCGTTAACTCTTCCTCCTCTACTAGCCCAGTAACTATCTACTCGGCTGAATCTCCCCCCCATCCGCCAATCTCACCTTTCGCTGCCAATCATCAATACAGCATCGTATTCAATGCCTTGCTAGAAGCGTTCGTTTCATCACGGGTCTCTCATCCCGCTGCAGCAGAAGAATCGTTTCAGACGATTGCTCGACTATTATCTGACCATGGGATAGCTCCACCCAACAGCGAGAACTTTGCTCGTCCCGAATTGGCGAGTGTACGCCAGACCTATCTAGACGGCGTCGATGCTCTTTTGCAGCGGAGCGTACAGCAAAGTGCAGGTGGAGAAGTGGCAGGTCATGTTGTGGAGGATAGTCAGTTGTCAATGGTTCTCAGGGAGAATTCGGCTGCGGTCGTTCCCGGTCCGCCCATCCTCAAAAGGGTAATGACAGAAACCGTTCCTGCTGGTAGGAGCTTGGATGGACGAAAGGTCCTTCAACGGTGCTCTTCGTTGAGTATACTAGCAAATGCTGCAAAGGGTACAAAGTACCGGCCTAGTACTGCTCCAGCACTGGCTGAAAGCCCACCGTCGTTTTTCCCAGTGGACAAGGAGCCCAAACCAACACCAACCACGCCTAGCATCAATGTTATAATTAAACCATCACGGTATACGTCCGATTTCATCGAGCTAGGGTTTCTTGGGAAAGGCGGGTTCGGTTCCGTGTTCCACGTTCGCAATCGTCTCGATGGAGCTGAGTATGCTATCAAAAAGGTGGCACTTAAGCATGAAATGTTTAAAAAGGTCCAAGAGGATGGTATCGGAGCATTTGAGAGGGTCGTGAGGGAGGTTAACACAATGGCGACCCTTGAACATAATAATATCGTCAGGTATTATGCCAGCTGGATTGATGGGTTGATTGCTGAGCAGTTTGCCGCCGGGCCAGTGGCTACAGTCGATGTGAATGTTGGTGCTGCTACTCAAGTTGACGAAGTGAACGTCTCTAAGCATGATCCAACGAGTAACTATGATCCAACGAGTAACTATGACCCAACTAGTAACGACGGCCCAACGAGTAACGATGACCTTCCTAATGACGAGGACCTTCCTAATGACGAGGATCAGGCCGAGCTATCAGAGTTAAACATTATATTTGATATTGAGCCTGACGAAAGCAGGGTCAAAACTCTTGGTAGCTTAAATGAATCAAAATCTTTGAGCAAGGAGATCGAGGTGGGTAGCATGGGCCACATGGACGGCAATTCTGAGGAGAGCTCGGGCGAATCAGTAGAGTGTATTCCAAGGTCATTCTCCCCCAAGGCGCGGTTAGCACACGATTCTATATCTCGACGTTCCTCAAACCACCGCGGGAACAAACCTTCAGTCAACTTCAAACTAGCTTCCGAAGACGAGTCAGCGCACTTATACTCCGAATCTGACCTCGCGGAATCAGCGATCTTTTCAGCGGGTAACGGTGCCATGATAAAGTCAACCACAAAGGGGCGTGGGCAGGAGAACAGACGATCTGCATCTGTGGTCACCCTTCATATCCAGATGTCACTTCATAAGCTTGGACTGACCTCATACTTGTCCTCGGATTCCCCCCCACATGGTGGCCCGAAACATTGCTTCTGCCTTATCGCCTCATTAAGGTTGTTTTCCGGTCTTCTTGATGGCGTTGCTTACCTCCACGAGAAGAAAATCGCTCATAGAGATTTGAAACCGGGAAACATTTTCCTCGATACCTATGAGGGTCGGAGGTGTTGCAAATGCGATACCCACAACGCTATTGTCATTCCTCGCATCGGGGATTTCGGGCTCGTAAAAAATGTTACGGAAAGCACTGGGGCTACGACCCCGAGCGTTGCTGTGGGTACCGAGTTTTATAGGCCACAGGCAGGCGTTATGGACGATGACCTAATTGGAAGAGATTTATTTGCATTGGGCGTGATATTGGTCGAACTAATGCACAAGTTTGGCACAAGTGAGTCTTCTATTTCTCCTTGTCCACTTTCTGGGTCTGGTGTACTGACCTTGAATAGGAATGGAACGTGTGTTCACACTTACAGCATTGACAAGGGCCGGAAAGCTTCCAGCAGCCCTGGACGAACGCATTATTGATATCGTCCAAGGATGTTGTTCGCTCGGCCCTTATGTCAATAAGAGGTGGGATTTAGAGAGGGTCAAGCAAGCCATCATTACCATTGAGAATTCTGAGTCTCAAGAGTAGCGTTTTATTGTTTCGGGAGGTGACTATTTTTAAGGAGTTTGAACGTACGCTATTGATGCTATATAGTAACCCTGGATTTCTTTTCAGCTAGGATTTTCTTTTTTGTCATTTTTTTGCCTTAATCAGGATTGTACTCCACTCAACCGTGTGGGCTTAATTGTTTTTCTGGGGATGCCCTATGCTATTTCTGCTGTCATATGTTGTTGTACTTGCATTTATCTGGCGTTTTCATCTTTCATTTTTCATCTTTCATTTTTTTCTGTTTCATCCATGGGAAGTGGCATCATCTCCATATCGTAGGAGGGTAGGCGGACATAAATGAACGGTGGTTCATAAAAGTTGTTTTCATATAAATGTTGCGTTCCAGCCATGACCAGATTTCCTGGCTCATGGGTCGACTGGCTGACCTATTGTCAAACTGGGTTAATCTGCGATGTATTCAGGGTCTCTGACAATTAGTTAGTAGAACTAGCTAGAATATCAAGCATCTTGCTGTTCAAGGGGAGAATTGTACTCACCGATACCGCCGTGCTCCCGCTAGAGATTCTGGAGAGGATATAGTGCACCTTACCCCTTTCTGTCACTAAAGATTTCAATTGACATATCCATGCAGCTGGCCTCATACCCAGCTCAATCCCGTAGATAATTATCAGACGGAGAACTCCCCGGCGTGGCTATATAGACTGCCGTCCAAATTGTCTCGTGATGCGGAGGGTGAATATTGAAGTCTGCTCCATCCAGAGAAAGTACTGCTTTTACTGCACCGAGGAGCACAGGAAGGGACAGAGTGCTCTCATATAGAGCAATTATAACAGCACAGAGAACCACGTATATCCGTGTGCGATAGACAGCATTATCATAGTGTTGACAATTGTCAGATACTAACGGAGGCACGTATTTCGGATAGAGTGTGCTGAAACTCATACGATAGAGTGTGGGAGTTATAGTGTCTGTACGTCTGCTTCTACAGTGTGTACGGTGTTTCCCGTAACTCCATTTCGACCGGCAGCCAAACGGGCCCTAAATATCTGAAACCCTCATAGTCCTACTAATTAAAGCAACGAAAATATATAATCTAAACAGTACATCTCCTCATAGATTACACGAATACACCCAGGGATTAGAATGATTATATAAATACTTATTTCCGACCGCCGAGGCCCCTGTCCACGTCCGGGATAAGGTCAAGCATAGAGATAGCATGTATCATAATCAATCACTCGGCAGCTTACACCCTAGCTACTAGTACTATTAGGAAAACTCTGTGCATACCGATTGTGATTACTACTAAGCTACACAAGTCGAGACTTGTGTGAGATTACATTATTCACTAACTATTCGAAAAAAAAAAATAAAGGACCATCCCAAAGAGAAAAAAAAAGAGCGGGAAAAAAGCGAAAAAGGCCGGTAGTGAAGCACAGAATACGACTGGCTTGACTGGCTTACTAAGAACGCATCCTCCCTCGAACCCTAGTCCCCTCCACCACCCCCCCCACCCCCATCGTTCCCAGCGCCATGTCCCGTACCACCACCAAACCCAGCTTCACTTAACCCACCCTGCGATCACTCGTCAGCCAACACAACCATGCCACTCTTCACGCACTAACTTACATGACGGCCCTTTGGCTCGTCGGCCACGATCGGGACATATGTTCTCGCCGGCGCGCCCATGCCGTCGTCTGAGCTACTGTGACCCCTGCTCGCCTGTCTTCCGGTGGGTGTTGGTGGGAGGGCCCCGGGCTCTGCTTTCCGTTTGCGTCCGAAACACATTGTGGGTATGAGGGATGATGGTGTGAAGGAAGGTTGTGAAGTGTGTTTTTGAAGTGCCGGGCCAGCCCTTTTATAAGTACGGTGGGATCTGGGAGCTGGGTGGTGCCAGGGGGGCAGTAAATAGCTAGCCGGTTAAAAACTTGCTGGTACGTACGTAGTATATGTGCGTTAAAATCAAGGATTGTTGGAAAGCGATGGTGGGTGATTGGCTTTACGTAAGTCAGATAGCAAAGCAGACTTTGTGAGGTCTCACTTGTCAATATGATGCCTATAAGATAGACTGGTCTTTTCAGTGAGTGATTGTCTGTGTTATGTACTCGAGACGTGGAGGGTACTTTGGTCGTGATAGGGACTTGGTATTTACTTATTGTGGTGTTAGAGGCAAACGCTGAACCCTAGATTCCCGGTATACTAGCTAAAGCTAGGGAATTAATGGAGTTTCATAGTTGATTGGTTTGTAGATCCAATACCTACACAACTTCTCAATACCAGCCTTTGGAAAGCTTGAAATGCTGTCAGCCTATCATATTTTCACGTGACCAATAATCTTGGGCAAAGGAGACCTTAGTACACTAGCAAGCCACGTCGCAACTGAGTAAATATCAGTTTACTGGTGTCACTGTGCGGCGGTATGTCGGTATCAGGACAAGTATATCTAATAGGTCTGGACTGAAACTATACATTTTTCCAAAACCGCAAAAGCTCCGGCCCATGTCTCTCCATTGACCAATACATGTAGTGTGGGTTTCGTTTGATAGACAATTACCTGGGTTCTCAGCCAGATAGAGACATAACCAAGATCATTTACACTATTGTCATTTTCACAATTAATCATCAAAATCCCCGATACGTGAGCCCTATGAATAAGGTTTGAAAGACCTTCATAGTAAACCTATGGATCTCTATAAAAGATACAATACACAGGCTACAATGAATCTCTACACTTACCAATCTCCATGCGACGAAGGGGTCATGAATCTGCCAATCGGAACAACCCACCCCATCATGATCGTTTTAGTATACTTCCCACAGACTCAATAATCCATGAGCAGGCCTTCGAAAGCCACTCTTTATACATGTGCATCAAAGCCCTTTACGACCGGCGGTCCACTTCATGAAGTACAGGAGGTAGTGTTATTTGTCTAAAGTCACTTGGACTAGAGTCAGTTCGAGTTATTTGAGTTTAATATGACTGTTAAAAGACCCACCTACCAAGAGCTCAATGTGTGATTGATACCGGCGTTTGTGACCCATTTGACCCATCTGAACTCTCAGGACCTCCCTATCACTTAATCAATACTTGAAAGGCTGGAAAGGGTCAAGACAAAACACTTACCGCGCATCCGTGGTGCCTACAAATGCAATCCCCATGATGATGCGAATTATTTCCAATACGGGAGCCTAACGACTCTGAACTTTGGTTCTGATGCTGAACGTCCGATACACCATCAGTTGTCGGTGGTTGCTTCTTCTTTTCTGCATTCATTTCCTTTTTTCTTTCTTTCTCCCTCTTTTTTTCTGCCTTTTTCAGCTCCTTTGCTTCCTTCTTTTCGAATTTCAATTTTGCCTTCAATATCTTTTTCTCCAGTTTCATTGTAGCTCGATCAGTCGTAGTATCATTGGCGTCTCTATTGGCGTTCGTACTTTTGCACGTGTCTCGACTCGCTCCTGAATGCCTCGAACCGCCTATAGCTGATGCTATATCTCTGATGGATTCAAAGGGGCTGGGGAAGCACATTGCGCTTTTTCTGGCTGTATTCAACCAGATCCAATAGACAGAGGAAGAGAGTCGATACGGTAGACTCCGAGAGAATCTGAAGAATGATGGTTGAAGTCTTGATGTAGTTCTTGAGAGGATTGGATACCGCTAGCGTGAAATCGTACAAAGAATAAAAGAACAGAGCGTTATCTCGGCAGTGGTGAGCAATAGGAAAGGTGAGCAGGATGAAGCTGAGGTATAAGAAAGATCATAGTAGAGAGATATTCGATCTAAGTCCATGGCCAGATGTACAGATAACACGTACGTCCTAGCTAATACTCAGGTCAAGTAAGTTCAAGAAACGTATGAGGTTTACAATTTAGACAGACCTCAAATTGGGAACTTGAAGCTGTGTTTATTTCGGTAATAAAAATTTCTGTATTATGCACCCCAGTACTTCACGATCCCAGACGTACTGACTAATATTTTATACCTGAAGTGGCCAAATACCAGCATCACATTTGAAGCTCTTTTTTAAATCGAGACCCAGCTCCCCTTCTCACGCCCCTAAATACTATCCGCTTAGGCGTGCCTTCAAAAATGTATTGTGAAGGCCACCTTAAAGTGTCATTAGCAACAGCTATAGCGCTAGTATAATTGAGGTTTTCATTAAGAGTCAGCTCCTCGAGTGCCATTCCCGCAAAATTTCATGATCAATGGAATATATCAAGGAGAAAAATTCATATTATATTCTACTGGAATTCGAATGATTTGGCTTTTAGAAACTCTTGATTAATTATCATTCACTGCGATACAAATGGTAGAGCTAATTACCGGCCATGGTCGTCTACAAAAGGCTGATATCTGTTTTAGACTCTGTATTTCGTCTGAGCCTGTTCGCGGCCAAGGTCTATTTTATTTTTTCCCAGACACGATACCCCGTACTAGATATATTTCAACCTTGGCGCTGGTTACGATATTCGATATGCTAGGCCCTGGTCGAGATGGGTGGGTTCCATTTGACCCTAGCAAGTCTCCTGGACGAGACGTATATGGTTACATCGATCGAGATCTATCGCCTTCTCGGTAATCGCAGTTCTTTTTTTCAATGGCAAAGTAGTTATCAATTTGCACAACTATTGAACTTCTTAGGCTGATGCATTCATTATAGTACTTAGACCTAATTTGGGCTCACCTGGTGGAAGCAAGCCACACCAGCCCCAAAGTCACCGGCGGAAGCTTTGAAAATTTAAATGACTAATCTGATATCGGGTCGTTGCAGATCTTTAGCTAACTGTAGTATTAGTTTAACGAATACAGGTACATGCATGTAGTTTCGGAAAGGCATCACCCCAGTTCATCAAGTGGTAGGCCGGCTGACAGGGAGTTATCTTGTCATCACGGGCCTGGAAAAGCTTATTTCGATGTAGTACACATGACCGAAAGCTGAAGCCACAGGTGTACGTAAACCACAACTTCTCATTTATCCACGGAGACACACAATCTCGCCCGCAAGGGATATAGACGTTGGATATAAATATTGCTGAATGATGAAAATGGTGATCTAATCTTTGTGAAAATTTGTCTTTGTGATGACCTAGTGCAGTCCACGAGACGTCTCGAGCTGACCGACTCAGAGGCCCGGGCTATTGATCAAGATACATCTACATCGATAGACTCTAGGTTCCTGGAGGTATCGTCATATCCTATGGCCGAACTTATGTGTATGCCAAGCTGTAACGATCGACCCCGGATCATTCACATAACGTTCCCTGTCTATTTAAGAATCCACTTGATGTATGAATGGATCCCTTTGATTGCTTAAGCTGGTTAATCTCGGGCGGACTCAACCATAATCGTACCTCCAAGGCGAGAATGGAACACCCCCGGACGGACCTTTGGTCTTATTAGAGTGTATTTCTAATACCTTTTGGGTGAAGCATGATATACCTTGACCTTAAGCTTTTTGGACCTGAAGGAACAAACTAACGTCATGTAGTAAACCCAAACAAGTTTAAACAAGCGCTTGGGATGCGTGTTCATCTAATGATTATGGTTGAGTGCCCAAAGTCTACCCGACTCGTAAAAGAAACCACACCCAGATCTGCAGAAATAATTTCACGGGTAGCGGATGAGGGGTGTGTTGGTATTAAACTTCCAAACGAACGATAATGAAGAAGAGGTGTAGTGGGGGACCGAGAATTGCCATGTTTATGGTTTCAAAGGGCTTGAAACCGGTAATTGAGCTAAACCCTGAAGAACCAAGCTTTCAAACCCGGTCCTTATGTGCTGTGTGAGAAAGGCCCGTCTACTTGGGCGTATGTGTGTCCCTCATTTCGAATTCAGCTGATATCGTATAGTTTGACCCCAATTACCCCGATTTCGATCTTCGATAGCGCCATTCTTACCGCCGCACTTCACCACTGTCCCAATTGTAACAGCACACATAACTTTCAAGTGCAGAATACCATGGTCCATCAGGGCTGTATTTTGTCCCCAATCTGCAATATGTTTTATCCAGCTAAGGATTTATGATATTTTGATGGATTGGATCTAACCTTAGTTATATAGTTAAAGAGATAGGTAAGGGAGCCTGCAAATGTTAAATATAACCGGGGTTGGACGTCTCCATCCTTACCAGCTGCAGGATAACCTCCCGCCAGAGGACATCGTTCCGGGGAGCGCAAAACTTCGGTATATGGATATATACACCTCCCTTATAGTGCTTGAGATAGTGACGGGTCTTTCATTAAGCTTGACTTGCTTACTCTATCATAATAAATCGTCGGAAATCCTCTCCCTCAATTAATCTATCGGAATAGGATACACATAGATACTCGAGGTTCGGATCTCCAGCCATTAACTCGAGTTGAGGGAGGTAACAAGAGGGCAATTACATCTGAGAAGTGATCAGAGATGGCGGTATTCGGGATATATACCTATGTGATACCGTGCGCAAACTGGAGAGACAGAATCAAGTTCGTTATGCATCTCTAATCTCTATTTTTACAGAGCGCCCCAGGTGCGAGGCAAACCCGTGGCAATTCTACCTTTTGAGTTGAATGATTCCCTGGACTCCGACACTTGAGCCACGTAGAGAACACAAAACACATGCAGTGAGCCATGTGGATCAAACAATTCTGTTGTCACCCTTTTAAAGTAGACAACCAGAGCCACAGCACGAGGCGGCCCTCAATATATGCAATGCCAGCTCTTGTTAAACGGGTTCTGTATTAAACTTCTGTCGTTTGATTGAATGCCAGCGGAATAGCTACCATGTGATATGCGTCCTTATCGTTGTACAGTGATCCACAGGCGGTACTCGGTACTCTACTGCTGTCGTGTATGTACACAGTTCCACAGGTTCCACGGTTTTACGGTTTGAACCTGTCGTTCTCGATAGTACCTAGCTGACAAATGTCGGGTTCTTGCGTACTTTTGGCCGCATTGGCGAGGAATCAGTCCATCAATTATCGGTTATAAGCAGGGAAGGTTTGCTTCTATATCACTTTGGTTGGAACTTGAGGTTTTAAATCAGTGTGTTCAATTTTATACAGCATGGGCCCTTTGCCAGCAGATCTTATGGAGGAAAAAGAGAAAATTAGGAAAGAAACGCAGCATGAAGCCACCACCGTAGAAACGCGAACTTGGTTTGAATTGATGATGAGCTATCCCGATCAACACACCCGTCCCTGTGAAATTCCTCCTCCCACCTTGCCTTTAGTCAAGTACAGTCGGTACAAAGACATACAAAGCCAAGCATGATGGTGTTCTTTCCTCTTGTCACAGCCCCCCAAAGAATCCTCCCCATCATCTCTACCCGTGCGGCCGTCCCGTAGCTGTCCCTTAGATGGTCACCACTTGTCAGCATCGGTCTTACAGGAGCAGTAGGAGTACATTGAGGTGGGGCAGTGGAGGCAGCAAGGGCAGCATGGGCCGCGGGGGAGGGGGGCATACAGGAGGGGAAGAAGAAGCAAGAGAGCCAGGAGACGCAAGGGGGGGGGAGGGATAAAGTGTACCTATTCGATATTCCTCCAGAGGTGAGTCCCCTGAACCTCAATGTAGGAATTGTCCCCATCGTCGTAGATCCACTTTGGCTGGAAATCGCGGATATCCGGGAGTTCTTCGGTAGTAAGGCTCATGGAGTAGTAGCCATAGTGCCAGTCTGGGATCTCGGTTGTAGGGGCGAGGTAGTAGACGTAGTACTTCATTGTAAAGCGAGTAATTGAGGGTGATGCTTGTGCAAGATTTTGATGGCTGGAGGAGGATGAAGGGATGGATTAGGAGATGTAATAGAGGTAGTGGAGAGAATTTAAGGAAGATGTAGTTGGCTTGTGATGGCTAGTGCAACTTGACATAGTTCGGTTTCAGCCGCCCGCCTTCCGCCGCTTGTCATCCCATTCTATGGACTTCATGACACCAGCTCCGCATCATGTGCTCTCACTCGATATCGGAAGTAACCGTGAAGATTAATCTCTTAGAAGAATAAGCAGAAGTCGGGCCAAATAAATAAAAAGTTCAAGATCTGACTCCAAATAAATTCAGGAATCTTTTAGCACCTACTTAGATGACTAGGGAACCATTCAATCTTTAAGGCTGATAGTTGATCCGAGTGATAACCTGTGATCGGTAGAACACTACAAGGCTCTGGCATTAAGTGAGTGAACGGATTCTCACCTGTCAACACCCCATTTAGTTCGCTCACTTAATACCAGAGCCTTGTACATGTAGTTCATCAATTCAAATACTATCATTTCAGGGTCAAAATATATATTATATTGATTTTTATCAGCAGTGATTTTTAGCCCATCAGAATAAGTCAAAGTAAAATACACCTATTCGACGGCTTAGCTGTGTCCCTGTAAATAAGAAAATCCCCAGTCCACCATTAAACACCCAGTTTAACCATTGGCCTACATTAATATGTAGAGATGATGGTACGTTTACACCATCTCAACAAATATATGTATGTAAAGAATAATAATCTTATAAGCTACTATATACATCTAAGTAATTATAAGGGTCTCGATTCTTAGTTCCAATACGGTTATAGCTAGTGCTGTCACGATATCATGCCATTTTTTATATTTGTGCTTGAGCGCACCTATTTTTTGTATCAAACTTCAAACTGCTGTCCCACTTTCCGCTTCATGACGATCATCATTCAACCCTGGTATCATATTCTAGAGTACATGCATTAAATAAATAAATAAAACAGCTCAAGTGTAGTTGAACCTGGATACACCCCTCCCGCCATTTCTCCGACCCAAGCGGATAAAGAGTAATTTCTAGATCATTTCCTGTTTGGATCTCTTGTAAAGAGGGGAAGAGGTATTTCTGTCTTTGTCCTTACTTTACTGTACAGGGGTACAGGCTATTATTCTAAGAGTGAAGTAGTGATCGAATGCTGAAATTCGATGAGACACATATTATGAAGATCCCGATCGACATTAAATTTAATTAATCAAGTCGCCACATCTTGACACATACTAACGTGGAAATCAATACGTATGTACTATTCCCAGATCCTGCCTTCAATGCGAACATACGTCCTCGTACGTAGATGGCAGTGCAGAAATGACCGGTGCTTACTACAGCTAAAGTCAAGACCGTCGACGCGGCCACTGCCACTGTCAATGGACTTTTCCCATTACGTAAGTACGTACCATGGTCTACACTACATGTACATTCTCTTCCCTATCCTGGGAGACACTAGCGGACGATGGATACGGCTAACTCTAAACCCGAAGTCTAAACTAAACAGGTTGCATTCTTAGGTCACAGACGCGACTACATGTACCTACATACTACATGTAGACACAAGTCTCATCTCCATCTCCCTGATCAATCGACCTTTGGTTACATACATGTACTTATCATCTTGTCATGATTACTGATTCAAATCAAGAGACCACTTGCAAAGGATCTTACCTATATCAATACTGCTGGTTATTGGTTATGGACGATTTGGATTTGATTCGTCGAGTGATGGCTGGTGAGTGCGTCATTTCATCCAAGAGAGATCGAGAAATCTTGAACATTGAAAGGCTCGCATTCCTGATATTACTAGGCTTGTAGCTACCGTCAACCACACATCTCGATTACTGTTCCATGAGATGCGGATTCTGCTTCTTTATTTCTGTTCTATAAATCAAAATGTCGACCTCCCTAAAGTTAGTCTGAGTACATGCATGGGACCGAGAGACTCTGGTGGTAGAAAAATACGGGTTTTAACTAGATGCAGGTACACATTTTGCTATTTGTTAATACCCGAAATCCTTGCTTTCAGCGGGTAATATTATTCCAAAGCTGACAAGAAAGAATTGAGATATTCGCCATCCCCAAGGCCCAACCCCGTCCCCCCGTCCCCCCACACCCACACCCACATCAATTGAGCCGAAGATGAAGACGAGTAATAGAATCAAGCGGATTGTGCTTTGGAAACCTGGATTTATCTAGCTCTAGCCCGCCTCTGGTCCAGAATGCATCATCTTGGTACACTTGCCATGATCTACATAACCGAACTCAAAACCCGTTTTCATCTTTCAAGAATAGGCGAGAGAACAGGCCTGTCGTGTTAATTCTAGTTATCATAGGTATGCACCTAAACTTTCCTCGAAATAAAGTATCTTGGCAGTATGGACTTTATTTAGATTCAATGCTTGGTCCTTTTGGGAGAAATCGACTCTTTCTCAATTCATGGAGTGTGTATTTTTTGTTTACTATGTCGCTCAGATGTCCTTAATTTGAAAGTAACCTTCCTGACCTATGAGGCCATTGACGGAAAACCAGCTCATCATCAGGGAGGAAGACGGGATCAGTCACCGCCTCGCTTAACCTCCTACTTTAGAACCAAGGTCGATATTCATGAAGATTTTCTACAATCGATGTTATCTGCTAGCAAACTTCAGTGAAACTGAAGGTTCCTACAGAAAAAGATCTTATTCCAAGGGGGCGACATGACTAAACCATGCAAGTACTAGGGAGTCTACCGGAACCTCTCTCCGCATTCCCGCTGCTGCCTCCACAAAATACTACCCCACATATCGGTTCGACCCTGGCATGACTTATGCCTGGATACATGTATCTACTCTATCTAGGTAAAGTATCAGTCGGTCAGCTACATACATGTACATACATGTAACCCGCCAAGGACAGGCCGTTTTAATCCCTATTCGTTCGTTTACGTGGAGTGGATGGATTAGAGCTCAGAAAACCAGCTACTGACCGACTGACGTTGTACTCGGGTTGTGAGGTAGGAGTTGGGAATCGCGGGGCTACCTGTTTTTTGTGCTCAGGTTTGCACTCCTTTCCCACTCTTGATACCGTAAAAACATGTCTCACATATCAGGTTACCCCTTGAATGTATTCTGGATTTTTACCTTGTCATATCGCCGCAGGGGAATCGATCCACAATCATGAGCATCAACATCACATTTTTTTTCTGATAAACACAGACAAACGTCACAGCATATTATTCATTGGCGGAAATGAGGGCCGCTATTCCGTTTTTGAAGATAAGGCAACTAGAGGTATGCAATGTCAAGAGAAGGAAGTACGATTCCAGAGGGCACACTCAAATGTTACCAGGGTACGTTGACGTTGACATTCAAGCTAACAGCCATCAGATGGTCGTGTCGTACATTGAGTTACAGTAATAGAAAATCTAGAATGTCTCAGATATCATATATTCGGTGAGCGCTGAAATGCAGTATCGTCTTGAAAGGTGCATGTATATACGTAGATAAACCGGCTCTTTTTGTTCGGCCTTGCCGTTTGGATTGGAAGGTGAAAATCTCCCGTGTGTGCATGTTGTGGGATTGGATGAAAACCGAGGATAGGGTACTTTGTTGTCCCAAATTTAACACTTAACTTCGCACTGGTGTTGTGAGCTCATTTAGTTACATTAGCTCAGTGGTTTTTAGTATCCACATCCAATACATATCAGCTCACGTATATGTAATTACTTAGTGAGGCAAGGAGATTACAATGTACTTTGTACCTACGATGTGGATTTGTTGTGCCGTAGGACAGTGAACTGACATCGGCATCATGTGAAAAGATATGCTTGCCATAAATAAGGCTTTGGCCATCAAACCTACATCCAGCTAGTCTGAGCTCTTTACACATATCAGCTAATGTATTAACCCTGGTACACGTACTCGACTCTAGGAAGACCAGAGTGCAAAACAACGAAGCAACAAGGCATCTGACATGTCCCGGTGGTCATTTTAGACACATGATAAACCTCTTCCTTTTCCCTTTACTGGCTTAGACAATTATATTTCGTGAATTCAGTAGTCTCATGCTTTATACTTATTGGGTGTAAGAAACGCCTCTTACTTGCGGGAAGAGGCAGGGCATACTTACTAATGGCTTGGGTACGGAGCATATGCCATTTCTAGTAATTGGGCACCTTAAGCCTTGTTTATTCGTTTGGTGGTGGCTGACCGTAGTTAGGGTCTCTTCGACTACCTAGCGTTTCTCGTAATACCTCGAGCCCCTACACACCTCAGTACAGTACTTTGCATGCAGTGGGAGCTTTTACGGAGGAACGGGACATGTAGAGATGAAACTAGGAGTATGATGCTACCGCTTGGGACAGCAGATGCACGGTTCTAAGCGAGCTGGCAGGCAGCGTTAGTAGATAGCGCAATTTGTGGCTTGACCCTTCGATCTCACATCTTGTCGCCCTACTCTTCTTGTATTACTTGTACTCCTCCCGGATTCGTTGACGTGCATGAACAGCCGCAGCAGTAAAGAGGAGGGCAGGTATGGAATATGGATCTTAATATCGGCCAGTCTTCTTTCCATAGGTTTGGTTCCTAGTTCCGAGCCTCATTGATACATACTCTCCTCTGGCCGCTCTGATTTCGTATAAACACAGTGGGTTATATATATGATAGCTTTCCATATGACACATAATATGCAGCACTCACATCTATCAGGGCCTCGTTGCGTGGTTGATTGGGGAACGGTATTGTAATTTATCTACTAGCCTTTCACTATTCTTGACCATGAATGCATATGAGACCATTGCAACGCACTGCTCTACTACACCAACACTATCCGTCAGGAAACAAATCCCTGTCTGCATGCATGGCAAGCACAGTCCTAAGCTTACGGGTACCTGATCCTACTCTATCACAATCCAACCGTAAGCGAACCGAGATACAATCTGAAGGAACTACATTTCCGCAATTCTCAATCTACATACCTCGGTGTGGCCGCTCTCGCGCTTAGCTAGGAAACAGGGGGTACTTATGTAGGTAAATACTCTTGATCACCACGACCCCATCCCTGTCGCAAATCAAACTTTCAGTTCGCTTCAGTAGTCCACTATAAACAAATGAATTTGCATATAGAGACCCTATATTATCCAGCCAGGTATATACCACACGTGTAGTTCAAATATAGCTAGGGTAGAGAGAAAAAAATCTCTAGCTAGGGATCTGTATTCCTCAATAAGCAAAATTCCCGAGAATCCCATCTACTTCATGGTACCTCCGCATTTATTAGGGGTAAAGCCACAATCAATCCTATCAACCCTTGTGTCGTATCTCTCTCTTTTTTCTCGCTCTCGTACTCGCTTTTCTGTGCGCATTATCGTTTCCAAAGTTCTCGTACTCTATCTGCGCCAGTAGAGAATATAGAGTTTTTTCCTCTCTCTCTTACGCCCCTGAGACTTGCATGAGTCCCTGCCTGATACCCCGCTAGTAGTGGACGGAAGGGAGAGATGAAAATTTGTCCAATTGCAAAGTAGAGTACCCCTCTACCTGGCTCATAACACAATTGAGAACATACCCACGTAGTCACGGGGATCCGGATCAGTAGAGCTAGCTAGCTAGCTAGTAAAGAACTATCTAGAAGACCGCTGAATGTTCTAGACGGCCACTAACTACACCTGGGGCCGATTAGCATCAGCTTAGGGTTCATCCAACTGCCAGAGGCGGGGCATGGCAATTGCAAAAGAAGCTCCTAACTGACAGAGAATCCAAGGACCGGTAGGTGAGGTAGCACAATTCCAAGATCATAGCCCAATAGATTCCCGATCTCTGCTTAGCTCCACCAGGGGTGAACATCATGTCAGGGTTGAGGCCGGGGGGGGGGGGTGGGAAGAGACATTATTCCTTCTTTTCTTTCTTCCCTTATCGCGTCCGGCAGCGGCATCTGGGACAGATAAGATTGGGAGCATCATGATGGAGGGCTGGCCTGGGTTTCTAGAAAAGATGTACGGCCTAGAGCGGTGGGTAGAGTAGAGTATGATATGATGTATGCAGGGAAGCGAAGGCAGCGTAGAGACAGGTCATGTAGCCTCAGTAAAGTATGTGGAGTACTGTAGAGTCGTCAACATACATCATGTACTCTGGCAGGCCAGCTTTTCTTTCCCCTAAAACAGATATGTACCCAAGCTTCAGCGGCTACTACTAGCATGTAGCTAGAATAGAGAGGATGCTCATAATCATACTTTATGTGGGTTAGTGTTTTTTTCTTTACAAGTAGAGTAAGCTACAATATTGTAGTACTGGTAGCAGGTACCGGTATGTTGAGTCTCAATCTGACTATTTCAAATATAAGAATCCATACTCAGTCATAAGCAACTAAGTAAAGTAGAGTACAAATCTCCGCAAATAGGGGCCTTATGGTTCACGTGGCGCCTGCATAGAAGTCTGTTATGTTCCTGTCAGTCATTGGCACGTCGAGTATTTGGTTGGGTCTGAACGCGACGTACAAGACAGCAGAAAAACAAAGGAAAGAACCCAATCGGAATTCGGAAGCCATCGCACATAACCTAAGACACATGTCCCTTTTTGGCCAACTTATTACTTATTAGCACTGTCTCTTCACCGCGCTCTGTTTCAGCGCCCACTCTCACATCCTTTTCCCTTTCTCTATGCTTTAGCAGCCGGTAGGTAGGTAACGGAGCTTCGGAAAAACAACAAATCCGCTCGCGAATAGTAGCCGACCCAACCAACTGAAACCAAGCTTAAGCAACTGGCTAGGCAAGCGAAACAACCGTAGAAGATATTCTTGGCAGTACTACTGACTCTACGTGACTTCACCACGGGCATACGATTTCGATTCGTGACTTTGCCTTCCCCTCCCCCCTTCCTTCACTCCAGCTCTAACGCGGTGAAGATGGGATGCATATGTAGAAATATGTAGTGTAATATGTACTCAACAGTTTAGGTCTACCTCTGCATGCATCTCCTCCCAGCGCGCCCAACCCAAACCATGCAGTTCTATTATTACTGCAACCAGAGGGTTGGCTCAACCAGTAGTAAACCCCTACCCTACCCTACCAGCCTCACTTGTCCACCACACCCAAACACCCCAGAACCGGCCGGCCGGCGGAGACTCGGCCCCGTACCCCGTGAAATATATTAAGACGAAAACGATATTCCGGCCCCCACATTACCGAGAAAACTGCTGCGGTAAGAGAGGGGGGTGGGAAAAAACGACATGAGCTCCCTCCCGAGCCCTGGAATTGCCCCAGAATCCTTGTTCAAAGACTCTGTATGATGTATCTTGGATGGGGTTGGGTTGGGTGGATCATGGAGGGACGTGAGGGAAGGGACTAGAAGTCTGTACAAGAACGAAAACACGAACTAAAGTATTTTTGCTAAATTGAAAATGCTCCGGTCACGTTGCTGAGTGAATTCTGTCAACGCACAAGACACATAAAAAAAACAATCGAATAGCACCTCTAGTCTATAGTAATATTTGACACCTGCCTACCCGCCTTACTTGAATCTAGAGGCTTGAAAGGGAGGGGAGCTGGGGGGACAAGGCGCGAGATTAGATCCAAATTTCACACCACACGTACGTACTTAGGTACGGGACAGGCACAAATTGATCTTGTACTTATCATGCAAGGTATAACCTGACTGCAATAGTAAATATATGTATCTATATACATCTCCGCGACTTCATTTGAGGGTACAGTACCAGTGATAGTATAGGTAGAGCGAGAGAGAGAGAGAGAGAGATGTATACGTACGTGGATTATAGAACACGAAAGGAAACTACTCGTTTGTTTATTTTCATTTATATAGGTACTACAACTCATGTATAATATCCACAATATTCCTTCTGGCCGGATATCACGTATCATAAATGTAGGTACAGCTAGCTGCCTCCCAGCTTCACTGCGCCTCATGCCCAAATCAAAGATGCCGCATATGACGGAACGAGATCGCGAAAAAAGGCACTGTATTTTGTTAGCTGTAGAGTATCTGTAAATTGTTTCTAGGAAATAATTTTAAATAAGGGGCTCATGAATTTGAATCGCGGTATGGTTGATCAAACGGTGCCGACGCCGTCCATTGATGATCCGGTCCGAAAAAACAATAGCTACTTTCCCAAGCGTCCTTACTTGGAAATAAAGGTGGTTAGAATATATTCCCGTCTGGAGTCAGGGCAGAAGGGCCGCGCTCGTCCCGAGAGCACACCCCTCCACACCATCCAGCGTCTAGTGTGAATGCATGATATCTGTCACTCTGCTTGGTAAGGTTGGTAAGGTCACAACGAGCACCCCTTGAGGAAATCAAATAGGTCGATCGAGCGTTGGCCGTATCTCATCCCCTTCTAGACTCCAAAGTATGTGATCTTGTTGTGCTAGAATCAGGTTCAGATCCTCGCTCTTCTACCATATCGGGAAAGGAGAAGGCATCCTTCGATTATGCGGGGTGGTTGCTGGGGTGCATAATCTTCCCATCCCACTAGGAAGGTATTGAAAGGCTGGAGGAGTGTTTAGCTTTGGCTCACATGCTTGAATCTGGATCCCTGGGACTCGGGGTATGCTTTCAGGTACAAGATGCGGTATACGTATATTTTTGTAGTAAAATAGTATCCCCCGCCAGAACCTATGACGGGTCCAACACCCTTTTGTCCTTGCGAGAGGGGGTGATGGCAGGCATGAATTAAAATGATTAGATGGATAGTTAGCTGTCATTTGTAAACCCCCAAAACGCGTTTTCGTCCCGTGGTTATGTTAGAGAAAGAGTGGGGAAGAGTCAGTAGTAAAATGGACGTGAGAGATATAAGTGGAATTCACATATGAAGTCTGGTTTTCGGGTCTTCAGACCTCCTTTCTTAAACTCGTTCCATCTCTAACGCAGTAATTTTTTTTTCGTTTTCGTGTCTTGTCTTGAATATTTAGACGTGCACCTATAGCCCAGACCAACAATATACGGAATCGTGCAAGGTCTTATGACGAGGTTGAATCGTCTGCCAGGAAAGACCCTTTTAACGTTAATCCTGTTGCCAATCTCGTTTACAGCTGAGCTGCACTAGGCGAGCCTGTGTTTCGATATTGATTCTCGTATAAACCGTTCTACTCTACCTCACTATCCCTCCTCCTCCAATCATCGTATCAACAAGGCGTTTCACCATCTCCATAGTGTCTCCTCGGCACTGTCTCACTACTTCCATTTGCTTCTTCCGGGAATTCGGTACCGACCCGAGGCTTCTTTCTCGGAAGCCGAACTAGCTAGTGTGGGGAGGGCGTAACGGCTTTCGGCAGAGGACCACGTGAATCGTTACTGGAAACTCGTTAGCACGCAATTACAAAGGCTTTTTTTAAGGTGTCGATTAGGTTAGCTAGGTTAGTGTTTTGATATTTTCACAGTTATCGTTTGATTTGTATTTTGGTGATATGTCACGGTGCCCTTTCTCGGCGCAGCAAAAACTGTGGCGGGGTATGATTACATGTATCTATCCCTTTCGGACTGATGATTTTCTTTTGCGCCGATATGCGTGTATGCCCGACTGGCCGTTAAACCCTTGCCTGGTCATACTCCACGAAAGCTTTTTTTTCCCTTGCTTAGCTGCTTGGTTTACATCTGCTAGCGCCTTTCTATCATCGTGGGGTGTTGCGGTTCAGGTACAACGGAGACCTGTTTTTCCGTCCGTGTCTTTCATTTCATCGTCATGTTGTCAGCTGTCTTGTTTGTGGGGATCTAGCCGACACCACCGGCCGGGGTGTTTATTTGACCATGGATTGATGCTGACGAGTGGCCTAGGCAGGGTTGGGGAGCAGAGTAGACTAAAGTGACAAGCAATAGCACCACGCGGTGTACGCCACTGAAGCAATTGGTATGTGGTTTGGGGAAGGCATGATAGTGCTGATTGTATGTACTGACGGGGACGAGATGCACAGGTAGGGAAGGAGCACAGTTCTGGACTGGAGGGGCATCAATTAGTAAGTAGAGAGGTCTCCCTTGACTATGGAGAAGAGGGTAGGTCAATTGACATACGTGACATGACAGATAGACAGATAATTGGGTGTGGGATCTCTGTCTCTGGCCGTGCCCACTCACTCCTTTCATCTCTAAATAAGTGGGAGCGGAAGGGTCCTCGGTAGGACACCCGAATTCATAATCATAAAACTGTTTGAGTCGAATATCGATACTCTAGAACGTGCCCGTCTGGGGTACATACAGGGTTCGAATTTGACTTCTCTTTTTTTCGGTCAGTGAGGTGAAGTGAGGTCTAACGCTGAAGGGAGAGTAAAGAGCAAAAAGCAAGAGAGAGAAAAAAGCAAGACAGAGAGAAAAAAACAAAGGTTGGACAAACAAGACAGCCTTGCAGCAGCAAGTGAATTTGCTTCTTACGCGAGAAAGCTGCAAATTCGATAACGACCCCCCCGTGTTCTGTACCCCCGAACATTCTGTCGGGTCAGACAGAGAAGAAAAAGAAGGTGTGTTACTCTAGCTACATACCACTTTTCCTTTTCGTCCCTTTTCGAGTCCCGTTTTTTATTTTTTACTTTTCCTTTCTTTCTCTGTCACTATATACCTCTTCTATCTACACATGTAATCCTATGTCAGCCTTCAAATCCGTTTCCCCTTTCCTTTTCATCGGGATGAATTTTCTTTTTCATCTCCTCTGTTCATCCGTTCCTTCTCCCCCAAGTGCAGGCCAAGGCAAGGCAGGCAAGCTAGCATCGAACGGCTTTGCATCTCAGCAGAACCTCCCCTGCCACGATTCATGCACTCCCCCCTGCACGTGTGAATTCCTTACATGTGCATCCAGACACACCCGTTCCATCCTACTCCTCCTTCTTAGGGCTCCTTCTTAAGACCCCAGCTCGGCCGAACCCTAACCCAGTTATTATTTGGGAGGTGGAGGTGAGCATTAGCACTGACCTGCCTGGGTCTAGCGCTGCTGTCTCCACCCCCCAAGCCAGGCACACCCCTCCTAGGCAGAGCACTCTTGTTTGAACTCGCTCATTCATGTCGCCTGTCGGTCTGGGGGGGGGGTAGGGGTTGAAATTGATGGTGTCGACATTATTGTAGGATAGGGAGTGCACGCATACATAGATAGAGAGAGAGAGCGCCAACTGACTGATTATCCGTCCTAGCAGCAGCTTTTTTTTCTCTTCGCTGGACGCCTCTTCCTCTACTCTCACGGGTCTGCCACTGATTTTTTTTTGGTTACCGTTACCGACGTTACCGTTCACGAGGGTATTGAGTTTTTTTTAGATCGAGTGCTTGATTGCTCTTGGTTTGGGGTTAGCAGCAGCAGCAGCGCAACGAGTGATTATCGGAGCAGCAAGCAGTAGTAGCAGCAGTAGCAGTAACACCACTACGAGCGAAAGAACGACGAGCGAATTGCCGCCACCTTCATCTCTACTAAATCCCCATTCGTCCCCCCCCCCCCTTGCTACCGTCTCCGCTCTTTTCCCTGCCCCCCTCTCCCCACTCTTTAGAGGCTCTTTTTTGCTTGTTGCCCCAGGTTGTTGAAGAATAAACTCCTCCCGCCCATCCCATCATCTGGAGAAGCATCATCCAACATCTTTCTCCACTACCATCACCTCTCACATATTATTTTAACTTACCCAGGAGCAGTTCATCTAAAACTGCTACCACAGTGGTTCGTTGATTATCTATTACTATTGTCACGACTTCAGTACTCTGGCCATAGTCACCGCCATATTATTATTCTTCTTGAATATTACTTGATCTACCCTTCTCATTTCATCTGATATCTAATATCTGCCCGGAGACTAAAGTATTAATTGACCTACACTCACTCCTCCTCAATCTGTCTATCGCCATCAATCACAAATGATGCTCTCACAGGCACTGCATCAGTACGCACCTAGCCCACACTTCCAGTCGCTACCTTCGTCAAACGGGGACGCCATGATGAACGAGGGACCGGTGGGGATGTCCCATCAGTCTTCTGTATCTTCATCGGCATCATCTTCTCATAAATCATCTTCAAAACAGGCACGTTACTACAATCACCACCATAGTCATAACCATCCCTACGATGATGATGGTAGGATTAACAATGGGCAACAGATGAACCAGATAACGCCCGGCCCGATCCGGAGGAGGATTAGTAGGGCCTGCGACCAGTGTAACCAGCTCCGCACAAAGTGCGATGGGAAACTACCGTGTCAGCATTGTGTCGGTGGGTACCCCGGATCTCCCCGACTGTTGCGTACTTTTTCTTTTCGGTTGCGCTCTTTTCTTTCCTTTTTTCTTTTTCTTTTTTCTATATTTGCTTTTTGGTGGGAGTGGGGTGGTTGGTTTGGTTGACTGACGATGATTCAGATTTCACACTAAAGTGCGAGTATGCGCGCGAGCGCAAGAAGCGAGGTAAAGCTTCTCGAAAGGATATCCAGCAGCAACAGGCCGCCGCCGCTGCAGCAGCGCAACAGATGGACAATTCCTCGCCAACGGACATGCGTCGGGCGTCTTCCGACCTGCCGCCGCCGCCCCGGCCCGGTAGCAGCAATGTTCGCAAGCAATCGTCATCCGCGGCAAGCACTAGAACGTCGCTCGGTGATCTCCACGACATGTCGCAGCATCAAATGCACCACCACCACCTTCCCCAACAGCAACATCACCACCACCATCTTCCCACTCCTGAATCCCCATCACTGCAACTGTCGCACGATGGCGTTCCCTCGGGTATGCCCATGCATTTCGATCGTATGTCCCCATTCCAACATCAATCGCCGAACGGCGCCGGGGCGCCATCGCGAATGATGCCGGGGCAGTCGGCGCATGGGGGTATATCGCAGCCAGGGTCTGCCACCGTGAATGGATTTCCAGTAAATGAGTTTGTGCTGTCACCCCAGGGTCACCCGAGTCACGCGATGAATTTCCAACAGAGTGCTGCGTCCCCATTATCAGGGTTTTTGGGTGGGCACTCGCCTGAGGATGGGTCGCCGTCATGGCTCTCTATGCCCTCACCACCGACACAGTCATATTCAGCTGGTATAAGGTATCCGGTTTTGTTGCCGCTGCTACCACACATAACGCAGATTATCCCACCATTGCTTGCGTGTGACCTGTTGGATCTGTACTTTACGAATCCTACGACTGCGTTCTTCCAGCCAGCTTCCCCGTATGTTCTAACCCATATCTTCCGGAAGCGCTCGTTCCTCCACCCCCACAACCCACGACAGACCTCCCCCGCTCTTCTTTGCGCCATGCTCTGGGTCGCCGCACAGACATGCGATGCCCCTTTCCTCGCTGCCTCCCCTGCTGCACGAGGAAGAGTGTGCCAAAAACTTCTTGAGATATGCATTAGCCTTCTTCGACCGCTTGTACATGTCAACTTGACTCAGCCTGCACCCCATGGACACCATCCCTCTGGAGAATCTGAGAACGGCTCCGCAGGTGTTGGCCTTGGGGGTCTTGGGGGCGCACCCGGCGGTGGCCGGGAAGGTGTAGGTGCGGCTGGAACCCTGGATGATGTGCTCACATATGCGCATCTCGGTATTGTGATTTCTGCGAGTGAATTCAAGAGCGCATCACTACGGTGGTGGCACTCAGCGTGGACATTGGCGAGGGAATTGAAGCTGAACCGTGAACTCCCCGCCGAGAGCTTGGTTGACCAGATGGGTGAGGACGACATGGATGGGCATCACTCGCCCTCCGATACAGGCCCGGGAAGCGTCCACTCACACCACACGGTCAGCAATGGCCGCATGTCTGTCAGCGAGGAGGATAAGGAGGAGCGCAGGCGGACATGGTGGCTGCTCTATGTGGTAGATCGCCACCTTGCACTATGCTACAACCGCCCCATTTCGCTCTTGGATGTGGAGTGCGAGAATCTTTACCTGCCTATGGACGATATTGCTTGGCAGAATGGAGACTTTTATACCCACGATCCCCACAACATGTACGCGCAGCATCCGTCCTCTCCGTCACATAGCGGTCTAGCGCATCGCCGCCTCGGGCCGTCGAACTTTGAGGTCACGGGAACAGGCTTATTCGAGTTTTTTTTACCGCTTATGACGATTCTTGGGGAAATAGTGGACCTCCACCATGCCAGGAATCGTCCCAAGTTTGGTGTGAGGCAGGCTGGTGCTGAGGGTACCGGTTCCTTTGGCGGGGGCTACGATGAGCTGGTACAGCAGATCACCCAGCAGCTGGATACGTATTCGCGCAGCCTGCACGAGTTCGAATCGGCCAACACCAGTTCGGCGATCAAGGAACGGACTGAAGGCGGGGTTAGTGAGGAGGGGCCCAAAGAGGGAAATAAGCAGCTTTCGGAGGCCGATATCCAGCTAAAGATTGTTGTGTCATACGGAACTCACGTAATGCATGTACTCCACATCCTCCTCTCTGGCAAGTGGGATCCTATCAGTATGCTTGACGATGACGACCTCTGGATCTCTTCGCAATCCTTTATCAGCTCCACCGCACATGCTGTTTCGGCCGCTGAAGCTATCAGCAACATTCTCGAGTACGACCCGGACCTAAGCTTCATCCCGTACTTCTTTGGGATTTACCTGCTGCAGGGTAGCTTTTTGCTGCTCCTGATCGCCGATAAGCTGCAGGGCGAGGCGTCGGGCGCTGTCGTCACTGCTTGTGAAACCATCGTTAGGGCGCATGAAGTTTGTGTGGTAACACTAAATACAGAGTATCAGGTATGTATCCATTTCCTCACCTTTACATCCGAAAAGCTTGTTTTTCTAACATATCAAAACAGAGAAACTTCCGAAAAGTCATGCGAAGCGCATTAAGTCAGGTGCGCGGCCGAGGCGCGCCAGAAGATATGGAAGAGCAGAAGCAGAAGAGGCGGGAGGTGCTGCAGCTTTACAGATGGTGCGGAGATGGAACCGGACTCGCGCTTTGAAAGCAGAAATGGATTCTACGACCCTTCTCTTCATGGACGACTACTGCCACTGGACGAACAAGGACAAGAAAGAAGAGGAAAACGACAACGATATCAACTGAATGTGACTACTATCTGACATGTATAAAAGACGGACGAGTGGGTGTAACAAAATCAGAAGCAGCAGTACGAAACGAAAAAGGATACCCATGGTTTTTGTTTGGTTTTTATTAATGGCGCGAAATTTTTAAGGAGTGCAATGGGGCTGGGGGGTGCAAAAAGAGAGAAAGAAAAAAAAATATCGGTGTTGGTTGTTTAATTTGAGTATATGTGGTGGTTGGAGCTCGGGGGAACAGATCTGGACATCTTCCTTTGAATCTTTTTTTTTGATCTCTCGGTGTTTTGAATTCTTTCCTTTTATGTTTTGTCTTTTTATCTTTGCTTTTTATTTATTTTGTGGGCGTTAGAGTACTTAACCGCAGGCTGCGTGTTCAGGCTGGTGCTGAAATGGGTGGCTTTTGGGTTCGTTTATTTCATTTTTCATTTTTCTGCTTTGACGTTTACTGGCCGGAAACGTGGATTTAGCGGTTTCTGGTTTTCTCGATCTCACTGTCTTATTAGGAGCCTTATTTCTTTTCTTCATCGTCAGGTTTCAATTGATCCATACTTACATCTCCCTTTCTTACTCTTACCTTCTCTACAATTAAGCCCTCGAGCCTTTCTGGGAAAGGTTTCAATTAACTTCTCTCCCCCAAAAAAAACCTTTCTTGTTTATTTTTTCTGTTTTTATACAGGTGCAGCTTGGTTAGCTGCCCTTTTGATTAAAATATAATACAATAGTGCAGGAAACAAAAAAAAAAAAAACAGCCCAAAAGAACAACGAGTCCCAATATGCGTGTTTCATTAAATTGTTATCGCTGCCTCAGCTCTTATCTTTATCTTCCTCGCTACGTCACAACCAGACAGAGAAGCGAGCCAGCGAGCACCAGGGACAAATCGGGTGATCCCGTTGAAATATAGAGGGTGCTGCCCCGGTTTTTTTTTTCTTTTCTGTATACCGGAATATCTTTAGACCCCCCGGGGGGGGGAGAGGGTGTGCGATATGTTGACAGGCCAAACCCGTTTTCTTCGGAAACGAGTATTCACATGGGTGTCTTTCTTTTGCCTTCTCCGAAATCCGGACCAAACTAAGCAGCCACCCTCCCCCCCTCCCTTTTCTGCAGTAATCCCGCGTGTTTTTCTGTCTTATTTGAAATAGAGCACGTCTCTAGTCTCACTCGTCGCAATCGAGGCACCAATGTATGTCGGTGAAGATCGTCGTGCTTAAGAAAAAAACGATTTCTGCGTGTCACAAAGAAGCACTTAATCTCAAGGCTACAGGTCTAATATATCTCTTCTATGCACCATCGGAATCAGAATCGGGAAGAAGACCCTCCTTGACTTGAGGTACCGCAGGGGTTCGGTTTTTCCGATCTTTTTTGTTTCGCTGATCGAGTCCAAGTGTGGATATGTAGGTACATATTTACCTGGGATAAAGGCGAAGCGAAGAGGGAAGAATTAAATACGAAGAGGAAGAGAAGAAAGAAGTAATGGTACTGGGGATCGAATGGGAAACGCCCATCTTGCATCTTGGTATATTGCGACGAGGTACGTTCGAGGTACCAAGAGTCAGTCATTCCCTACCTACTCTATTTTATCACTCTATTACCTATTCTACTTACCCCGCGCCCCACATCATTCGGACCATCCTTCCCACCAAACCAGGACAAAAAACGTTTGGAGGTCGGTCAGGTCTTGCGGGGTGGGCGCGGCAGAAAATAGCTAACCGAGATATCATGCAGTGTGTCGTGCAGGGTCTCGGGTGAATTGTCGCCGAAAAGAAAAATACTCTCACTAGTCACCACGAACGAGAAAAAGCAAAGAAAGAAAGAAAAGTTCTGTCGCGCATGACTTGACTGTTCTGACCGGGAAGAAGGTTAGTGAGCTGTTGTCTAAGGCACACCTGGTAGAGTAAAGAGTGTTCCCAGGGCCCAGGGCGGACAAATTGCCCTTTTGAAAACGAAGAAGAAGAGCTGGGATATGCCTTTGGCTGGTTGTTGAGCCTTTCCTGGTGCTTGGGATTTGGTGATGATCCTCCATGCCAGGCTCGCGAAGCAGATTGTCTCTGGAATACCCATGGAGTTGATTATGCAGCAGCACCAGCCGAGACGACTCAGTGAGTTGTTAGCAAGCAAGCCGATAGGTCCTCGATACGAATAAACCGTGACCTGGGTGAAAGAAAAAAATTGAAGAAAAAATTGAAAAAAATAAGTAAGACTTCTAGAAAAAAAAACGGCAGAGCTTCCTCCTCCCGAAGTGAGACACTCCATCAACCTTCTATTCCTCCAGCGCATCGCATTATTGGATTGCAAAATGAAGATGTTCCTGCCGGTTAGTTAATCCCGGCCGCCGCCGCCGCCGTTGTTTCCTGGAGTACAGACAGGGGTTAGTTAGTTAGTGCCATACAACCAACACAGCTACTAAAGTCGTCCGAAAGAGGAACATCCTAATAATTGGATAACCCTAACCCATTAGTGACCTCTGCTTGTCTGTCACTCAGGGTCACTCAGGGTTTTCCAACCCCATTGTTACTGGACTGTTGTGGCCAACAATAAAAACTGCGGGGGTGAAAACAAGTGAGGATGGTTCAATAGAAGTCTGGGTAGGACTCTAGCTAGCTAATTAAATAGCTCCGGGCAGGTTGTGACACCGTGGTCTAGTTCTACATTATGACAGTCTGGCTCAACATGTGTCCGATAGACAGAGTTGAGGACATGCTGGTTCTAGTCATTCATTGAGCTGCTAGCCTCACAATGCGACCAATTAACTACAAGACAACCACATCATCACACACCATATTGCCTTACATTGAATAGAACGCTGAAGTTCAGCGTATGTGAGTTTTACAACCCGGAATTCAGTCATCTCTACATTCCCGTACTATATATCATATCTTCATATCCGGGCAAATCAATCATCAATCAATTCAATCTACCGATATCTAGGCTAGCCTACAAACCAACATCACAACATATCGCAGTATCAAAATAGGCCAACCGATCTTCAGACTATACAGAACAAACTCATATCCCCATATCAGGACTACCAATTAACAACATATCTAACCGGAGGGTAGTCTCGCTTCCAGACCGTTTTTGTTATCGCACTTCGTGGAAAGTGTGCAGAAAGTTCAAATCAAAACAGCTCTGGGCACGAGACTAACCGCAGGGTATCCATCAGCAATTAAGAAAGTTTAGTCTCGCCTGACCGGATGCACATGGGCGGTCTACCCTGGACCCAACGTTTACCGGGTTTTCAAGTGCCATGCTGTCACATGAAACCGGGGAACAGGGGGGGACTATTCGTTGGTACCTGCAGTGCAGCTGCGAATACAGTATAGATCGACACGACAGGCTAGAGGACCAGGGAGGGATGTTAAGCTTACTTGGTTAAATAGAAACAGCAGACCTTTGTATACAGCCGGTGGTGGAGTTTTATTGGAGCGGAATTCTAGAATTGCCTGTTTACCTGGAGTTAGTGTCCAATTGCAGAAAAGCATAACGGCTTTTTAGGGACGGCCGCTTGAACGAAGTGAGGACCGTGCACATACGCTTTCTACAACCCTAAACTCATTAGTTATCCCGCCTAAATACATATAGATGCGGCCAGTCTCGAATCGAACACTTGGACCGGCAATGAAGTTAGGAGCACTAGGCCGGTTAGAGACTGTATGTTTGAGGACTTCAATTGAGGGGAATAGATATCATGAACCAGCGGCATTAGCTTGAAGATACATGTACCTTGGTGCGAGAGAAGGTGGTAGTGGTGGAGGCCTTGTCGGTGCGGAAGATAAAAGTTACAGATAATGGTGAGAGTTGTGTAGGCTTGTAAAAATGACTAGGAGCAATTAACTTGAACTCACAGCTCACACATGCGTATGTAGACTAACAGTCCTTTTTACAGCGCCACTAATATATCTCCTGGGACTAAATATCGTTGATGACATGTTTATGGATGATCACCCTTTTATCCTAAATACCTAGGCGTATCTCCACATTTTAACAGAGCTCCAGGGGATAAGTGCTGGATGGTGAAGATTTAAGCTTAAAGCTTAAACCTTAAACCTTAAAGTGCTTCATCTAACCCTTTCTGCCCCTTGCGTGTACATTTAGCTAAACCTGTGCGTGCGTAGTAGGGCTTAGCCCCTCCGCCATCGACATTTTACCCCATCAACCACCACCAATATCTCCACCACTGTCGATCACCTTATCCATCATCCATCATCTGCCATAATCTTTTTTCACGGATATCTATCTCCTGGTCAATACCCTTTGGCTAAATCACCACGACCTCCAGCATTGGATGCACGTCCCTCCGTTCCACCACTACCACTGTTGTACCTTCTACCCACCGAACGGACACCCCATCGTATCTCTTAAGCTTCTCCTACCAGGAAACGTACCGCGCTACGCTAGTCCTCTAAACCAAAATTCTGCGACACGAGATCAAGGACGACGCTTACTACTTGCTGTATTGAATTAGAGTGCAAAATGGGATCCCAACAACAGGGTGCCAAATTTAGTACACGTCTTTTCCCAGAGGTAGTCATGGGAGATCACTCGGACATGCCCATATTCAGGTTTACTGAATACACTGGGTTCTTAACGCGCGCGACCTACTATCGCTGCACCTATGGGGCTCAAAGACAAGAACACCACCAAGCCCAGTACTATAGCTCGAGATCGACTCCTCAAAGAACCAACAGATAAGGGATCCCAATAAATTTTCCCGTGAGAACAAAATGCACACATATTGCTTTTGCAAGATTATAGGTTTGCTACTCGGCTCCCTGAGTGATACTTAAATATTGAGATTCTGTAACAAGGACTGACTTTACGATGAACTGGGACTGGTCTTGAGGGTGGCCACCATCGATAAGGACGAAGCAATACAACTCCAGACCCCAAATCAAGGCCATTAAGTAACAAGCACCAGCCAAGCAACCCAGGGAAGGTCCAGGATTCTTCACACAATCTTTACTACGCACTCAAAACTTATCACCGGCATGGATGCGTCAGATATAGCGGAGTTATGTCACCAAATTAAAGTCTCGATTTATAGACATTAACTCTCGTTGCAGTACTTTTATGGATGTTTACTCTGCTTTAGGGGGTACTACTAACATAGACAGGACAGTGTAATATGTTCATAGACGGAGCCGATTAAGAACTAATTCCAGAATGAATTGAGGTTGGGGGTATACTACCCAGGACGAGGAACCCCTCCAGCCCCATCTGTAGAGAAGTGTAATTAAATGGCGATCTCCAGCACGAGTGCGAGTGATCAAGCATAGTGATGGGTATGAGCCGAGCGGGCTCGAACAGATTGAGCTCTGTTACTGACGAGCCCGGGCCAGCTCGAGCCCATATCCAAAAAGCTCGAGCCTGGGAAATTATTACTAATGGCAGTAGAACATTATAGCTGGGTGACATGTATAAAAATATATCTCCATTGTTCATCCTAATAGATACATTTTTATATACCGACTTACTGTGAGGTCTATTTTTAGGTATAATCATAAGAGCTCGAGCCTTTACCTCCACAATCCGAGCCGGCTCGTGCCCATCACTAATCAAGCACGACGGATGACTAGCTTCACAAACGATCACTCGGGTACCCAGGATGCGACTGTCGAGTCGGACCTGCGTGCTGGGGAAGCAGCATGCTCGAAACACCCATACCACAGCATCCAACCGTGTGTCGAAGTGAGCGAAGCTCTGCTCCCCCTTGCGCACATATGCTTGTATGGGGCGGTAAATGTGTCAAAAGTAATTTTACCAACGGTAGTAAATTATTTTACCACCGGTGGTGAAAATAATATCAGTATTTGTACCCTATAATGCTAATTTTTATGATAAAAGCACAGACCTTTTGGCCAAAAGGGGCCATATAATGCCAATATATATGAAAATTGTCCATCGGTGGGGAGTTTCACCACCGGTGGGAAATTTTCATAAATTTTGGGATTAATGATTGAACATTTACTTATTTAGTATAGCGCAGCATAAAGACCGAAACTCAGTGTTTATACCGGTGGAAATGTACTGATGTAGGATAGCGTGCAGATACAATGACTGAAATTCAGTGCTTATACCACCGGTGGTAAATAATTTACTACCGTTGGTAAAATTACTTTTGACACATTTACTGCTCCATATGCTTGGGGCTCTGGGGTGCTCGCCAGCAGCAGATGTTGATGACTCGGTGGGCACTGGAGATTCTCCACACGGATTTATTCTACAAGCTATAACACTGGGGTGGGGGTCAAGGGTGGTTGATCTCTCGTATCTTGCCGGGCCCGGTTCAACAATCACTGTTCTCGGATGGGGTGGGGGCGGGGGGCGGGGGGGGTCAGAGAGTTGAGTATGTGGCGTCGGTGCTGCACGCCGTTTGATTTCTTTTATGTTACATCACGGCTGGAGGTTGGGTTATGTAGAGGGCCTGCTGTCGAGTAATGCCGCGGCAGCGAGGGGAAGGAGGGGTGTAAGGGAAGAGAGTTTCAAACACCTACACGATCAATAAGCACGCCGTCGGGGAAGGAGGGATGAAGGGAATGGGCTCGGCTCCTCCCAATCGCTACAAGATGATGGTGATCGTGCCCACCGGCCGAGAAACCCTCTCTTATCAAGTAGACAGCTGTCCAGCCGCTTATATACCACCCAAGCCCCATTGACAGCACCGTGGCGTGGTCGAGGGGTAATAGCCTCTGCTACGTTGCATGACACCGCCGGTTCAACCCGGGGTGGAAGCAGTGATGAGAATGCCCAACATGGTAGCGACGCTCTTGAGGGATGATACTCATCACATAAGTCTTTTGTCGCTCAGTGTGCTTCTTCATATTTTTTCCGCTACCTTACGGCACACTATCATCACTGTGGCTAGCAGCGGTGGTCTGCGTATGGAGTGCGAGTAAGTTTGGCGAGGGTGGATTGCGTGCCGCGGTGCGCCTGGGGGTGAAACCTGGGACGGCACTAGTGTGTAGAATCATGGTATATCACTCGCTCCGTTGCCAAGGAACTAGCGAACCCCGAGTGACGACAGGAGCATAGAGGGCCAGCCTCGACTACGATGAAGTAAATTAACCACCAATAAATAAATATTCTTTCACGCTATGTTCTTAAGAGGGTTACCACACGATACGTCTAAGTTCCACAATAAAGCAGAGATATATAAAAAAAAATAAAAAAAAAATAATAAAAATGATATCCCCGTACCGCCTTGCCCACCATACCATACCGCCTTACCCCGTGCCCGCCAGCCCAATTTACTCTGATCTCCCAATAGCTAGATAGATATGTAGATAAATACCCCCCCCCCCTCCCCCCCAAAAAAAAAAAAAAAAAAACACCCCGCCGAATAAGCTAGTATAAAAATATAAAACCACTCACAAACCACAGACCAAAAAACCAAAAACCAAAAACAGCAAAAAACAGCAAAAAAAAAAAAAAGAATAACTTTTAATATAGCACGCACATTAACCCGCATCATCAACAAAAAAGTGGGGGGGTGGATACATGTAATCTACTCAAAACTCATGCTCAAAAATCATCACACGTACCCGTACCGTACCCCCCCCCCCCTACAAACAACAAAAAGAAAAGGCGTATACAACGTACCGCGTCATAAAATACACCCATCGCCCGCCCGCCCGCGCCTCACCGCCGCCACCACCGTCTAAACGACGAAACAGAGAGAGAAAAGAGAAAGAGAAAGAGATAAAAAGAGCCCAAAAGAGAATAAGAAGAGAAGAGAAAAAATGATACGAAAAAAAAGCTAAGAATACACAGCAGAGGCGCAGCGCGAGTCATCTAATTACAGCCAGTACGTTGCACCGATCGATCGACAAAATCCCAGCAAGCCCCACAAGCAGACTCCCATCTACAACCGCCCAACCCAACCCCAGAAAAAGAAGAACCCGCGCAGACACCCCGCATTACCCCCCAACTCCCTAATCACGCCTCCCCCACCTTCACCTTCTTCACCCTCCCCACGCTCCCCGCCGCCGCCGCCGACGCCGCCACCGCCTTCTTCCTCTTCAGCCCCCTTCCCCCCGTCACCTCCGGCGTCGCCACCTCCACCGTCTTCCTCCTCCCCCGCTTCCCCTTCCCAAGCGCCGTCACGCCCAGCGTCGCAACCAGCTCGAACTCCACCTCAGCAGGCGTCAGCACGCCCTCAGACCCGGGCGCCGTCGTCCCCTCCGTCATATCCGCGACCTCCTCGAGCTCCGTCGCCGCCGCAACCTTCGCCGCCGCCTCGGCCTCCTGGATGCGGATCACCTCGCCAATCTGCGCCCACTCCTTCTCCATCTCCTCGCACACGCGGCGGCTCTCCTCGTCGTCGGCGTGGTACTCGATGCAGCTCTCGCACTTGACGTAGAAGGCCTGGCTGCTGGGCTCGAGCCCCAGGTTCTCGTACTCGAGCAGGCTCTCGCCCAGCAGGTCGACGCGGTCAAAGTCGATGCAGTCCTCGCAGTACGCGTTCGGGCACCAGCGGCAGCGGAAGAGCATGCCGCCGGCGTTGGTCGTCTTCTGCGCGCAGTCGGCGCACTGGTGCTGCGGGCAGTAGAACTGGCCCATCTTGCTCTTGCTCTTGAGCTGGAACTCGCGCGGGAGGCAGCCGTAGTGGTAGGTGCGCGGGCAGCCCGAGCAGAGGATCAGCTCGCCGCCGTCGTAGCAGATCTGGCAGTAGTCCTGGTGCTCCATCGCCTTGCGCTTGCGCTTGGGCGGCTCGGCGAAGCGCGGGTCCTTGCCGGCCATTGTGGCGACCGCCTCCCAGGCGTTGTTGCCGATCGTCTCCTTGAGCACCGGGTGCCCGTCCACCATCACCACGCGCTCCATGCCCAGGCGGCGCGACTCGCGCGTCCACTCGGCCGAGATCTCGTGGTTGCTGTCGCGCTGCGTGTTGCGCACGTGGTTCTTGCCCTCGAAGACACGCGTCTCGACCTTCTCCATCTCCGAGAGCCAGCGCTTCTCCTCGTCCTCGTTGTCGGCCGCCTCCTGCGCGGTCTCCTCGTGCTGCAGCTTCTGCGAGTACTCCGTGCACTTCTGGATCGTGGTCGCCCAGTCCCACTTCAGCATCTCCGTCGGGTCGATCTCCTCGCGCGCGATGGCCCGCGACCCCGAGCGCACAAGGCTCATGAGCTGCGAGGTGGTCAGGTTCGGCATGTTGTCCTCTGCGCTGGACGTAGCATTGACCGACGACGTCGATGTGTGGATGTCGCGCATCGACTCCGTGACCTTGGCGGACAGATACAGCTTCTTGCGGATGCGCCCCATCATCTGCTCCTCCACCGTGCCCTGCGTGATGAGCCGGTACACCGTGACCTCCTGCGTCTGCCCGATCCTGTGCGCACGCGCCTGTGCCTGCAGGTCGGCCTGCGGGTTCCAATCACTATCTAGCATAACCACGTTACTCGCGCTCGCCAAGTTGATACCCAGGCCGCCGGCGCGCGTCGAGATCAGCATCACCTTGTAGTCTGCGTGCGTCATGGTCAGTCACTCGTCCCGCACACCACGTGACCGGGGGAACACAAAACATACCAGGGTCGTTGTTGAACAGGCGGATCGCCAGATTCCGGCGGGCACGCGCGGTCATGCCGTCGAGGCGCCCGTACTTGAATTTGGTGCCGTCGCCGCCCTTGAGCTGCATCAGGTCCTCGCAGATGTCGAGCATCTTGGTGAAGCCGGAGAAGAGCAGGACCTTTTGGCCGCGCTTGAGGCACAGCTCGTCGATCAGCTTGTCGAGGAGGATGAACTTTGACGACGCCAGGATGACATGTGGGCCGTTTATGGGCGGGGACGGTTCAGCGTTGGGTAGGAGGTATGGATGAGAACAGCACTAAAATCATTATCAGCAAAAGAAAAAAAGAAAAAAAGTCATACCACCGTCGCCTACCTTCCGCAGCTGCATCAACAGATTCATCAGCTTCTGCCACTGCGTGCCCTGCTTCTCCTTAATCGCCTTCTCGACAATCATCCTCGTCTCGCCCCACTGCTCATCGCCCACGCCCAAGTTCTCCAGATCCTTATCTGCCACAATCCCCTTCCCATGGTCCTCGGCCTCCTTCTCCTCCTCGATCGCCTTCTCCTTCGCCTCCTTAAACACCTGCTCGAGCACGCCCTTGTCCAGCCTCGTCAGCAGCCGCTTGTACCAGAACCGCTGCATCGGCACCAGCGGCAGATACAGGATCACCTCCGTCTTCTTCGGCAGCCCCAGGTTCACGCCCTTACTCTCCTTCATCCTGCGCAGCATGATCAGCTCCAGCAGCCTCCTCGCGTTATCCATCACCTTCAGATCATTCTTCCCCGCCGTGAGGTCAAACGCGTCCGAGAACACTTTGCTCGTGTTGACGTTAAACACCTCCGGGAACAGCCAATGTATCAGCGCCCACAGCTCCGTGAGATTATTCTGCAGCGGCGTGCCCGTGAGGATCAGCCTATACTCGGCGCTTAGCCCCTGCAGCGCAGAGGCAACGTTGGTCTTCTCGTTCTTGATCTTGTGGCCCTCGTCGAGGACTACATAGCGCCAGACGAACGCGCGGCGGAACCACTGCTTCTCGCGCTCGAAAACCTCGTAGCTGGTGATGACCACGTCGTACCCGCGCTCGCTGTCGTCGTCGGCGTCGAGGCCAAAGGTCTCGCCCGTTTCCGCAACCTTCTTGAGGCGGTCGCGCTCCTCGGCGGGGCCGTGGAGGCGCAGCACGCGCAGGTGGGGGGTCCACTTTTTGCATTCGGAGACCCAGGAGGAGACGACGGAGAGGGGGCAGACGACGAGGAAGGGGCGCTGCTGGTCGGCGGGGCAGGGGTGGAAGGTCGTGAGGTAGGAGAAGAGGGAGAGGGTTTGGAGCGTTTTGCCAAGCCCCATTTCGTCACCGAGGATGCCGGAGGAGCCGTTATTGTAGAGCCAGACGAGGAAGGAGAGGCCGGAGAGCTGGTAGCCTTTCATGGTGGCGGTGACGCTGCGCGGGTTAGCATATCCGGTACATGCAATATAATTAGCAGAGTGGGAACTTACTTGGGAGGCTGCTTCTCGAGCAGCTTGTATGGGACAGCGGCGAGTTCAATTGGTACTGCTGTGGGCTCGGAACCCGCGGCCTTGACTTCGGCCCCAACTTCGGTGGTGACCTCGGATTTGTCCTCGACTTGGATTTCAGTTCTGAGTTCAGGCTTGGCCTCTGGTTCGACCTCAGCTCCGGCCGCGGGCTTATCTTCGCCTCTGACCTCGACCTCGACCTCAACCTTATCTGTAACCTCCGGCATGCCATTGGCACTCGGGACTTCCACCTTCTCGTTCCTAGCCGCATATTTCGCCCTCAGCTTCGCAATATAATTACTCTCCGGCAGCAGCGCCTCAAACAAATACCCATACTCGAGCAAAAAGCGCTCCCTCTTCCTCCCCGTCTCCTCCATCCCCCTGCGAATCTGGCCCCTAATGGTCCCCTTCTCCTCCTCCCCCCACCCCCCGTCGTCCTCCTCCTCCGCGCCTCCGCCCTCCTTCACAAAACACTTCACCCCCGCCTTGCTGCACCCCGAGCACCGCGGCTTCTTCCGATCACACCGCCGCCGGCTCGCGCGGCACGCCAGACACGCCTTCCCCGGCGGCAGCCGCTTCCCCTTCGCCACGCGCTGCACCGCGGGCCCTGCCGCCCGCGGCCGCTTCTTATGCCCCAGCGCCGCGTCCGTCGACACATAGTCCTTCAGGCCCTCCGGCTGTCCCAGAGCCGCGCGGGGCCTCAGCGAGCGCGTCCCGTTTGCGCCGCGCTCCGGCAGCGGCTCCGCGGGGGCCTCGGGCTCCGCGTCGTCCTCTTCGGGCTCGTCCTCCTCGTCGTCGGACGAGTACTCTGCGTCCTCGTCGCCCTCGGCGTCCTGGTCGGCGGCGTCGGCATTGTCGTCGTCGGAGTCGCCGGCGGTGTCGGCGTAGGAGGAGAGGCCGCTGCGGGGGCGGAGGGAGCGGTCTTTGCGTGGTGAGGCGGCGGCGGGTTTGGGGTTGGTGGACTTGGTGCGGGCGGCGGAGGAGGTGGCTTTGGGACGGGCCATTGTGGTGGTGGTTGGGGGCTTTTTCTTGTGGGTCGTGATGATGGGGGTGTCTTCGTCGTCGCTGAGGATTATGGGGTTTGTATTACTATTAGTTCCTGTGCTCCTGGTCTTGTTCTTGTTTTTGTGTTTCTTTGCTTGCGGGCGTTTGTCTGCGGCCGTGATGGAGAACGATGATGAACGCGGATGCCCGAATGATGATGATGGGAAACGGGCGCGATGTGATGATGACGATGGAAATGGAAAAGACGACGCGGGAGAGGACGGGGCCAGGTGAAAGAAGGGGTGGTGGTGAGGATGTCGCTGGGCACGTGTTGTGGCAGCAGCAGCAGCAGCAGAAGAAGAAGCCACAGACTCGGTCAACGGCGAGGTGTCTACAGCACGGGCACGGGCACTGGCACTGGCACTGGCACTAGCAGGGGGTGCGGGGACACGAACACGCGGAGGCACAAAAAAGGGAGACGGAGAAGAAGAAGAAGATGCAGGGAGGGGACGGAAAGAGGAAGAAGAAGAAGAAGGAGAAGAAGAAGAAGGGAAGGAGGAAGAAGGAAGAAGAGGAGGAGGAGGAGAATAGGAATAGTGAACGGAAGAAGAGGAAGAAGAAGAAGAAGAAGAAGAAGCAGCAGCAGCAGCAGCAGCAGCAGAAGAGGAAGAAGAAGAAGGCTTTGTCATCGTGGTCAGGGGGGAGGGAGGCGTCGCGCTAGGCCAGGATAGGTGAGGCGTGGGGACAATCGTCCTCTTTTTACTGCTGCTGGTTCTGCGAGTAGTGCCAGTGCCAGTGCCAGTGCCAGTGCCAGTGCCGGTGCCAGTGCCAGTGCCAGTGCTGCGAGTGCTGCGGGTGCTCGGCGCCGCCGGGGGGGGCGAGTCTGGGATCACAATCGGGGCCATTTGCGGGCGATGGAAAGGCATATTTTCTTCTCTCTCGTTCGTTTCGTCCCTGGCAAAGAAAGAAAAGAAAAGAAAACAGATACTAATTGAAACTGCACTGCACTGGTTGTGGTGAGAAATGGCAAACACAAAGAAACTTTCACTCCATGGGGGTGCGCGTGCACTGCAATCGATGAATTTAATTCTGGGGACGGATGAACCTGGACTGGAACTATGGACATGGGGGAGAAGATCTGGCTCTACTAGCAAGGTAAGGTAAGGTAAGGTAAGGTTTGTTTGTTTGTTCTAGGTACCTACGCCTCGCTGCGAAATTCTTGTGCCTGCCTGCCTGCCTGCTAGGTAGCTGCAAACTGCCCTTGTCATTCCTTCTTCCTTCTTCTTCTTCTTCTTCTTCTTCTTCTCCCACCCCCACCCCCACCCCCCGCTCATTCTCCTCCTCGGCCCAGGTAGGTGCTTTTCCACGGCTAGCTACATGTACATACATCCACAACCTCTGCTTGCCTGGTTGGCTGCAGGCATACCTACAGCGATAGGAATGATCTATGGAAAAAAAAAAACAGTTATATGGTGCACAGATATTTTTCGCCATACAATTTCACCCCCCCCCTGTTTTTCCATAGATCATTCCGGTCGCTGTAAGTACTTCCCTCACTCGCCCCCCTCCCTTCCCCCTTGATCTCGCCTACCTCGCCTATTGATATCGATGATCATATACAGCACACCACCCCCCTCCCCCCTCTCCATGCGGTGCAAATAAGCATACCCAGATTAGAGTTTGTTATTGCTCACTCAGTCGGGCTGGGGCCACGAGCCATAGGTTCGACTCACGGATGGGTTGTTGTTTTCGGCCCAGCAATTTGCACTTCTTTTTTGTTTTTTTTTTCCAGCACCACAAATCCCCAACCTCCCCCCCCCCCCCTCTTCCCGTGTGTGTGTGTGGTGTGTGTTGCTGTGTTGGTTGTTGGGAGTGGACGCATCTCACTCACATTTTGATTTTGCTGTGCTTCGGGCCGGCCCGTGAACCTGCAGCGCCGAGGAATTTCACCTATTAGAGAGACTTGGAAAACCAAGCACTGGAATCCAGGGCGTTTGTTTGGCAAAGGTGTTTTTGTCGTTTCGACAGGATATCAAGAAATAAGATAAGCGCGTACTAGTGGATGGACGTTAGAGTGATGTGATCGATAGTCAGAGACAGTGACAGAGAGCCTCCCTTATCGATACACCGTTTCACAGACATGGTAGAGCGTAAACAAAGTTCCCGTGAAACACAACACAGACCCTGTCCACCCCGCCCGTGTCTCACACACTCAGTCCACGGAGCAACAACCCCAACCCTTCAACCCCAACCCTTCAACCCCAGCCCCAACCCCAGCCAAAACCAACCCGAAACCCTCAAACGACAAACGCACTCAAACCTAAACCTAATAACCCAACTGATGACGTCATCGATTACTAATATCCCTGTCATCACCCGCCGTCCTTCCGCACCTCGATATATCACAGCGACATACATAAAGCTCGACAAGAGCTCGTTCTGCAATCCTAACAACCCCCCCACACCCCCCAAAACCACAATGCTCTCACGATCCACACTCATAACAGCCCTCCTCACACTCGCCCTCATCGCGTCCAGCTTCACGTTCTACACGCACCTACGACGCGATGGCCAACCCCCCTCTGCCCTCCCTGGAGAGCACAACAACAATAACAACAACAAAACAAAAGTCCCCCTTGAAATCCACATCATGAGCAAGTGCCCCGACGCGCGTGACTGCGTCGAGCTCCTGGTTGCACCAGCACTGAAAAACGTATCCGACATCGTCGACTTCCGCATGAGCTTCATTGGGCGGTACGTATCCTCCATGTCCGGCTCACTCATAGCAAGGGATTGGAGACGCTGTGGCAGATAGAGTAGTTGATCCAGAAGCTGGCTCCTCCAGCTCCTGTATTGACCGCTATACCTCCCAGAGCGCCCTCACCCCCCTCCCCTCCCGCGGGGGGGCGGGGGCTTGAGACAGAGCGGGCCATCCCCATTCCCGACTAACACAATCCCCGTGACGTCCAGACGTCTCCAAGACGGTACAACAGCGTGTATGCACGGCCCTTCCGAGTGCCTCGGAAACAGCATCCACCTTTGTGCTGCACGCCTCTACCCCGACACCTACCTCCCCTTCTCTCTCTGCCTGCTGCACGACTATGCGCGCCTCCCCGATCAGGACTTTATCGAGTCCTGCGCGTCAAAGCACGACGTTTCGTTCGAGAAGGTCAACGAGTGCATTTCGTCACTCGATCCGGATGGTGGTATGGCCTTGCTCGCGGGCAGTGTTGATCGCAGCCGGAGAGCGGGGGTGACGACGAGCTGCACGGTGAGGGTGGAAGAGAAGGTGTGGTGTGTAAGGGATGGTGGGAAGTGGAGGGACTGCGATGGCGGGAGTGGGGTGGACGATTTGGTGCGTGAGGTGGAGGAGCGGTACCGTAAGGGTAGTGCTGTGGTGGTGGAGAGCATGGAGGAGGAGGAGGAGTATGAGGCGGAGAAGCCAGGGATGGTGCGACAGGAGAGGAAGAGTTTGAGGCAGATGATTGATGAGAGGATCATCTGGAGAGGCTAGGCAGGTATGTAGTCTGCGACTTTGACGTCGCTCGTTTTTACCTAGTAGCAATTAGTATTAGCAGCAGTAGTATCAATGATCATTATGACGTGGAAAAAAAAACTTTGATTAGTAGTTCCGCAGATGCAGATTAGCGAGGGCTTGGCTTACATGTAGCCAAATATGGGGTTTTCAAAAAGAAAAAAAGACCGGCATCATCTGCTTGTGCCAAGCTTCAATATCCTTAAACCCTTGACCGCTCTACTAGAAGAAGCGACTTGCGGCAAATGGAGACGTGACACACTCATGCAGGAGGCCGCCCCCCACAGTCCTGGAGAACCATCTCCCAAAAACCACCGGTAGCGGCCCTCTCTCCTTTCGCATGGATCGACAGTCGCCGGCCATGGTGGGGTGGGGCGTTTCCAGGCTGTTTCTGAGCGAGTTCTTTCTATCCGAGGTCTGGATCGGTATCGAGAAGATTTTTCTGGCTCTTTTGCTCTGTTACTCGGTGAGAGGAATGATGATTGAGATTAAACGGGCCGCAGCAGCTTAATTTATACATGTAGGTCTCGAAGTTAACACATATGCTTCATAGATTACTGTCTGTGGGGGGGGGGGGGGGGGGGGGCGGGTGTGATCAGAGAAGAGATATGCTGCTGCTGAGTGAAGGTCTTAATTGGGTTGAACTCACTATCGTCCGTCTTTTAAGCCACGACTTGATGTTTTCTCTGCCTGGCGTCGTGATGGACTAATTGCTGAATACATGATTGAATATCAAAGCACAGATAGTATAACTCAGGGCCTGGGATTGAGCTGGTTCCATAGTTTTAGGCCTATCCCCTCAGCGGTCAAGCTCAATTAGCATCTGTCAGGTTAAAAACATATGGAAACTGTGATACTAAGAGCCATAGGAATGAATAAATCCACACATTTCTTCACATCTGATAAGATATTGATAATGTATTAGTGTGAGGATATCTCTGATTTCAGAAGTATCTTTGATCACGGCACAGGTACATTCTCGGCACAGGTACACACGGTCTATACCTCCCGCCGTATAACACTGCCGAGGTAGAAAGATACATAGGGAATGATGGGTACTACCCCGTGGTGAGGACGACTAACTATAATCCACTTAGTATCGATCTAGCATGTGCGAATTTTTGATAGTACATGATGAGACGCAGAAGGCACTGTGAGGAGTAGAGCATGTAGTAAGAAGATTTAAACTCTCGGTAGAAGCAGAAGAAGGAGACTCGAATCCTGGCTGGAAGTAGACTGGACACCCAAGAGATGGCTACTTGAGCGGGCTTATGTTATGTGTGCATATGGTGCACTTTAATTTGACGGCCTAGTTGTATAAAACATGAGTTAAAGCGTCTATGATGGCTTTGTAGCTTCAAGCTGTTGACTGAAAATAAGAATGACTTCTTGGAGAGGCATGTTTCCATATTTTGAACGACGACTAGGTGTTAAAACATGTTGCAAAAGTTACGTGGTTGTGATGCAGTACCCACAGCACCACGATGGGGCACCCATACGCGCTCCACGCCGGCCAGAGCACATCTCCAGGCCGTCAGGACGTAGCCAAGTAGCGGCATCGTTGCATTTTGCTAGAAAAGACCATTGTTTAATATACCAGCCGGCCAACCACGAAAGCATATCTGCCAACAACGTATAAGGAGTTGGGTATCAGGTTATTGCCCTCTGACGCGTCTTCAGGCCAAGTTTCTCACTACCTCGAGAATGAGGAAGATTAAGATAGGCCTAGACTAGGAGCAGCGGTGCTATTCTCGTGTTTTGTGCGTGAATGCTCTCATGGAGATTTCGTCGGTGCTGAGTTCAATCGATAGAGAGGTAATCCCGGGACCAATACTTCCTTTATCAAACCTTTGAGCAGTACTGGTTGGAGTTTTCGAGAGGAGCAGTTGGGGGAGGGTACATTATTTAGCCTTGCTTCTTGCTTAGCCTCGTATGAATCGAAAAAGAAGAAAAAAAAGCTTAGCCTCGTACTCATCTTACGAGCAGCTTGGTAGGATGGCTGTGTACGAGCCTATGACTTGCCTGAGAGCGGCCCTTTTCGCCTGATTGGGGGTTCGGCCTGTTGTTTTCCAACTGGACACCTCAAAGTTTCTGCAACCCCGTTTCATCACTCGCTGCTAAGAATCGTCATAGATGTTAATGAGTTCAACAAAAAAAAAACCCCCCGCTGCTAAGAGTAGTAGTCCCAGCCTACATATTCCAGAAAGGACCCCAAAGAACACCCGAAAGGAAAACTGGGTATATACCCGGATTAGGAATTTCGAAATATTTTCCTCCCTAACGCCAAGATGGTTCGCTTCTGGTTCGCCTGTATCCTAGAGGTGAGGCGGAGGGGGTGGGTTGATGGAAACAACACCAAACATCTTAAGCCAACTTCTGCTTCCCTACACATGTTTCTATCTGATAGGAAGCTAGATGACGAGCAAACGAATGACACTAGAGACGTTGCCGAGAAAAACGGCGATTGGACTCTCCTTCTCGGTACTTTGAAAAGGGTGTCTGGTATGTGGCGCGTGGCGGACAGCCATAACTAGCCGCTCAAAGGACCACCTCAACCCCTTCACCCCATCGACTTTCAACAACGCAACACTTGTCAGAAATGATGTTCTTTTGTAAAAAGGCTCTAATCATGGTTTTAAACATTCCCACTAAAGGGGATTTAAAGCATATAAGAACTTGTTGCACTGCGACCTCTTGAAATGTGCCAGAAAAAAACATAGGTATGAAATAATAACTTCCTGCCAGGACTAGTGGCTGGGTTTGAAAAGAACATGAGGGTTGATTCTGGCTGTCGGCCACTGTCTAATATGTACTCGCCTACCAGCATAAGCACCAGAAAATGCGAGTATGGAAGAAGCCGTCTTCCATACAAATAACGGAAAACTCCCAGAATGCCACGCAGAAAGACTACAGGGATCTATAATGCCACACCCCAAGTTTTATGCCACACCGGCCATGTTAATTAACCCGTATTCTCAGTTCAAGTACATATGTATGTACTTTACCTACATATGAAGACAGGTATTGAGCTCTTTACTGTTATTACTAGAATGGATGCATGGTGATGTTGTGCGATTTGGATAGCCGCTTGAATAATAAGAACAGTGGTTCAATATTTTTCGAGCTTGGTGTTCAATAATTACAATCTCTAGTATCCAAATACTTATATACCAGAGCTTGAATTCTGTTCAACCCGTGTAGCTAAAGATCCCACCCAACTAACATATACGGTAATTGTGATCTTAATCTTAGGTTAATAGGACGGCGTGGCATTAAACTCAGGGTGTGGCATTGTAGATCCCTGTATCTTTTTTGTTCCTTGACTTTGTCATAGGCCGTTGGAAGCCTCTGATTGGTCGAGAGCGGAAACTCTGACCCTGCATAGCAACCAGCCCACCCACCCCCGAAACCTAAACGATATGTCAAATTCGTGAAGGGCTTTTCCTTTAAAAAGGGGGGGGAGGGGGAGGGGGAATAGAGATGGAATCAAGGCCCCACGAATGTGTCTGGAGAGGCACAATTAATTGGAGTAAAAGGAACTCGCGGTCGCGAGGTCGGCCACTGCGCCTAGTACGTATCTTCTAATATGTACTGTCTTGAGGGAGCTGGATGGAGGTGGATGGGGGGCCCTCAATTGAAGCACTCCCATAATTCACAGTTCTTGCAACTCGCGGTCGCGAGGTGGCCCCCCTAGTGTACGAGTACCTAAAACACGGATCGGACCGGCGTCCGCAGCCCAAGCACGGGCTGAAGGTAGTCGAACCTGGTTGGCGGGATCGACCGCCTCGCAACCCCAACCCCAACGATGGGCCCCGCGCCTGATATAACACCTCGACGCCGAGCAAGTATCATAACCATACCCGTATATTGGTAAATTGAATTCATTGCGTTGGGCTTCGTTGCATTGCGTTGCGCCGTTGCGGCGCTGAGGTCGTTGTAGTTCCGTCCTACACCTAAAAATCGGGCAAGTAAGTACAGTACTTGTGGCAACCTGTGGCTCATGATCACGTAAAAATCATCAATCGAGTAGTGCTTTAAACAATCGTCATTAGATTTTGGTTTATCACGACGCCGTTTCCACGCTAATAAGTTGTGATTCGCGGGAATAGACGAAGGGATATATGCCCTTCCCCTCCCCATCTTCCCCTCTATCTAAATGTCATTTTGAACCCATCACATATCGATGATACTTTTTGGAATGCGTCCCTCTTACGGGTAGGAAAGATTCTGTGGTAGGTGCCGAAAGGTGACCTAAATAAATTATGGATGCGCACGAGCGAGCGGTAAAGTGCTAACAATCAGGCGCTAGATAACGCAGAAGAACGTTGTGAGTGTGTCCCTCTGAGGAGTCCAAAGCAATAACGACCTTGTGATGCGAAACGAGGATTATCAGTGAAAATTCGGAAGCGAGCCCGTTAGACTCTCAGGCGCCGAAGGCTGTGCTTTTAGATCTGGTAGTTTGTGGTGTAATACAGGGTTTTGGCGAACAGGGGGGCCCGGGGTTAACGCCTATAATTATAAGAATTTCCCCCCTCCTCCTGCTCCGGATCCTCCTCTACTCCTTAAGCTTCTTCTTCAATTAAAATATTCCTTCCCTGACTCCCCCAACCAAATCCCCAGTTATCAGCAGTCTTGTGGGCAGACAGTACCTGACGCCAATCATCAAAACATTCAACCCTTTGTTTGTGCCCCCGCTCTTTTTTTTTTTTTGTTTAATTCATTAATTGTATGCCCCCTCTCTTCACAGTAGTGCTGACCAAACCGCTAACTTGGTAAATCGTGTGGACAGGTTACAAACGAAGAGATGAACCAAACAGAAAACATAAACATCACCTCAACCCACACTCCTACAGCCGCGAAGCCGACGCTGAGCACAAGCGACATTATCACTCTAGTTGTCGGCATTGTTGGTATTGCCATCGCCCTCGTCGCTGTTGCTCTTCAGATCTGGGAATGCTATGGTAGAAGAATGAAGGTAAATATATTGAACAAATCACACAGGATTCTATAAGGATCCTTTCCCCTTACATACTCTATATCCCTGCGGAGCGAGCACCACACCACATGTTTCATATGCTTCCAGAAACAGTGGGCTTGGCAAAAGGGGGCTCGAGCGCAATTCGTCATTCCAATCTTCGGCATACCCCCACCAGCAAGTCTACATGTAGTTATTACCATTTGTACATACATGTAGATTACTATTGTACTTATTTCTTATTTTCGGTAACACAATTGGTGGAAACAATTTGTCGATCTGATCTTATCAGATGGCAATCAATTGAATTACCTCGCAGCCCTCCATTCACGACGACATGTCGCTTAGCTTACCACTCACTGACATCCAATTACACCCCACGATCACGACTCCAAACCGCTCTTTATGCTAGTGGATAGAAGCTGACACGTGCCGCGTTACTCCAGGGTCTCGACAGGCTCCAGAACCAGAATCAGAACCCATCTCTGGATTCCGCCGAAACCAACCAATTACAAACACTTCCTGGCCAACAACCATTGCCTACACCACCGCCATCTGCTCATACTCATGGGCCGTGTTCTTCCCACACCACATATACACCTTGTCCACGCACTCCTACCACTCTCAGCTCTTTTCATACCCAGGATATACCAATAGTGGACCAGATATGCGATTACCGCGAGGAACGAGCAGGAGCGACGTGTGCAGTGCTTACTACTCCTACTCGTCAAAAAATGAAGTCTATAGATTAATCACATGTAAGTACATTTACCTACACAACGCATGAACCACTAGGCCAGGTACTGAACTCATCCACAGACTTTATTTGTTTGCAAGTACCTAGGCGCTTTGGGGTGTTTTGGAGGGTTGTTTCTTTATGTTAATGTTTAAGCAATATTCGGTTTATGGTGCATGTTGTCAGCGAAGATTATTTTGGAGACAAAGGTTGGTTGTCTTATCAAAGGTCGAAGGAGCTGATTGGGATTGTGGCATTTTGGGTGTTTAACTATTTGATGAACTGGTTTCTTTATTTTCTTTCGGCGCTGTGTATTGGATGTGTATGTTGGATCGCTTATGTATCAAGACTCAGGATAGACAGGTGTGTATTTGCGTACGGAATGGTTAAAACGAGGAATTGCATTTTATATATAACCAGTTATCAGGAACACGGCAAACCATTGTCTTAGGGATGAAATGAAAGGGGCAGTTCCAATTTAGACATGGTGTAATGTTTAAATTTACATATATCTCTACCAAGCGTGGAAATGCACTAATTGATGCATTACCCACACAATGAAAGGCAGGGAAAGGCATAAACAATGCATTAACACAGGATGTTGTCGGGAAATACATCCAGGGATGCATTTCCTAATACTTTTCCCACACTGCTTGGCACACTACTATAAAGAGTACATAGAAGTTGGATGTTACTTGTTTATAAGATACAAGCGGAGTGCGGCCTCCGGCCGCCCAAATGTAGTGAGGAAATGAAGGTGTGGGCGGTACTACGATAGGAAGTTCTTAGATTATTGCTGTCATTCTGGATCATTGAGTCATCCAAAAGTACAGACACGCACTAAACCTCAACTCCATCTCTCCTAATAGGTAATCTGTGATATATTAGCTCTAGTATGCACTCTAAGTCATTCAATGAGTAGCTTTATTATGTACATGTAGTTCATGATAAAATGCTATCAGGGAAATTCAACCTTGATATATAAAAATGTATATAGCTGTAGTTCTGTCAGTGTTTGTTCTTTTATATCAATCAACTGCAATAGCTACACGCCTTTTAATATAATGCCAGTTCCCTTCCATCTCGGGAGTAGTTCTTTGTCCAATGATATGCAACTAATACCAGAAATAGTACGCAACTAATAGAAATTGTTCCTGGTGACTATGAGGAAGACTATATAGTTTAGATTATGGCGTAGGGGATAAGAAACAAGGCTGATGAGAATATATATTAGCTAGCTTAGTAGGCCAACGAGCAGAAGAGGGGAAGAGAGAAAAGGCCAACAAGCAGAGGTTTGATCCATGACGTACTCTTTTACTCTTTTTTCTCTCAGCGAAATGTGCTTTGTTTCCCTTAAAGCACATTTACTGATGCATTTCCTGATGCATTTACTGATTCGCTTCCTGATGCACTTACTTATTCGTTTCTCAATGCATTTCCCCATAGAAAAATATTGCCTCGTCAACCCGCTTTATCTGTATGAGCCGATTTCCATCCCCCGACGACTTTACTAACGACTTTACCCATATAGAAATTAGATACCTCCTAGAGTATGCATAGCTATTTCCGGGCGGCTTATTAGAACACCTAGGTTTTCAAAATACCCCATCTATAACGCTCTACCACCGGATTTAATGCATCAAGGAATTAATGCATCAAAAAAAAGCACCTATTGGGAAAGTCGTTTGAAAAGCATCGTGAAAGTCGTTGGGAAATGCAGTAAGTTTACTCGTCGGGAAATGAATCAGGAAATGAATCAGGAAATAGATCGGGAAATGGATCGGGAAATTGTTCGGGAAATGGATCCTGGGCCCAAACTAGGCCAAAAAAATTATTTTTCGAAAAGAATGAACTCAGGTCATGAAGGGTTCTAACCACCTAGTAACCACTAAGCTTTGGTTTTGTTATAATAGATAACATATTATTAGGTCTTTAAAATCTATACTTAATTTTGGTTATTTTGACATCGGAAAGTCATCACAAAGTCGTCAGAAAGGTATCAAAAAAGGCATCCCGAAAGGCATCCCCGAAAGGCATCAAAAAAAGCATCTCTTGATGCCTTTCCAAGAGACGTTTGCTGGAAAGGCATCACCTTGACGCCTTTCCCAAAACATTACTATGGCAGGATGCATTTCCTAATACATTTACTCCCGTGGTAGAGACGGAGAGAATGTTCTTCGAAGAGCCAATAGATATACAGACGTAATGATTGATTTATCGATCCTTCCCGCCAGTGGTTACTACTCTAGTAATCATTCTAACCTATAGCTGGGCAGCTCCTTTCCGCTCGCAACCCATCTCTGGGCCTACCAATATACTTATGTTTTTATAGCGTATTACCAGTATTCCCAGAATTGCATGGGGTGCTTCATACCAGATATTCTATATCCTTACAAGCTTAAGATCAAAACTACTGCCAGCGATCACTCATAGGCCGACCGACCCACGAATCCCGGCACCCCCCCCCAAACAGAGAGGTCAATCGGGAAAGAACCCAAACTTTCGGAGGATGGGGAACGGTTCTCCTCACTACTTCTACACCCCCCCCCCCCCCCCCCAAAGCTTAGTCTTGTGCTATTAAGACTTCTTTGTCAGTTGTCTGTAATTTCGGGGGTCCAGCGGGCGGCGCGGCGAGGCTGCGATGTACATAGCTAAACGGCTACCGCATTGTCCAATGCCCAAAACAAAGGGATTAATGAGCCCCGTACCCATACTACGCTTATACATACATCGCACAAGCAACGCAGCAAGAAGAAACTCTGGGAGCGAGACTGCTTAATTATATGCCCACCTGCATGTCAGAGAAATCTGCGTGTCGAGGAACACTGCAATGGTGCAATCGCGCAATAGCAACCCAACCTGCTGATTTACCTTTACATCAAAGATTTCCGAGTGTAAAGAACGCATGTTACAATTATTCAGGAGTATATACTAACAGACAACAATTCCCCCGGGCGTTGCGAGGAGGTAGGACTAACCCCTGACATGAGCCCGCGGCCACTTCACATCACGGCATTCGCGATCACAGGATATCACTCGGTACCTACCTGCATGAGAGATCTGCAATGCCCACCACCTGATCCGATTCCAGAGAATTCCACAGCCTCTCCCCAGGCTCGTCTGGTGTTTTCCGGGGGGCGGGTATAAGATTATATCCCACTTCAGCCCTACATGCCCCCTCTGCACTTTCACGAACAAGGCGTCATGAAATATCACTCGCCAAATCTCTCCTGAAGTTGCATCCGCCACAGGCCCAATCCCAACCAGCCGACACCCTTATCGACCTTCCGAGCAGTGCTGCTACCCGACGTGTCCAACCAGGCTTCGTATTCGACCGTCCGACATGTCAACTCCGTAATTAACAAATCCAATAGCAGTATACTACTCTAGCAGCACTACGTCTAGTAATCACTACTCTCCCAAAGCCACAACCCCAAATAATCACCCCCCACACCAATCAGCACACTGGGACCGCAACCAAAGCCCCCAAAACGGGTACAACTCCCCACGTTCAGCCCCCATGCGGTGCGTGCCCAGCCTCGACCTGATTGGCCCGCGATAGACGAGCTGCTGCTGCATGTGTGACTTCGAGAAACCTCCTGCGCTGCACGAGGGCATATAATATATAACCTACCTACCTACCTACCTGCCTACCCCACCTTTTCTTACTTCGCGTCAATCTCGCTCCGGGTGCGCGGATAGCTATCTACTAACTAGTACTCGTCAAAATGGCAGACAGGCACAAACTTACCTGGGACATGGGCCCGACGATCTCGGCGACGCCGTTGCCGGAGGGGGTGGAGAGGGTGTTTATCCCGTCGCCGGACGGGATGTTGGAGCTTTTGGTGGCGCTTCCGCCGGTGGGCTCCTCGGGGGCGGGGGAGGAGAGGCCGCCGTTGCTGTTTGTTCATGGAGGTGAGGGGTCCTTGTTTCTGGTTGAGTTGTGTATGTAGTGGAGGGTTCTTCTTTGTGGTAGGGAAATTGGTTTGGAGTGTCGATATTTCTTGGTCGTTCCGCGATCATTGACCCTAGTGGAGTCTGCATTCGTGCCCTGAAAACAAATATCTAGATCTCTCAGCCAGCTACTGGCTTGAATATCCAAGGTGTAATTGCTATTGATACTGACCTCTTTGATACAATCCGAGGCTTCGGCAGTGCCACCTGCTACATAAACCTCCTCCCCTTCTTCGCCTCCCACGGCCACCCATCGTACAGCCTCTCCCTCCGCGGCCACGGCGCCTCCCACCACCCCGGCTTCTGGAAGCTCTACTGGACCAGTACGTCCTCCCACCCATTCCCCCCCCACCCACTCTCCCCCCTTCTAACCCCACCCCAGCCAAGCACACCCTCGCCCTCGACATCGCCACCGCAATCACGCACATCCGCCGCCTCCACAACATCACCTACCCCAGCACACCCACCGCCCCCCCCCCCCCCCCCGCTGCAACGGCGTCATCCTCTGCGGCCACTCCTCCGGCGGCGGCCCATCACAATACCTCGTCTCCCGCTCCCTCGAGACCGTCGGCGGCCTTGTCGCCCTCGCCCTCGCCGCCGTCCCCGGCTTCGGCTCCTACGGCGTGTACTACAACTGGCTCGTCATGGACCCGTGGTTCGCGCTGCGCATGTACTTCCGCGACCTCCTCCACCCGCGCTCGCCGCTGTCGTCGACGGCGCTGGTGCACCGCGCGTTTTTTTGCGGCGGGGAGCCCGGCCGCGCTGGTGGGGGAGGTGGAGGCGGATATGGCGCAGACGGAGAGTATGGCGTGGCCGCTGGGGATGGTGGCGCGGTTTGTGGAGCCGGGGAGGGTGTTGGTGGTGGCGGGGGGGTGAGGATAGGTTGATGGGGGTGGGGATCCTGGCAAGGTTGGCGGCGTGGTATAGGAGTGCGTGGGAGTGTGTGGAGGGGGCGGGTGTGGTGAGAGTGGGCATCATTTGATGAGGGATGTGGCGTGGAGGGAGTGTGCGGGGGGTTTTGTTGGGGTGGTTGCAGAATTCGGGGTGGGTGGGTGTCAATGATTGATGATTGGGGCAATGTAGTCGCGTCGGGGGATGTGGCAAATATAATAAGTAAAGTTGGTTCGGAAATTCAAGGAAATAGGCTATTTGGAATGACGAGAGTTGCAGGTATGCACATACATGTATATACATTATGTGCAATCGAGGAGTGCGATGCATGCAAGGGCGATCCAAAACCTCTACAACGGGACCAGTCGCAGTTCATCCAGCCACCAGCCACCCGGAATGGGTGCATCTGCGCATTGAAAAGAATGGCATACATACAGCTTAGCTTGGCTTTACACGGCTAGCAATATGTTCTACATGTAGTTACCTCGTCTCTTCCCCTGGAAGGCGAAGAGCCCCCCCCCCCCCCCCCCAAAAAAAAAAAAAAAAAAAAAAAAAAATGAATGACGCCTCGATGGGGATTCGAACCCCAGTCTCCTCTCTCACAGCTATAAACCTACAGGCTGACTTTCTAAGAGGTATGCTAACCGACTGCACTACCGTGGCTTGTGGGTAGGCCATGGATAGCGTATCATAGACTAAACGGGTCCCTAGGCAGTAGGTTGGATGCGGGATGCAGGAAGCTCTAATCTATATTACCGCACACAATTCTGACCTGTAACGCGGGAGGAAAGGTCACCAGCAGACACTAATCGTTGGGCGAATCAGCGCAGGATCACCACCCATCACTGCACGGTCGAGTGATACCCCATGTATCACTCGGCTGGGCTCTGCACATGATTCGGCGGCAGGGTTAGGGGATTTGGCGGGTCGCGATCGGCGCTTGTGGGAATTAATACGGCACGTTTAGTGGTTGTCCAATAGAACACCCTGCTTGGAATGGGACGGATGTTTTATTGGTGTGTAGGGCAGTGAAGGGCTGGTTGGTCCAATCCGTACTCAGTATTAACCTTGGGGTTTATTCGGTTGGTGGAGTCGGTCATGTGGGATTCTACTGGTTTGGTCGATGGTATGGTATGTTTCCTCGCCCTGTTGTGTATTGCTTGTGACTGAGGTCAGGATGTTTACTCTTCTTGCGTGTTGGCTTGTAGGTAAGGTAAGGTAAGGTTTAGGCTTGGGAATGTGGCACCTTGTGTAAGGTGGTCATAGTAACGGTGTCCACAATCTACATGTAGCTTACTTACTAGACGTTGTCGTGCAGTCTTCAAACCAGGCTTTGTCTCGTAGTCAATCAATCATCATCTCATCCTACCATAACCTATCAAGTCAAGGTCACGAACACGAACAGCCTGAAAACGTGTCACCTTCATATGTACAGGTACTAGAAAATAGGCTCTCATGCTCCTCCGATCTATCCTATTGCCCACATATCGAGTCTTCCTACACTTTGCATGTCTGCACATGTTATCGTACAGTTACCAATGCTCTGTTTGTCTTGGATCACCGGTCACTCGCTATATAAGAGGGGGTTTGCACCCGTCTTTTGCTCATGTCGATTCGATTTAATTCAGGTATTAGCTCCCTTTGACAATCAGAATCAACGATGAACCCTAGTATCTAGCTAATGAATTGAGGAGCTTTAGCACTTCGCGGACAATACAGGGTTTCCCGGGAAACACCCGTGGGTTCTACATGTGGGGTCTAAGCTAGGCTATCTATATCTACATGTACCCAGTTTATCTGTCTGGGGATTCCCACCTGTCACCAGGGGCGCAGAACAGGCAATATCCCAATCGAGCATGCATGTGTTGGCCAAGAATAGAAGCATCCTGATCCCTGCAGCACATCGCACTCAGCTGCATCAGCGGCGATCCCTCCTCCCGATAGGCAACTGCAGGGGTGCCGAGAGATACGAGCAAGGCACGCGACTCCACACGACAGGCACAGGGGCAGACACCGATACAATAAATAGCCCCTCCTCCCCCCCCATCTCCGCCAGCTTCATTATTCCTCCCATGGCGCCGTCTGCAATTCCCACCCCCGCTCCTCCTCCCTCCGCCTCCCCCTCCCCCGATGCCGAGCTGCTGCAGCTCCTGCAGCAGCTCGAAGCGCCGCTCAAGAACCTCCCCCAGCTCGCCCACGACTTCGAAGCCACCTTCCACGACCTCGCCCTCACCTCGACGACGCAGTTCCTGCCCACGCCCGTGCGCGTGCTCCCTAGCGGCGACGAGACCGGCCAGTTCCTCGCGCTCGACCTCGGCGGGACCAATCTGCGCGTCGGTGTCGTCGAGCTCCTCGGCCGGCGCTCCCTCGACACTGGCGACGGCGAGCGACTCCGCATCCCCACGCAGGGCAGCTGGAGCATCCCGGAGCACCTCAAGTCCAGCACGGCCGAGGACCTCTTCCACTGGGTGTCTGAGCGCATCCGTAACGTCCTGCGCGAGCAGCCGACAACGACGGCAGACGTGATGGAGCTCGGCATCACGTTCAGCTTCCCGATGGAGCAGACGTCGCACACGTCGGCGCTGCTCATGCCGATGGGCAAGGGCTTCACCTTCACAAACACCAACGACCTCGCCGCGCTGCTCTCCACCGCCTACACGGCTACCTCAGCCGCGGGCGAGCCCGCGCTCCGCATCGTCTCCATCACGAACGACTCCGTCGCGACGCTGCTCTCCGCTGCCTACGCGCACGCCACCCCGTGCTCCAAGACGGCCGCCGGCATCATCGCGGGCACAGGCACAAACGCCACCTGCATGTGTCCCGTGTCGAAGCTGCACGCCTCCAAGCAGCCCCCCGGCGACAGCGGCGACGGCGGCATGCTGCTGAACACGGAGTGGAGCATCCGCGGCACCGCGCCGCCGCTGGCCCCCTACGTGACGGCGTGGGATCGGCGCCTCGACGCGGGAAACGAGAAGCCCGGCTTCCAGCCGCTCGAGGAGATGGTGGGCGGCCGGTACCTCGGCGAGCTGGTGCGGCTGGTGGGTCTCGACGTGTTTCCGCGCGATGCGCTGCCCGCGGCGATGCACCGCGCGTACGGCGTGGACACGAAGCTGTGCGGCGATGTCGAGGCGGCGGCTACCGACGCGGAGGCACTGGCGCTGCTGGCTGACTACTTCAGCGCCGATGGCGGGTGGGGTCTCGGACTGGGGGCGGCGGCGACGTTTAGGCGCGTGTGTGGCGCAGTTAGTACGCGGGCGGCGGCGCTTGTTGCGGCGGCGACGGTGGGCGTGTTGGGGATGAACGATGAGCTGGGGGACGGCGTGAATATCGTCGTGGGGTATACGGGGACTATACTGGAGAGGTATCCGGGGTTTAAGGAGCGCTGCGAGGGGTTTATGAGGGAGATTGTGAGGAAGAGGAGGGGGGGCGAGGACGGGGCGACTGTGACGCTGGTGGAGGCGAGGGATGGGGGCATTTTGGGGGCGGCGGTGTTGGCGGCTATGGTGAAGGGGGGGAGCACATAGGGGTGACTTGAGTGTGGGTGGTAATGGGTTTGGGTGTCGTAATGATCATTGGCCCCTGGACCCTGGTGGCTAGCTAGTTGGTTGGCTGTACGTAATTGCGGGAAATAATAGATAGAGCTAGAGCTAGCTGTGTTTGCTAATATTTCATGTGAATAGTAGCTTAAACAACTAGAAAATAAAGAGGTTTGTTGAAAAAAAACAAAGCTGTTAACTAACTACCTTCTGTACCTGTAGTACATGTAATTAACGAAGCTTAGAGGATCAGTGGAGGACTTCGACTCCTCTTTCTACCCAGTAGATCTGACCCGCCGATAAAAACAATATAAATTCTGAAACTACATGATCTCGGATACAGCTTTATTGGCCAAAAGTCACTGCTTAATTCCTACTATATAGAGCTTTTACCCGAAATTAAATACCTTACTACTACCACTACAATACCGCTACTACTACCACCACAATCACCACTGCTACCAAGTAACTGCCGCCGCCACTGTAGATATGCATAGCATTTTTGTCCCGCTGCAGCAACAGAGTGGGAAGCCCCCCAGTACCGGCACTGGACTCTAGCCCCGGATATGCACCAATCCGAGAAGCAAGATGGCATAATTATAAACCAACGTACCACAGATCGATGCAGATTTATATGTAACTAGATATTACATCCCGAGAGCTTCGTACCTACCCCCAACTTTACCTGGCATGTATGTACGGACCCGTCAATAGCATCCTTCTACGACATCTGCAGGGGACCTTCATTTTGTATAATATACATACATGGCTTGGCGCACAGCTGCTCACTCGGCTCCTCTGGTTGGCCGGCGGCTATCACGAACATTTTTTTTACTTGTGCACAAAATACTATTGGTTGATTGATAAAAAAATTATCTAAATAAGTACATACTATAGCGCAGGAAAAACTTGCGGCGAGAAGAAGTTTTCCGCCAAAGAAAATGCGGTTGCAGCACAAAAGTGGTGGCGGCGGAAACTTATCCTCGCAGCAAGTATGTACATAAAACAAATAATCTAAACGAAACCGCATCGAGAGCTGTGCGTGTGTTGGGGGAGAAGGAAGGGGGGGGGGGATCCTATAGTAGTAACACGTCCAATCAGTGAGCTCAAGACACCTGATAGCCTCCCCCCCCCCCCCCACTCTTCAACAGCAACACAAACCAACGCCCCCCCTCAGTTTCCATAAATGTACAATACCGCCCCCATGTCATAATACGGCCGCACCACTTCCACCATCTCCCCCTCTGGGCATTTCCGCATCATCCCCTTCCACACGTCGACCGCATGCCCACACGTGGGAAAGGCCTTGTTCAAGCGCTTCACCTGCTCCTCGCCCGCAGCGGCCCACGTAGGCAGACACACGGCCAGGTTGACACGGCCGGCGCTGGCGTAGACCTTGCAGGTTGGGTTCTTTGGATCGCGGCTGGCGAGGTCGAGCATGTTGGGGAAGACCTCGGGGCGGGGCTTGATCACGCACGCTTCGAGGAATTTGCCGGCGGCGGCGTAGAAGTCGGAGGTTGGGAGGACGCCGTGGGCGGTTTTGGGCTTTTCGCAGCGGGCGTAGGTCATGTCGGGTGAGGTGCTAACGGCCGGTGCGGCATGGGTGGCGGAGGAGATGGTGAGGAGGAGGATGGCGAGGGTGCTGAGGAGGAGGGGGGTGTGCATGGTGGTGGTGATGTGGGCTTTTGGGTTCGTTGGAAGGGTGGTGTAGATCGAAGAAATGGCGAGATGGACTGTGGAGATGATCTATAGATATGAGTCTGTGTGGGGGGAATAGCTTCTGCGCTGGTGGTGGAGTCTAATGTTGGTCTGGTTATATATGTACGAGTACCGGGATAGCGAGCTGTTTTTATAAAAATACGTAAAAAGACACATCCCTTGTGGACCATTTTATTGCATGTTTCGGATCCTTACCGTGAATCTGCCTATACGCGGGGACTCGTTTCAATTCGTAATGCACCACTGGCCGTGGTAGTTGGTACTTGGGATGCATCCAATACAATGGATTGGCTGATTGATCGATATAATTCATTGATAGTTTTCAGCCCGGAGGCTATGCCAATATCTAATACAACGGAGATATACGCAGCAGGTACAGTTGGCTTATGGATAAAGCTCCTGTAGCGTTGCAGTACCGTAAGCTTGTAATTGGGGTGTTTCAGCATTCATTAAAAGCTTTGGTGATCTACCACCTGGCAGGTGGCTGGGGCGCTAGCCAACGACTAAATGGAAGGTGGATTCAGCAGAGTGATCTTGAAAGACGTGAATCAAACAACCAAACAATTGAGTAAATCTTGAAAGAGAATAGACTCACCTGCATGTGGAATAATGCATCTCCGTATTAGCATTGTATTAGATCACTTTCAGTGCGTAGAGGGTGTAATATAATATGGGTGAATTCGAATTGATTGATATGAAGTATGGATAGGTGAATATTCACCCAGCCGGGAAGATATACCAGCTACGTACTTGTAGCTGTAAGGATAGATTATGGGTCTGGTTACTTGGTCATTACATGTCTGTATTCGTATAGAGAGAACACTCAGCACTACGAGTAGAACAGATATAATTACCAGACAAGCTTAACTGAGAATTAACCTTCATGTTCTTTTCAAACCCAGCCACTGGTCCTAATGGGGTAATAATACCTGCCTAATTGGGCTGACCTTGGAAGAAAATTATTATTTCACACCAATGTTCTTTTCGGGTAAATTGAACCAAATTTTCTAGAGGTCGCAGCGAAACAAGTTCTTATTTGTTTTAAATTCCCTTTAGTGGGAATGTTTAGAACCAAGATTAGAGCCATTTTACAGAAGGACTTTGTTTGTAGGCAATTGCAAGTGTTGCGTGATGGGGTGAACGGGGTGAAGGTGGTTGCTTGAGCACTGGTTCTGGCTGTCCGCCACTGTACGTACATGTAGACACATACTGTACGTGTACCTTCTTCAACTAGGTAGAACGTCTCTTTCTGGGTAAACTATAGAGACAACCAATAAGGGTTGGCCAATAGTTAGAAACACTGTTTTCACAGCCAGAGAGAACACTGAGTAGAACAGATATACCAGACGAGCCGGTGAGCTCTTCCTCTGTCATCAATCCAGCCATTTGCATTACTACATTAAGCGTGACTTTCACAAACAGTCCATGCCTACATGTGGTTTATGTAAAGAACAGCCACAATAGGTATGTAGCCACAGCAGAGAAGAGAGCGGTCGCGGAGCTTGTATAATTAACGAGTGGTCAATGCTCACAGGAATGCAAGCCAGACACCAATTTTGCTTTGAATTAGGCTGGCATTCCCTTATGATTTAATTTAGCCTATGTACTCAAAAAACGGTCCATCTCTGCTCCTTCCTTGCACCGGCATACCACGCATACGGACTGTCCCTGGGTGCTGGTGATCCGCCGAGGTCTTTCCATCTGCAGGGTCTTCCCCAGCTGCAGATCTATACTTATGCATATCCGGGTCTGCATGGGTGTACCTACATACATGCACTCTACTCTCCATTCCAGAAAGCTAGCTTCTCCATCCATCCGGCTAAACATAATTCCCATAACCCGGTTCCAAAAAGCGACAACCCGGGGTACGCAGCTATGACCGGTAGACATCGGTTCTGGAAAAGACCGGCAAACTTTCTACCCTCAAGCAGCAGCTATAGTGATGGGCAGTACGAAACGAGCTAAACCACACGAGACTAGAGGGTATTGTTAGTTTCGTCTCGTCTTAAATTATCGATCTCTGGTCTCGGCAGTCCCGTGGTATCATAATACCGGGTTGTACTCTTTGTTTGGTCTGGTAGCTGAGTCTCGTGGTGGAGAGATATACATAGATCAACCTCACGGTGCAATACATTGTCCACGGAGCTGGAGATACGGCAACTTCAGAAAGGAGTCATACAGGAGGATTTGTGATTATCAGCTTGAAATTGTGATGGAGCGAAAATCGCATACGTCCCGTACCGGCCTGCAATACCTCCAGTCACTGGACTCAACCCGTGCCACAACTCCATACGTATACAGAAACCGGGGAATGTTGTATGTACTTACCACCCCAGATCTCCTCTTGTCTACAATCTGCACAATAACCCCCCGAAATCTCTCCGGATAACCGGGTATGTACCAATGGAAGCCCCCCAACGAACAACTTCTCCAGGATGTTGTCTTCTCGTGCGTATCACGAGCGTATCAAAGGTATATCAAAAGGGCCATTCCACATACGCAGGGGCCACTACAAACCTTGGAAAAGCTACTTGGGCGGCCTACCAAATTCAAACATATCTCGGCTCACCTTTACCAGGCACCCAAAATACATACATATTCCCAAGGACCGCCATACCCAAAAGGGTTCACATCCCGTATTAACACAATGCCCCCACGGCCGGATCGACTCTCGGATTGTCACCGTCGCACAAGGTGACCTCTGCTCCTCAGCTACTCTGGAGTCCATGTATGTGCCGATATATGGGGGCCGCGTGTGGAATGATAGCACAATATGAAGGAGCTAGCTCATAGCTAAGTGGCTACAGATAAACCATTTCAGCAACCCGACCACCTCCGCTATCCCCCATTCACAGCTATTACAAACACCGCAAAACCTACCAGTTACTCCACAAACCCCCATATCATCTTAGCTTTGCGTCATGCCGCCGGGTCAGCCAGCCAGCCACAGAAACCGGCAACTAAATAGAATTTCCGCCAGCTTGTGGCTATCCCGATCGAAGAACAATAAAAGCAAAAAACGGTTATTACCAGTTACCGGCCAGCCAGTTAGGTTACCGGGGGGGGGGGGGGGGGGTGAGTGACTGGCTGAGTCAACGCTAGCTAGGATACCCCAACTTCTGCACTGTAGTCCGGTTCTTTAATCCGGGCCTGACGTCGTGGCGTGTGGGATGTACTCCAGGGGGGGTGAATCAGGCCCCGGGTGATCGTATGAAGAGAGGAGACAGAAGGATCTGAGGGATCGGGGCCCTGGGTGTGGGGCTTGGGGAGATACAGCGATTTGGGGGGTGTTTCAGAGCTTAAGGTCTAGCGGGTGAGAGGGGTAGTTCGAACCTACATACTGCCGATTATTAGATTATTGGGGATCTCATACGGGAAGCGGAATTTGGAAAGAAGAAATAATCTGGAAGTCTTCAAGAGGCGTCCTAGTAGGTGTATGAGAGCATGCCCACGATCACTCACTCGAATCATTTATACTCCATAAATTATAGCTATGAGTAAACCGATAGTGGTGAATTAATCTATTTGTGTATATCTAACATCGTAACTTCAACTCCAATCTAGTGGTAATATATGCAGTTGTACAGGTTTTACTGATACTTGCAGTGCGTATATATGCCTCACGCTCGTGCCCTACCGCTACATATTAAGAATACTCATGCATATAATACTTCTCACGCATATATTCATTTTCCACCCTCCTCCTATTCCTCTGATCCAATGCCACGTACGCACGGCAGAGGCGCCTACAAGACATATAAATACTTATACTACAATCTCCCTAGTAGCCCGCCAAAAAAAAAAAAAAAAAAAAAAAAAAAAACAAGCAAACATCACCACATAAAACGTGAAGACAAGACAAGATATAACCACTACATAAGCATTAGGACTCAGATTCAGATCGGTGCAGGGGTATGCCCGGTGTTCTAGATAGGTCACCTAATAATCACTCAGCAATCCCAAGCCCGCCTAAACTCTTTCCTTCCTCCCGCGCGCGCGCGCACCTATATCAAAGCACAGAACATCATAATAACGCAACGCACGCTCCTGGCTGACATGTATTCGATATGTCAGTGCTTCCTATCTCGAGGGAATGTATTTTCGGCGGCTCTGGCTCTTGGCTGATAAACGGGATGGGTTCAATCGGACGCTCCTAATAAGTCAAATATTAGGGCGATGAACTCAATATCGATAATTGATCACCAACCATCTATGATCCAGCAAGCCGTTTCATCCCGCAAAGCTATGGGGGTCACCCCCTTCCTAACTAAAACTAGGTACCAGATCCCCGAAACAACCACCAAGACAGGCGCAGAAAACAACCCTCCCGCGTGGTCGTATCTAAGCTCTAAGCTCTAACTAGAGTATGTACCAACTGCTCTGAATATCCATCTGTTTCTGCCCCGCGCTGTTATACCCACCCAGGGTGTTGGTTCCTCCTCCTCCCATCCCCCCCGGGAGAGTAGATGGGATGATCGATGGTAGAGGTGCCTATGTAGCACCTCCAGACGTGTGTGTGTGTCTAACCTCCATGTCCCAGAACGGCACAAATATTCCCCGCGATGCATGGCAATGACGTTGGAGGGCGTAGGTCACACACAATTTAGAAATTCGAAAATGTTCTTCCTTTCTTTCTTTTCGCTGTCTCAGTCTCTCAGGTTTTAAGATGAAATCTCCGGTGGGCGTCCCACCCTCCCTCGACCCCATCCCCTTTATTTCCGTTATACATACTGCAGAGTACGGAGGTACTCTACACAGAGCAGAGTACGGAGGTACTCTACACAGAGCAGAGTACGGAGGTACTCTACACAGAGCAGAGATCCTGAGGCTGGGTGTGGATTAATTAGATAGGTACCTTGACTACAGTGGTTGGGGCGTACGCCACTTTGTTTCGTCTTTGTGAGCTGCGTGAGCTGCCGTTGTTGTGATTATATATGTGCGTACATGTAGTTAGCAAAAATGGCGGAGGCTAGATAAATGGCTCAGTGCAGTCTTTCTTCCCTGTGCTCACATGTATTTGGGGTCGCGCCAAGGATTAGTAGCTAGCAGAGTGTGGTGATATCTCTCCAGGGGCTGAGCTGAGCCACGAACCCATGGATCTCTGTGTACGGATCAATGGAAATATCTCGAGGTATGCAGGAGAGGTGATAGAAAAAGAACCGTTTGTAATATTGGAAGCCATCCCGTGGATATTTTTGAAGGTTTGTAGGCGTTCAAATGTGGTCTGTAGATCCCTCCAGGGTGTGTCTACAGGTTTGTTGTGAGCCGTTTCTACGCAAGATCTGCAATTTATCTTCAAGGCTTCAAGTTTGAACACCTTCAGAATATCCACGGGAAGGCTTCCATTATGAAGGCCACGGATATACGGATATCTAGTCATAAAATCACGCTCATAGCAGTTTCGGAATCAGGGTTAATAGATACGTTATCTAGGCGTAGCTACTAGGTAGTTGCTTGAATACTCGAGTGCGAGGTACTTTTATAATCAACTATCAGTCTGATATTATAATCGAGGAAATATATCGGACAAATAAAATAAAAGCTCGGATAGAAAATGTTTACAAAGGAAAAGAAGGGGAGGTCCTAGATATCCTTCCCCCCCGTGCAGCGCAGCAGAATCACAGATTTAGTTGTAGCTAATGTGAAATACCCCCCAGTGAATAACGCAAGGAAACTAAAAACACACAAAAAAAAAGAAGAAAAGCGAACGCCCAGCCCAACCCAGCCGAGATCCCAAAATCCCACCCAATAAACAAATGAAAAAGCAGTAGCCGGTAATCGCCGTAGTTCCCTCCCATAATTTCCCGCCCCTCCCCCCATCATAATATTACGTTGTAAAGTCAAGCTCTGGATCCTAATTATCCCAATATCCTCCGAATTCCCGATCACTTATATCTCCCTCCCAATACAGCCGTGACAATCGTCAAAATCAAACAAAGCCGACTCTGGCTCATGTTCGTAGTAGCTCTCCCTCTCGCCTCCGCATCCCATGTAGTCTTCCACAGTTGGTAAATTTCTCGCTGTCGATTCCCAGGCCTAGGCCATTGCCACAGCTAGAGATTGGAAAGGATCTTGATGTGTTCGAATAGCCATCTGGATATTGATAGGGGTATCCAACAGCTAGTGAGGACGGGAGAAATCCAGGGTACCGGCAGCAATCTGACGGCCAGCTCTGTGAGTTGGTTGTCAGTTCGATCTCGAGAAACTGTAGTTCTATGGGATCGAAGTAACGTACGATTTGTGGTACTGGTTTGGCGTTTATGGCCTCCTCTTCAGGTTGTTGAACCGATTTTGACGACATACAGCCCATTTTTTCTATGACAGTGAGAGGTGATGAGGGGATTTTGTTTTTTCGGTTTCCACTTATATTTGGAGACTGGTTCAATTGAGAGGTATTTAGAGGTGGAAGTTATATATTACTATCGGCTTGAGTAATAATGAAATGAGGGTTGTCTGTATGAATGAATGTTGATGGATAAATGCTTGCTCAAGAATGCAGAGAATTTTCCCAGTCCTTATATATCAACAGCAGTGACTAAAAGTGGGAGTGACAAGGCTGCAGGTCCATGATTGCAGTCGTACAAACACCGTGGGGTAAAACCAGACGCAGTACGCACCGCGCTCGTAGGCTTAGGGCGGTTCCTCCTGCCCTCCGAAATGCGTAAAGCCGTGTGTGGTAGGTGGTGTGCACCCCTTACATGCCGCTGGAATGTTACCCATAAGTGAACGGGAAACACTGGGAGAAGGGGTCAAGCGTTAAAACCCGCTCTTAGTGCCTTTAGGACGATTGGCCGAAGGTAGATGTTCACAGAATGGACTGGGTGCCTTCTAGATCAGACTGTTGAGTGAATAGCCGAGACGCGATTAAATTCGTCTATAATTTACGTGGTCCGTGTTTCCAATACCTAAAATAAGAGGAAACCACTGTGCACATCTAGAGCAGTCAACAGTTAATTGATAGTCTCACTTATCTCAAGAAAATGTTAGTGTGGTTACTTCCAGAGATATAGTATCTGCCGTGGCTTGAGATCGAATGCACTTTTGAGGCGTATGCATACCATGTCTCAGATCCGATCACCAAGGGAATTGCTTTCCAACCAGGTGCTTTTTCCCTCCGCATCCAGCAAAAAGAATCCAAACTAAACCATGGCAATGGTCAGCCTTCAATTTCCTCCACCTTCTCCAAATCATTGGGAAGGTCCCCTCATGCCAGCCACTGGCAGTCCTCGAAATTCTCCAAGAGATTCACGCAAGCCCGAAGAAACTTGAGACAATCCAGTTCGTCCGGCCAGAACTAATACATTGCTCCGTCGTCCGTTCCCTGGATTCACCCGCACCTTCTTTGGGAGTAATTTGATAAAGGCTATGCAATATTGCAATATAGTGATATCTACACATATAGTAAGCGTCGGTGATTTGCGCCTACCCCAATCGAAGACCAACATTCGCATATGAGTTCGATTCTCTAGTAAAACGAACAATCTCGCCATCTCTCTTTGAGACCTTCCAATATACTCAATCGAGATAAATAACAGAAGGATGAGTATCCCTTGTAGATTATGCAATCGCCTAACAAATTGAGAGGCGTTCGCCTCGATACCCCCCTGTTGTCATTCCTACCCATGGGTTGACGCGAAAATCTCCCGCCCCTTGTCAATGCGTATCTCTCCGCAGACAGCGATCTGTATTTGAGTTGTAGTCCTCCGGCCGGCCACTAGGCAAACGTCAAATTCATCCTCCGAAGTCTCCATACGACCCCTCGAGAGGCGCTGCCACCAAAACTGGCAAGTGCTCCAACCATGCAAGATTAAGCAGACCGCTACTCTACTTACCCTGGCCGAGCAAAAAGAAGGTAATAACTCCAGACTGGGCACAATCTTCGATCGATCTGCCTCAACGTCATCCCCTACTGTCGTGGTCATTGTTTGTCACTGGGTTCGCAAATAGAAAGTAAAACATTCTGTATACAGATTATCGCCGACTACACCGTCGTACCCCGGCTGCAATGATGCGGCTTTGTGCGTTCGGTTCCTCCCGTACTAATGGTAACCGTCATAGCTTCTGAAGATGCCCGGTATCCGATCTGGGTCCCAATTATTGGGAATTTTTAAACTAGCCTGCACAGAAGTGCAACCGTGATATTTGTCAATAGGCCTCAGGGTCATCACACAGGAAAGGTGGGGAGTGCTACAGAGGCAGTGAGGAGAAAGGGGGTGCCTATCCGAGTCGATTCAGAAATATGGTATTGTCTCTCAATAGTAGGATCCATTTCTAGGACGAGTCGATATCGGGTCCTTACTTCGGTCTTTTGTAGCTAAATTTCAAAAACTAATATAAAACACAAAAAAAACTAAAGCTAAGGAAAAATATCCTGCATAACGACAGACTTCTTCGAGGCTAACTGTTGGAAACCGGATAGGTAAGTTGAAAATTTAGGAAGCAATTTTAGAAATTTAGGTTCTACCTGTATTTATTTCGGGTAGTCTTTGAAGTGAAAACTTTTCAGCCTTACAAATGCATCGAACCCGAATTTACTCAACGTCACACCTCGTCCTGAATCTTTCCAGCCAGTCCAAGCAAGATCCTACGGTTCAACGATCAACAACGTGTCAGCGTTATCGGACAGATTCACTGCACGTGCCATTTGAGTTGCAGCAAAAGAAAAGACCAAAGCGAACCCCAAAACCAGACCTCGTCTCCGGGTTTTCTCGCGGTTGACAAGTAAGAGGTGAAACAAGGTGGAGCAAAAAAAAACAAAGCGAAAACACGCTTTCTCTACGCGGAGTAGACCGCGGACTCGCCAGAGAAGCAAAGTGATGTCTAGAAAAAAGAAACCAAAAAGTGACAAGATGGTCTAGAACTCACCGGACTAGGATAATCGCATCGGTTCACAAACACTGTTCCCGCCTCGACCTGTTCCGCGAGTTTTTGCCCAGTCTCAACGTCCTTCGTCCAGATGCTCGCCGTGAGACCAAAGTCCGAGTCATTCATCAAACTCACAGCTTCATCGTCACCAGAGACTTTCATGACAGGAATAATGGGCCCAAAAGTCTCTTCTGTCAAGACTCTCATTTTGTGACTGCAATCTGCTAAAATCTCCGGCCTGACGAAAGTCTCTCCAAGCTTTGACCCCTCAGAATAAACGTTTGGCGTCAAATTCCTAGCACCTTTGTCTTCGGCGTCTTTGACTTGCTCGGCTATAGTCCGGGCAGATTTGGCGGATACAACGGGGCCTAGATGGGTTGTTTTGTCTAAGGGATCACCTAGTTTATATCCGTTAAGCACCCCCACCAGCTTCTCCAAGAACTCTTCATATATGCTCTCGTGAACATAGACCCGCTCTATGGAGCAGCAACTTTGCCCAGAATTGAAAACTGCGCCGTCAACTATCTCTTCAGCGGCCCATGCGATATCCACATCTGGACGGACATAAGCTGGGTCGTTCCCACCAAGTTCCAATCCGACTGGAACAACTCTAGACGCAGCAGCTTTCTGCACCGCTATACCTCCGGCCACAGATCCGGTAAATGCAATGGACCTTACGTCAGGTTCCCTGATTAGCGCTTCAAGGGTGGCATTGTTCCCGCAATGGACAGTCCGCAAGACGTTTTCCGGTAGACCAGCTTCGGCAAAAATAGAGACGATGTGCTCGGCGATCGTTGGGGTCTGTGGAGATGGCTTTAAGAGAAGAGTATTTCCAGCCAGAATTGCAGGGATCAACGAGTTTATCAGAATAAGGTACGGGTACTACATTATGGTTAGTTCTCAAAAAGTCACCATGTCGTAAAGAAAAGATGGTGAAGTACATTCCAAGCGAAGATAATCAGAACCTATGGTCATGTCAGTCTTACTTTGTCTTTCCGCAAAACACCTCATGATAATAATGCCTACCGGTCCTAGAGGCTTCTTTCTGATAAATCTCTTAAACCCTTCTTGAGCTTCTCCTGGTGAGTCGCTTAGGACTTCATCCGAGACCTTTAATAGGTATTGAGCTCGCATGACCGCTGTGGCGATCTCTTTTCCAGTATAAGCAATCGGCCTTCCCATCTGCTCAGTGAGCTCCTTTGCCAATTCATCTGTCTTGCTTAAGAGGATATCAAGTGCTTTTCGCACGATTTCTTGACGTTTTGCAAGTGGATGCGTTTTCTGGAATGTAGAAAAGGCCTTTTTGGATGCCGATAAAAGGGATGGAATTTCTGAGATTGATAAGCCCTGCCGAGTAAGGATGGGTTTGCCGGTTATCGGAGAGATGGTTGTGATTGTTTCTTGAGTCATCTTATCTAAATCTTATTACTCACGAGTTAGTATGGGCCTCTATAAGATAGGCTTCATAAAGGAAGAATAAAGGAGAGCATCATATATAACGAACCTTTTTCGAAACAAATCGGGTGTTATTGAGATACACGTATCACCGAGGTGGGGTTGAGTTGAGTTGAGGTTACGCCACATTGATCCCTACCTCAGATCGCATCGGAGCATTTCTTGCCCAGCCTCGGACTTGTGGCTCCTGTGGCTCACCATACAATTGCAAAACTACATGTAGCAAACGGTACACGGCGCTCAAGAACTTATTAGGGCCCGTTTGGCTGTTGTAGAGAAATCGAAACCCTGTTTCGTAACTGCTCCGTTAGGGGAGGATAAACGGAGCTTTTTCAAAACGGAGTTTGGGTTTGTTTGGCCTGCCAAACACCACTTTAGATTTTGGTTGTCAAGGTAGATTTTGTTTGGGTTGTGATGACTGCAACAGCGAAAAGTAGGTTTACCTACTTTTCAAAAACTCTATTTCAACGCACTAACGGAGTTACAAAATTGGTTGACCGAACGCAAGCATTTTTGGCAAAACGGAGCTCCGAAGAAAATGAAACTGAGTTATGTCGTTGCCATACAAATCTGCCTCCTGTAACTCCATTTCGACTGGCAGCCGGCCAAACAGGCCCTTAAGTAATTATTTTACCATGAACCCTCTTACCACTTAGGCGGCCGGCTCCAATGATAATATTTCTGATAGATACGTATATGTAACTAATAGACAATTGTAGCACACCGCTTCAACAAGGAATAACGTACTATGTACATGTAGTTATCAAGGTTTCGATCGATATTGAGGTGGGTTTGCCTTATAAGCTTAGACTACCTCGTCACTTACCACATAGAGCGCCTTCAACTCCCAATCCGACCGGTACCAGTATCAGTAATATGTACATGTACTCATAACGATCGTTAACCCATAACAGCCTTTCTACCCTTGTTGAACCAAAACTTGAAATTTTACCCTGAAATAACATATCACCACGCGTGCACGTACCCACCACCTACGGAAGTAAACCATGAGTATTTCTACCAGGACACCTTCTAACACAGATAAATGTGCAAATTCTATTGTACAAATTCTATTGTGCAAATTCTATTGTCCATATATCAGGAGCCCCTACATTCCTAGTTTGCTATATGAATCATGGGGTATCACTCGACATGATTCCCATATTGAGAAAGAGGTCCCCCCTCCCTTTTTTGGTTTAACTCATTAATTAATTGTAATATTGAGAAAGTGGTTGATTGATTGATTAATCATTCATTAATTGTATATTGAGAAAGAGGTTGATTGATTGGTTGGTTGATAATTCATTAATTTAGAGAAAGAGGTCGACCATAGGCAAGATGTGCACTGTATCTCTGGGCTTTCGAGATTTCTAAAATCTAGGGCTGATCTAATTTGAAACTCTGTAGGGGTTTAAAATAGGAGCCTGATTTGTTGATGGCGTGTCCAAAGCTTTGGTCATCTGTAGACAATGTTTTTGATAAGTTCAAATATAAGTCATGCAACCAAGTTACTACATGTATCGGTCCCGCCGAGCGATAATTACAAGTCCCGATATGCATGAGTGATCAATTATTGCTCCTCCTGCTCTACATCTATTATGGTGCTACGCTTCAGTACAGTTTCACGAAATCAATATTGATCATAGCTGGGAAAGCTATATAAGTCTACAGCTAGTCATGAATAACAGCTCATTGGATAAGGCAACCCTGGGCTTGGGTAGATTCCATGGATAACAGAGGCTTCGAAGGTTCTTGTAGGGTTAGGTATACGTTGAGTTTGACGAGGTTGTCCGGCAAACCAAGGTTGTCACTCAGTCTCATTGGATCTTTTCTCGTATGACTCATAACAGTAGCGAGTGATATTGTGACTGTTACAAGTATGTACTTAAGCTACATGTATTCACAACAACAACACTCATCATCAGTAGGTACATACGAACTATTCATACAATGGGGATTACGTTCAAAGGGCCTTCCATCTTGCATTCGAGCGTCATACGGACACTTGCTTTTTTATAACTTACCAGATCCTTGTGGCACCGAACGAGTCTGTTGTATTCATATGCTCAGATACACCATAGACAGATAGACGTCATACACAAACATGCGGCAGAGGCAGCGGTCATTGAACAAAGAGCTACTCGATGGTCGTCGAGGCCGTTTTCTCGGGACAGCAGCGACAGAGGTGTTGGGAGAGGGGCGTCGGTAGACTCGGGCCGACATATCCGTTATCAAATGGAATTTGAATTTTCTAACTATGGTTCAAAACACTTTTCTAGAATACATCTTCCGAAGTGGGATCAGAAAGCAATGAGCAAAAAAGCGTGCAAGCATTAGCTAGCAAGAAAGAACAGCCATCAGGAAACGTAACCCCATTGTTTTATTTCTTTCCTTTTCTCTTTTTTCAAAGAAAAAAGAAAAACCAAGACCCTATAAAGAAAACAGGAAATTCAAATAACTCCATTCCCAGTTGAACCATACCGAATCATTTACTCCATCACCATTCATTTCAAACCAAGGAATACAGATACGGTGATTTCTCATCAGAAATTTCATCGTATGAGCTATTCCTTCGAAACTCATCAAGTGTAGGCATTGCTTTCATTAATCTTGATGGTTGCTTCCAGCAAGATCGAGCCCCTCAATACTCAAAGGCATTCCGGCTCTTACTCCTTGTTGTAGCGAAATTCGAAATTCCATTTCCATTTCAGCTCTCCGAGCAGCTCCTAACGCTGCATCGAGTGAGTTCATCAGGAGCCATGAGGTTTCGGGTAGCTCATTGCAATCTCTTTGTTGACGTTTCTGAAGATCGGAAGAATCGATGGGAGTAATAGACGGAGATGCTGGGGTGATTGGAGTGGGTACGGACGAGATCGTCGTCGAGGAATTGGAAGATTCAAGGTCAGAATCACCAAGAGAAAAACACGAAGCAGATGGCGAGGAAGAGGATAGAGAGATCCCTAAGCCACCTGCCTCTTCCAAACCTTGAGGTAATTGAGATGAGCAAGGGGCTATAGTTTGTGATTGAATGGAGATAGGGTGTTGTGCTCTTGGCTCGCATAAGAGCGAAACAGTGGTTTTGACGGCCGAAACGCGGCTTGTAACCGAACGCACATGATCGGCGGATGCTTCATCCAGATCCTCCTCCGCGTCGGAGTCTACGCCCGAGCCACCGTCAGAGTCGTCCTCGTATTCATCATCTCCGTCATCTTCAGAGTCTTCCTCTTCAGATTCTTCTTCGGAATCTTCCTCGTCAAAATCAGAGTCGCTTTCCTCAACTTCGTCTTCGGAGTCATCCTCTCTTTCCCACCATTCCAACTCCCTAGGAACGTTGCCTTGACTGGTTTTCCTGGTTGAGTCCTCATCTATAGCGTTAACCCGGACATTTCCTTCACCCCCTTTCCACAATTCCTCTGATTGATAATTTATTCCCTGTTGCGAACATTTCGCTCCCACCTTTGCTTCATCCTCTTGATCTTCAGACATGGGCGGAGCACCATCGAAGAACACGTTTTCAGATACATGAGCTCGCGAAAACCTCCCTGTCCATTCCCTCCATAAAAATTGGTTACGTTCCCCTAGTATTCTTTGGGTCTCGTGCAGAGCGTTGTAGCAACCGGCTCGAGAGCCGTCGAGGTCTGTTACCACGATAGTGGGTATACTGGGTAGCGGTGTCACTGCAGGACACGGATGGCGAGGGATCGGGCATACAGTTGCCGGAACTGAGATAAGAAACGATGGCTGTATAAATCATGGGTCAATTTGGAGATTCTTTCATTAACTAGAAAGGGTACAAACCAGTCTGCCACGGAGATTGATATATATTCGGGAGTAATACTCGCAAATAAGGACCTGTGTGGGCCAGTATTTGTTAAGGCGAGGTACAAATTCCTTGGAGGAATCATGTTAGTTCTTTATTTTTTTTTTTTTTTTTTTTACTATTTGATTTGCGATGTAGAGAACATACAGATAGATTGCTGATAAATATCCCTTCGTATGACAGGAGCCCTCCAATGGTGGGCACAGCGGTGGAAACAGCACTGTAGTAGTAACCGACGGAAGAATAATCTATCAACCGCTCCCATAGGATGGTGATAACTGGTGAGGGGGGGGACTCCGACTCATTTTCATAGAGGTATGAAAGGATAAAGCGCCCCATTCCTCCAACGAGAGAGGCAGCGCCCTGTTTGAATCGCCGAAAATATCCTGGATTAGGTGGGATATTTTGGTTTGGAATAGCCTCATGCAAAGAGGACAGTTCGATGTCTATCATGGTGGTGCGTGGTGAATGCAATGATGTAGGCAAGCGGCCTAGCGGTTTCGATAATGCCAAGAGAGACGATCTCTGCTGAAAAAACAAGATGGTGAACTATGGCGGTTATGATGTATGCGGAGAGTGAGCGGTGGAAGGGAAGAAGAGGATAGTAATAGGAGCGCAGATGTTGGATAAAAGAATTTTGAGAGGTCACAGTTGATAGAATGGGTATGTTGAAAAAATGTTTGTTTCAAGCTGTGCAACCAAAGGGTTCTGTGTGCCTGCCGTGACAGCTAGTCAATCGATAACAACTACTCTCTCTCTTGGGAGCCTCCCAGGTACAAAATCCTGAGTTAAAAATCCGCCTTGATCGAAAACTGCTATAGAATAGTAACCCGCCATTGTGGGAGGTAAAAATAAAGAGGCTAATGATGGGAAATCAAAAGCCCCTTAAATCTGGAGAGAAAGGGCCCCAGCCATGATCTTGTATTTTTTAGTGTTTTTGTTCTGGTTCTTCCTGCTGCTGCTGTGTGTGGGAGTATTCTTGGTAGCGTTTTGTGCTGTGCAGGCCATCGATATTGTTAGGTTTAGTGGGGCTTTCGAGTTCCTTCACGATCAAAGGAGATGAAGATGAACGAGGGGAGATGGGGGGGGGGGGGCTTTGGGGTTGTCATTCAACCAAGTTTAGGAACAAGGCAGGGCAAGATCAAATTTGTCAGCCCTAATTCCGGGAGCTCCCGTGCCCCAGTTACCCCTGATCAATCAGCCGGGTGTTCAAAAATGGGTTTTTTCCCGAGCCCCTCACTACACGGTAGCTGTTTGCATCTCACTTTCTTGGTTGTGGTGTTTAGCACGTCATTTGTGAGAGATGGACAGCCAGTAAAATAAACATGCGGAAGTGGGGTAGATTCACACAATACCAACCTAGTGAGGGTGCCCTACATACAAACATAGAGGGGAAATGGATCTTTACCCCTCACCCTTCTTTCACTTTCTATGATGCGGGTTCTATAGAACCTTCGCCAAGAATTCTGTGTCATCTGTACTGCAAGTCATAGTAATCAGGACATCGGATTCTGGGTAATTTACTAGCGAATCGAGACCACAGGGCTGATTGAGATTCTACAACGCCGTGGTGTAGTTCGACACAGTACCTCGGTAACCACATTAGCCATTCTCTAACTAGTTCTACCGTGGTTTTGAGCAACAAGATACACAACACAGTTGCAAATTAGTAGTATCGAAACTTGGATTAATATTCATAAATTGCCGGTACATACATAATCACTACATCCCCTCCTCCTCCGCCTGGGTATGTTTTATCTCCCTCGTTATTTCCTTCGCTCTATTCGGTCCCCATCTGTTCAGCTCCCATTCGCGATCTCCAGCAAGTTCATCGCCAAAATGTCACATACCGCGATGTCTGCCCGCCTGGCCGGTAAAACGATATTGGTTACTGGTGCATCTTCCGGGATCGGTCGATCAGTCGCCATCGAGTTTTCTCGTACTTCTCCAGATATAAAGCTTATTTTGGCTGCTCGACGTGACGAAAACCTAAAGGAACTTGCCAAGCTCCTCGAGAGTGAAAGCGGGGGGAAGACAAAAGTTCTACCTTTCAAGCTGGATGTTTCTTCCTCGAGTGATGTGAACGGATTTGTAGATAGGCTCCCAGGGGAGTGGAGGGATATTGATATTTTGGTGAATAATGCGTATGATTTCCCTTTAGAGAGAGATGTATATGGGCTAACTTAATCTTCAGTGGGCTCGTGAAAGGCGTCGACAAGGTTGGGGAAATCGCTGAAGACGATATCAATATCATGCTGTCAACCAATGTGACCGGTCTCATTAATGTAGCGGGTTCTCTTTCATCCCGAGCTGAATACTTATTGACACATCAATCAGATGACCCAAAAGATTCTTCCAATTTTTCATGCTCGTGGTGGACGCGGCGATGTAATCAATGTTGGATCCATCGCTGGTAGAGAACCTTACGCGGGTGGGAGCATTTACTGCGCGAGCAAAGCTGCCGTCCGTAGTTTTACGGACAGCCTTAGGAAAGAATTGATTGCTACCAGGATCAGAGTGATCGAGATCGACCCGGGTCAAGTTGAGACAGTAGATCTCCCATCCTGCCCTTCCGCATCCGTTTAATTTGCTAACATAGCTCCACAGGAGTTTTCTGTCGTGAGATTTAGAGGTGACAAATCAAAAGCTGATGCGGTTTATGCGTATGTTAATTACCTTTGCCATGCCTGGTACTTTGCTTGGCTGACCAAGAAATTATAGTGGTTGTGAGCCACTCACACCAGAAGATATCGCAGAGATTGTGGTATTTGCTGCTGGGCGGCGTGAGAATGTCGTATTGGCCGATACCCTAGTATTTCCAAGCCATCAAGCAGGCGCAGGTGTCTTGTACAAGAAAACTGGCTAAAGGAAGCCGATATATAATCAAATCAAAAAGTGGAAGGAATGCATGTGCCTGTTCCTGGTACAACGCGTGCTGTGTTACAACTACAATATTACATGTACCTGTTTCAAGAGCTATCCAAAAGTACACAATCAATTACGGTATTATATACCCGTCATCAATTTGATTTAATTATATGTACTTCATATTTCATATAGAGTACTGTAGCGAGCACTGCGGTTGGTACATCAGCTGTCAGCAGCTGGCGATTTTTGTCCCTTAATCATGGTACGAATATGTCAGGTCAGCAAAACCTCTGTAGATGCCAGTAATAGTAAGAAACAAAAAAGCTTGATATTTCATAGATGGGGGTAGGTCTATACTGGAAGGGAAGAAACCCTAGGTTACTGGAAAACCGTGAGTGTACTATACCTTAGCACCAAATCAGCCGGCCTGTACCATAAATACAAACTGACAGGTAGCCAAGACATACCAACCACAGTGCTCGTTACACTAGTATCACAACCACCCCAATGCAATGCTGTCCTAGCTTTTGGAATCACTACGTGACCCCTTTTTATGCTATTTATTTCAAGACCATGTATACCCAGTGCCAGGTTATATTAATTGCTATATCACTTTAAATATGGTAGTGGAACTGCATTGTTATTTGTTTACTATACTGTAACAATTGAAGACCCGTGTATGTACTACTGCAAAAGCGCTGCTATCTTGTCAGTCTTTAATTAAAGCTTTGGAAGTGTAGACTTAATTCTGCGTCTGATCCTCGATCGTATGTATAAAAGCTACATGTGGCCGGATACAGTATAGATACTACTACATGTAGGCTAGAGCCCGAATATTCACATCCCATGACCTTAGCTGACTTTGCGCTGTACTCATGTATTACTATTTAGTATTAATATCACGTCTAGTATTATAGTAGTATACGTATACACGTACCTAAAAATTACACCTGAGTTTAATTTTCATTCATAAAAAGTATATATAAATGTAAATGCTAGCTGTATGCAGTATGTAAGAACCAGAATACATGTATATATGCGCCTAGACTTTGGAGAACAGGCAAAACTGCTTTTTCAGAAAGCCATTAATCTTAACCTATTACACGAGCTACATGTAACTCGAGATACCCACCAGACCATGTAAATCTGGAACTGGTCATCCTTATATATGCCACATTTATATTTACCACGTCACCATTTTACTTGAGAAACTACATGTAAGCCGGGCAAGGATTGATTTTGTAGTGTGTCAAACTGTCATTTATTGCTACATGAAGCACGTACTCTACAGCTTGGAACCGCGTCTAGTCTAGAACATCCTACCCGAGCTTCAATCCAGTCTGGATACAGAGCTACTTATTAACGTGCACGCGTGTTCCGTAGCTACCGGCGTATTAACCTTTGGGAGAATTCGAACGTCGTGAGTCCAGATACCTTATCTTATTGCCAGGTTTGATTGGAGGGATACCGACCATACACGCATTATCACACAAAATGGTATGTACTCAATGTTTGGAGTTTTGTTTATGTTTGGGATTTGCGCAGACTATGTAGTATTGTAAATTCACATAAACTAATAATGAGACGTTGTGTTAGCCGACTCGAATGACGTTACCTGCGTGGCTCAGAATCTTTGTAAAGCTTAAGCAGAGGGGCGACCAAAAGTCCATTAGAATTGTCAAAATTGTGAACCTTCTAGCAGTTTTCACGGACCAAGGATTAGGATTAGATGTATTGCTTGGTGAAGCTCCCGAATTCTGCAATTTGGGTTCGAAGACACCCCTTGGAAATGACCACGAGGAACTGGAATTTGTTCGACGTAACTCAGAGTGGCCTATTGTTTTCAAATCGCTTATAAATCTCCCCTTCATCCATATCGGCCGTGCATACAACGATAGGGATAAAATCACAATACGCCTACAACGACCTTTTCGACATTACCTTCAACATCGCATCCAAAAGGACCCCCTCGAAGATGCTTATTGGACTATAATGTCTGTCCTCTTACTGGACAGATATACGCCATCCCGGATAATTGTGCAGTGCCGTTTTATTGGCCCCATCAACCTCAACAGCGAGATAAGATCGCTCCAGCGGCATGTATTAGAAAATCTTTCGAGAATTCCTAAGGTTTTGGAGAAAAACAATGTTTTGCTTCTCAGGCCATCGGCGAGGCTATCTTGCATTCTCTACTTCATTTCCTGGTCCCAGTTTCGATTGGATGATGGGATAATTACGAAAGAATATATAAAAGGAACACTATCAACCACCAAATCTCTCTTAGAAAGGCTCTTCGGTGACTGCCTATCAGACCCGCTACTGAAGGCCATTTCAAGACTCCATGGATACTGTCTGTTCGATGAGCTCTCTCGAGATATGGGTTTGCGTAGACAATACTGGAACTGGGTTGCATCTGCAGCAGATATCCTTAATATTTTGGAAAACCTTAACGAAAATCGCGGGGCTGTTATGGCGTCGTTCTTACCTCCAAATGCTATCGATACATTGCTCGACATGGTATTTTGTTTCGTCGACTCTGTATCCAACGGGCTTAGGTGGGCCTACAATAGTGGGGTACATCCAAGTCATCTTGGTGAAAACAAGGAAGAAAAAATCCAGGCAAATCGACTTAAAGGAGAAATCCTCGAAGAGGCGCATAGCCTCAAAGTGTTTACGATGATGGCGCTCACGTTATACACAAGTGACAGCGAATATCTTAGTGCTGTGGCTACATCACAGAACTTTCATTGTTACAGGGCTCTCTGCAACCTGGATGAGGAGATACATGAGTACCAGAGGAAATGCCTGCCTTTCATAATACATAGATTTCCTATTGTACTTTCACTGGAATTCCTGGTTTCTTTTTTCTCGATGGCACCATCTAGCTCAGGATATCAACGTCGGTTTACTCCCGTGGGTTTCGGTGGCTATTACGGTGTAATGAAGGAGCTATTCCGTGCTCGGGATAAAAACATCTATGAATGCTACAAACCTTACCACACTGTGATGGATGAGGCTACCGTAAATGGCATCGCACCTTTGCTCTACAAGCTCACGAAATATAGCAAAAGATACCCAGATTCTACTTACTTTGAACAAGCGGAATCTATCGCGGCGCATAACTTTCTTGCCGGAAGGAATTTCCACACCTGGTCTCTCACAGAGCTACATAGAGGGCATAAGGTTTTTTCACAAAGCTTCAAAACACTATGTCAACTGTACTCTAAGGCTCAAATGTTCCGTGAGGCTGGAGTACTGGCAAGTACATATCTTGCACTTTTTCAGATCTCAAACCCTCCTATAGATTTAATAGGATGGGGTATTCATGAGTGTATTAAGACTCTTGTAATGTGCTTGGATAATTTAGGACACATGTCGCCCTTTGATTGTTCAGCGGTGAGAGAGCACGTTAACCACCTCCACACCAATGCAAGGCTACAGGATACATTGGATATTGACGTTCGATTGGCTTTTTTGATAACCTGGGTACATGCCGTTGATTCCGACGAGCCAGAGGGGGATGTAAATACCTTACTTTGGGAGCCGGGCCCTGAAAACATCGGAGACATTCCCTTAGAGAGTCTTATTGAAAAGCAAATATATGCATGGATGAATCTAGTCACCGAAGATGATGAATTCCGCGAGGCCCGGCGGCAACTGGTGAGGTCTTCATCCTTGGATGCTGCTGACCGCATATCTAAGGCCAATGATCGATTGGGTATTCAGAAGGAGAACCTCTTAAAAGAAGGTTTCAACTCCCTTTTTCTATCCCCATAGATGATTCTGTATGGATTGATAACTTATGATGCTGAAACTTTAGGAGAATTCCCTCTTCGTCTCCTGTTAAGCTGTTTAGAATATACAGAAGAGCGTTCCCAGCTGGATTCATGGATTACGGCTTACTCCTTGCAAGCACAATTATGAATAGGTTCTCCAAGTTCGTGGGTTTAATTCTGGTATGTGATATTAGTAATATCCCCCAGAGGTGACTCCGAGGAAACAACTCTTTTACTTATACGCTATGTAGAGTGTTGATAATGGCTTTAGGAGAAAACTTCGAACAAGGACAGCCCATTATTTTCATTTGCTTAATTCCCCCTACCCTACTAGCCCTGATATCGATTAAACCAAACTCGGCACATAGATGACGCATACATGTACATGTGACTTGAAGAGAAGCTACGATTACAAAGAATGAGTGTATTTTGACCTACCAGGCACCCAAATTCGACGATGCCTTAAATACATGTACCTGATACACGTGTTTGGTCTATACAAATAGACTCTCACTCAATGGACACTCGCTTATCTGCGCTGTGTGTACAGTTATCCGCATAAATTGAGCACATATTTACCTTTAATTAAGATAGCCCCACCTTTGTGATTGAAACTACTTCTTGGAAATTGTGAGACTAAAAACAGACCGTAAAGTAGTATACAGCTGTCTAGATCGATCTCTTTCTATACCCTTACATCAGAATCGCCAGCTATGTCAGCTAGGAAGTAGGAAGGCTCCCGGGCTCCCAGGTTACATGTATTCATTCGAGCCGGCTTTCTTATTCAGGTGAGACGGGCTCGTTGAGGGAATCTAGGAGAATATCATCCGCCGCTACAGCCGGTTGGTTGGTCGGTTAGTTGATCTATTTACCATCGCCGCTGGTTAATATATATAATGAATATTATCAGAGTGATTCAGCGATTACGGCCATTCGAGTATATGATTGTTCTGTTGGGATTTTCCTGTGACTCGGAGGGAACGTAGGCTAGGTTAAAGTGGGTTAGGATGGATCCGAAAAAACTGGAAAAGTGATCATTTACCCTCCCGGAACGATATATACCGTAAGTGAGACCGACGTCGTCCGGCCACGTCTAACATAGGAGACACGTACATAGTCTCGTAAACATACCCTACGAGCAGCTTCCTGCTCACCGTAGTGCCTGATGCATTAACCTTCCGGCACATTTTTTTTTGGGGGGGGGGTATACCGACACCCGCTAGCTTACTGTCGGAGTCCAAATTTCCTATATCCAGGCTTGAATTGTGATATCGGGGTCTGTATTGTCAAAATAAACCTTAATTTTCATTTCGGAGGCTAAAAAAAACTTTAATTTTTGCATGTAAACCGGGCCCTGACAGCCTCTCCGACGTCAAGAGCCCTCAACACCCCGGTAAAAAGATCTAACCACATGTCGGAGGGACAATACTCCAGCCCCTCCGGCAGAATAGCTGGGCACGAGCCTAGGAAACACCCCAAACTAGCGGGTAGCACGTGGGGCGGCGTCATTCGCGATGGATTACCTACATCACAAATCATCACTCGCAATCTCAATATGATCGATCGCTTAGACCTCCACAGCTGGAAAATCCAAAAGTATGCAGCTGATGCTATGCATTGTCTATTTGATTGAATTCATATAATCTGCTTATCTTGTAGGTGTATCTCTACACCGCACCTAGCGCTAATCCGGATCTAATAATTGAAATTCTCCCTAGTACTGCAAAACAATATCCCGACGCGCCTCCATCCCTTAAGCTCTTACCAAAGCAGTCCTTGGTCTGGCATTACATCAAGCAACACCTCTAAATATTTCCTTCCTTTATCACCGTCCAGATGCCTCGCATATAGGTAGCATCTTTGTCCCTTCCACTTTTTATTTGACGCCACCAGCTCACACAGTTCTGGCACCACCCTCACATGTACCTTGAACGTCATCTCGGCATCGTAAACAAGCAGCACCGCTCCCCCCATCGATTCCTGCATCCTCACAATAAACCTCTCCTTGGGCCCCCTCCTCGCTACGCTTGTCAGGAACCCCCGGTCGGGAAATGGGTTTAACATGAGGTGTGCTGCCTCGCCATTTCCTTCTTCTATACGCACAAGGTCCCGTTGCGATAAATATTCATTTACTATACTTCTCGTCTCCGTACCGCTCTTAGAGTCTATAAGAGGGAACACTATGAAGTTTATTGAGCGTGGGGGCGGGGAGGTGGCAATGCGGGTACAGAGCTCTTTGTGTGTGTCTCTGTGTGACTTTTGGCAGCCCTGTGAGCAGTAGTAGACGATACCGCAGCCACCGCATAGCAAAAACGCAGGTTTGGCGCACGATACGCGTGCGCATTTCTGGCTCCTGCTAAGCCGCTCAAGAGCCTTATGCGAGAGGGGATCCATGGGAAGTATAAACGACGCCACAAAGTCCTTTTCATACACCTTGTCCCGTGCCCGATCGAACATCTCTTCGCAGCCGGGTGGAAGCCGGTGTGAGTTGTAGACTAGCTGGCGAAGCAGTAGATGGCTATTCGCAACTGTGCCCTCTCTCATCTGCGATATTGCACCGTCAATCTTTAGGGCGTGCTGCATCCACTTGAGTGATGGAGAGTTTGGGCCTGCATGTTCTGTAGTCTCGTGGGCAAAGAGAACGAAGAGAATAGGGAGTTTAGGGTCAAGGGCCGTGCACCTGGCGTCGACGATACGAAGCGCGATACCAGAGTCCATCCGGGGATCCTGCAAGGTGATTTTATACTGGCTGTTATCAAAGCAGTCCGCCATACCATTGAGCATTTGACAGGCATCATGGTAGAATTTGTAGTCGTGCATTTTACTAACTCTCCCAGTCCTGCCCGACATCATCTCCATCTGCCCAATATTGAAATTCTTTGAAAACGCTTCACACATTGGGCCGCTTCCTGGCGGGGATCTACGGTGGGCTGGACCGCTTCTACCTGTCCAGGGGAGAAGGGACTCATATTTGGTCTCAGATTTCGGAAGCACGGTGGAGAGGCGCTGGGAGTCTGAGAGGAGAAGTTTCAGGCGGCGTTCGAGTTCTGCGATGTTGGGTGGGGAATTGGAGAAAATCCTCTCGAGATTGACAGAAAAGCCAGAGAAAATCTCGAGGAGCGTTCTGGATGTGGCCGATTCAATGAATTTGACTGTATGCGGTGGCAGTGGTGGCGGCGTTAGGCTCGTCATTCTAAGTCGTGAGGATGAGTATTTATGTATATAATGAATATTGGTGACGTTAAAAAACCTGGAGATTTTTTAGGACTTGGATGGAGACGGGGATATGAGGTAGAGTATTGAAGTGTCAGGATGCCTGAGAAATGTTATGTAGGTGAATAGATACATGTACATAGTTACTTATTCGAGCTGTGAGAACGAAAAAGCATTGTGATCATTTCCGATTGGTAGGTTTGTTTTACGACCACATGCTAGTCGCTTAAACAGGATTTCAGGCATCCCGCCATTTCAGCAGCTACAATGTACCTACATTACTACCAGTCTTAGGCTCTCAGCTAATGATTTTGCTTGTAACATGTACAGGGTGGTCACGGTAAGTGTGAAGAACCCGTTTTGACTGGTCGACTGAAATGCAAGACCTGATTCGCTGATATTGGGGCCAAGACAGGACACCGCCACTGCCACGTCAAAAGGTTGTGAACTCCGCTTGAGTTGTGAACTTTTGACTGTTCGACAATGTGAACTACCCGTTCGACGACGTGAGACCTGTCCTGACACTGTAAAGTGCCCGTTCGACGCCGTGAGACCTGTGAAGCACCCGTTCGACTTCGTGAGACCCGTTTTGACACCCGTTCGACGCCTATGAGACAAAAAGGCAGGCATTCTGATCACTTTGGTGATCAGGTCCGGGGCAGGGAGACCACGAGGGATGAGAGATTTAGGATCATCACTTTAAGGGACTCTGGGATGACTTGGAAGGAGGTTGGAATAGCTGTTGAAATAGATTATCGTATCTGTCAAGGAATCTATAGAAGGGCAAGAGCAAATTGCACACCTACCAATAGAAGAAGACAATGCAGACCAACTATCTTCAATGAGGCAGAGAAAGAAAGGCTACGAGAGTTTGTTAAAAGGGATAAGGCTACAAGAAGACACTATTGAGAAGCTATAATACAGGAGATGGGATATGCCTGTTCTCCTCGTACTATTAAAAATGTCATGGCCTCCATAGGCTACCACAAAACACTCCATCGGAAGAAGTAAGTTTACTATTTTTAATCTAGATCTACTACTATATCACTAACTCTTCTACTAGATGGGGTATAAGGCAACAGAATCTCCTTCAACGAGTAATATGGTGTTAGGACAGACTGCACATAGACATATGAGGACTGGTACAGGACTGTGTGGTTAGATGAGTCTACGTTCAATACTTCTGGCTTTGGCCATAGACATTGGTTAATCAGAACATCAGAAGAAAAATACCACCCAGACTGTATCGATGATACCTGACAGTCAGGTAGGAAGAGTTTGATAGTCTGGGGTGCATTCTTCGGAGAGATGAAGACAGTGCTTGTCTTCACACCGCCTGGTGTCCCCATCAACTCCAGAGTATATGTGGATCAAATACTAGACTCATATCTTATTCCTTTCTGGCACACTGCTTGTAAAGAATATGGGTGGACATGGATAGCAGAGGACAATGCACCTAAGCATAAGAGGCAGGCAAATATTTGCAGACAGATCAACGAGGTGGATACTATTCCTTTGCCCTCACAATTATCAGATTTTAATTTAATTGAGGCACTATGGGGGGAGATAGAAACTGATATAGGAGAGGCAGTTGGACGAGTTGAGGATATAGAGGTTCTAAAAGTCATGCTGAGGAATGCCTGGAATAATATTGGTATAGATAGGTTAGATACTTTGATTAGGAATATGCCCCGTAGACTAGAGGCAGTGATTGCTGCTGGTGGAAGGGCTACCCCATATTAGATAGTTTCTTTCACCCACTCGTGGGTGAAAAACAATCTACCCGAGTGTTCTTCACTACCTGGGCCACTCCTGGGTTTTCTTCACTACGTTTATTGTACCCGGAATGATGTTCTTCAGACTTCTTTCCTATATACAAATAATACGTCTTGGCTGAGTCTGCACTCAAAAATCACTGGTCGCTGTTCTCTACCACCTGTGGTATCAATGCGAAATCGGTTCAATCAATCGGGCTTCTCGGTATTTAACGTGCAAACCCTGTACATATGTAATTACAATACATACATGTCCGTCTGACCATTGGTCTATCAACCCCGCGAGTTTATAGGTACATGTAGGTATAACACCCTTTATGTAGTTATGTATAGTCACTATCAAGAAGTCTTCATGATGGCGGACACCACGCCCACCAAAAAAAGGTACAAAGCGATACACCAAAACACAAATATCTTTGAATAACTTCACAACCACAACAGATATTAAAATTCTGTTTGAGATGAGAGCAGGTATAGCCCTCAAGAGGCTCTACGTTTAAGCAAAAATTAACAGCTGCTATTGATGTCAAGTTATTTAAATTTTGGTGTATTGCCTTTAGGATTGGGTGCAGCTTACGTAGATAGTCACTTTGGACATGGTATAGGTTCACAATCACAGAATCTATTACTTTTGATTAGATAGAAAGTCTCTTGAATACTATATCTGCTCCTGTACCAAACATAATTTTAATATCTTTTGTGGTTGTGAAGTTATTCAAAGATATTTGTGTTTTGGTGTGTCACTTTGTACCCTTTTTTGGTGGGCGTGGTGTGCGCCATCACGAAGACTTCTTGGTAGTGACTGTATATATAGTTCGAATAATTAATCTTGTCCCACACCTGTTGTAGTACTCGTCGCTGTCAGTTCACGATAACCATTACCCCCGCCAATGTCAAGAATGTCTTCAAAAGTGAGAACGATCTTCCACGCTGATCCCACCACAGACATTTCTTCACCATACACTATTTTCTCTACCCTGACTGCAGCTCATGCCACTACTATCGCCGCCCGCTGGCGCAAGAAAACGGTGGCCCTTCGCGCCAAATGCCTTTCTCGCGCATGGGCCACTGCGAACGGCTCTGTAAACAAAACAATTCTTGAGCGCCGTCCGAGACTGAGTGATGCTATTCTCAAGGATAGGCCGATCTCGGAGTTGACAATGGACGAGCTTTTGTACGCTTGTATCAACTTAGAGCAGCTAGCCACCAATCCCGCGACACTATTGAACTTTGTTTGTTCACGCGCAGTGCGTCATCCAAGTGCGTTTGGGAGAGAGGATTATAGATGCATTGTAAGGCCTATATTAGAACTATTCGGTGTGATTAACGGAAACCGTCGGAGGAAGGGAAAGGTAGAGGTTGTCGTTATCGTGGGTGACGAGACCGAATATGGGGTTTTAAAGACTTATACCGAAGAGTCGAGGGAGTACACTGAGGGTATCAAGAAGATGCTAGTCGCCCCTGTGGAAGTTGATGGGGCGTATCTGATGAGATGGCAGAAGACTATTTTAGAATTCTGTCTTGCACTTGTCAAAGATATCATTTCCCCTATCGATCTCAAGAAAGACCCTCCCATAACTACGACTATAGTTATTAGTACAACATCTAAGCTCCTCGAAAATGTACCTAACTACTCTCACTTTGAAGAAGGCCTTGATTCATACTCTGCCTCCATACTCCTCAGACCCTACACACTCCCACCCATCACCAGTATTGCAGATACGTACAACCTTGCCGTCTCTCACCTCCGCGCTGCTGAAGACCATTTGGACCTCCTACACACAAACTCAAACTATTTTATCGCTCATGTTACGAATCAACTCACCCATCGGCTAGAGAACACACCGGCGAGGTCGCCTCTCACTATCCATGACGCTCTCCGCCAGATCCTGTACAATGCTAATGCTTCATCCCTCATCTGGAGTCAGATTTGCCTCGTCCTTGAAGACGCTGAGCTAGATAACGAGTCCAACACTGAGCTTGCCAATACTATTAACCCCCTTCTCACCTTTCTCGAAGACCTTGAAAGGTCCGCACTTAAACTCTACTTTCTCACCGCCAGAGAAAGCAAGACCGAGAACGCGGTTAATCACCTTCTCATGTGTCTCGATCCCACTAGTCCCTCTGCCTACTCCAACTGGCTCACGCTTCCTAGAATTGCAATAGAGATCGAGCATCTTCTCGCGGACACCCCGCTGCTCAAGCCCTATGTCGACCCATATGTAATGAGTATCCTCTCTAGTGTTGCCGCTATATGTGAGGTTCGCGAAGCCGTATGTCGAGTGGATCCCTCCACGATAGAGGATAATCAAGCTAGTACCAAGTTCGGAGTGACACTACAAGAGCTCTCACAGCTCTGGGAAAAGATTGAGCTTGGTTCTTTCAGCGATGTATCGGGGCTACAGGAATCGACGACTGGCGACGGGCTTAAAACTTTCTGGGGCCGCGTTAGTGTAGGATTTGAGAAGCTCAGCGGGAAGACTATGGGAGCGTGGATCATGAACAAGCAGGGACGTATCGTAGACATGAGAAAGAAAGGGAAATGGCATTGGCAGGGTAATGTATGGATGTCAGAGAAACTAGAATATATCGAAGAATACAGGAAGGCAGAGGGAAAATTACCGGAACTCGTCGGGATCGCGGAATGGGACGATGTGGACGGGTATGGGGCGGTTGGTTTCAATATTTTTTGTCATCAGTGGGGATCTAGCTGCTAACGGCATATCAGCCGAGCCCTGTGCATACGAATGGGAGAGACTTTTCTAAAATGATAGAAACTTCTACTAATAATAAGGGAGAGGGAAGGGTTAGTAAACATGCATCTCCAAATTACTGCAACTCGATCATTGACACTGTGACTGACAACATTATCTAGGATACCAAACGCATAACCCCGGACGCAAACCCAGATTCAAGTAAGAAAATATCGGTAAATAAGCGCATGTATAATTCAATAATGCGTTTATCCAACGGTACTCCGGTGCCGTGGAAAGACTTCGTGCACCTCATGACGAATCTAGGATTCACGATGGAACATAAAGGAGGGAACTTGGTTAGATTAATTCCAGCTGCCAAAGGAGATGAAGCAATGGTCGTGAAGAGACCACACCCAGAGTCGGTGATGCAGAGCTTGGAGTGTATGTTTACTTGGACAAGGCTAGAACAGTGTTATGGGTGGAAGGTTGGGATATTTGAGAAGCAGCTGGGTACTACTGAGGTTAAGGTTGTAGGTTAGTTAGGTAATATGGCATGGGTTCATGTATATTAAGACCACACATTTCTACTCAATTATGGTATCAAGTATCTAATACTGGGCGTGGCCAGGAATAAGTTCTTGGCCGTAGATCATCAGAATTTGTTATCGCGCCGAGGCGCGCCGAGTCGGAACTTCAATGTTCCCCATGAGGCAGCCACATCAATTGATCAATAGAAATGAAGGAGTGCTAGTTTACCAAAGAAGTGACATTTTCAGAACAAATTTATGAGGCCATTCACTACTGCTATTCCTGTGTGCTCTAGAGGTGGAGAATTCTGCAAACTTTCACAAAGATATTTATTTTCCACCGTATCATGTCCTGGTAATAATTTCAACAAGTATGTAACCTTCCAGAAGAATTGTAACTATATGTAGTTAGAATAGTCTTTTGAGTTGGATTTTTAGGATTATTAATCTACAACTTTTACGGAAACCGTAGGACGTACGAAATGATTGTTAAAAGTGATTAGTTCCGATGTGGTTTCTGTTTTTCCTCGTTGCGATTCATGTATTTCGGCGACTTTTGTTTCCATGCATGGTGCATGGCATTAAAGGATTGTGATACTACTCTCACCATATGAGATGGTCGGAACATTTGTCACAGATGAGGAAATCGTCAAAACGGATTGGAAATTCAGTGCGGAAGGAGGCATTTAGGATTATAAGCCGGAAATAATAACGTTACATACAAGGCAGATAGTCTTGATTGATAGAACTGACGGGTAGAAAGGAAACAAAACGAAAACAAGCACAAACAAAGCGTGTACTGACCACCCCAAAAATAAAAAAAAGAATTGAGAAAATAAATGAATAAGATTCGGTTCACAAAAAGGACCCCTAGGGACCTGACCTCTCTCTATAGGCCTTACTGATGTACTTGATGTAGATTCCTTACCTCTTGCCTCGTCACGCTTTCTCAATCGTGGCTTGGCAAGAGAAATTGATCCGGAATTTTTTCAGTATCAGTGGTGGGGTAGATGGAATTCATAGAAGCAAAAACGCATGAACGTAAGAATGTAGACTTAGATGAACCGAAAAATCAACAGTAAACCCGCAAATGAGATAAAAAACAAGTATAGAACCAAACATGAGGCCGTGACAATTTTGTAGAAACAAGGACACTCTTACCACTACCTGCCTCCCCAACCATTCTACCAAAACCAAACATTCCCGGCGATTATCGTACTACTCAAAACTTGGTAAATCCCTTCACCTACTCGCCAAAAAATAAAGACTGTTGATATTTTGGGTGCGGTTGGACGAGTACAACTAGGGTCCGTTTATAGGACATAAGGAAAGAGGGCACTATTTCGAAGTATTAGAAAACCTGAGCTCATTCGGCTGGAGTACTATTCATATAAACTTACCCAATCGCTAGTACGGCTGTTAATCCAATCAGAGCCTTGATCTTGACCTTTTCCCTCTTCAATTCCTCCTCTATGGCCAACCTGGACTTCTTGGAACTATGCTTCAGGTCATCATCGTCCTCAACATCATCCTCATCTTTATCCCCAACGGTAGCGATCTCCTCGGCTTTACGCTTAGTCCCTGGAGTCTTTGGAGCAGCAGGGGTATCAAGTTTGCGTGCCTCGTCAACCATTTCCTGTGCTTTGGCAATCATGTTTTTCACGTCTTTCACGTCGTTAGAATTATCAGGCAATGAAATTTCGCCGTCTTCGGTTGCTGGCAACTCGAGTTTAACGTGGGTTGTGTGAACTTCGACATCGCCTTTCGTCTCAACCTCTTCGTCGACCTCAACGCGAATTTTCGGTTCGCTTTTAGCCTCGCTTTTCGCCTCGATCTTCGCCTCGATCTTCGCCTCACTTTTCGTTTCACTTTTTGGCTCGTTTTTCAGGTCACTCTTCGCAGGAGTTGTCAAGGCACTGTTGGTCTTGGTGCCGTTTGTGAGGGCGGGAACGGTCTCAGTGGTTGTGACAGTTGTGGTCTCGGTAGTTGTGAGAGTGACTGATTCCTCGTCGGTTTCAGTGATCGGTGCAACTGACTTCTTTAGAGGACTGTCCTTGGCAGCGGCCGCCTTGGAAGATCTTGTCTTCCGTGGTGTGCTGGTGCCTAGACGTTTGCTAGGAGAAGCAGACCGGGTCGATCGTCTGCGGGTAGCTGGCGCAGTGCTGGAAGCAACTGATCCAGCATCGGATTCGGCGGGTTTGAAATATGGTGGTGGAGGAGTAATGTTGCGCTTACGGTGATCAGAGGGCACAACTGCTTCATTGTCAAGCAAAGCTTCGATCCATACTCGCATACCATAGCTAATGAGTGGAGTGTCAGTGACGAACAATCATGATGTGACCATTTTAACATACTCGTCGGCCAGTGTCAAAGCTATTGGGGCAATTAGCAACAAACACATTGTCAAGTACAGTTATGATCAATTACCGTCAGTAGGGTGGACCCAAAGGTTTCCAGCAGTTTCCTCGTTCGAGGTCTGCGCAAAGTGTTCCCTTACGTACTGTCTCTCAAGGTCCTCCTCCTTTTTCTTTGCCCAAGGGAATGAGGCCTTGAACCTAATGCACACCGAACAAGCCTGTCAGCTTCCAATAATATAAGCTCCAGTGAATGACAACGTTTTATTCGCCAGCTCTTTCACCAGACTTCCGCGGCAGCACTTGATTGACCAGAACCGGAAAACGGCCTAAATGGCCAAGAAATAGACGGAGAAAATTGCAGAAATTAAATTCAGAAGAGAAAAAAACTGACATTCCAGTAGAGCTCACAAATCCATCTTGGCTCCTTCGCATCAAAAAATAGGATTCTGGTGCGGAGTTTCCGAAGATCTCGGAGCCATCCAGGGGTTGCGGGAGCGGCGCGCGTAGGTGCACATAGCTAAAAAGGTTCGCGTCGTTGGGAGATTTGGTTCCCAAATTTGTTTGGCCGAGGCGACGCATCTCGACGAGTTCGTTGTCTGTGGATGGGGGGTCAGCAGCAGTGGATGATTGATCGTTGTGGTGACGCGATGACGGGAGCGCGCCGGGGCGCAAAGGGGAAGTTTGGGGGGAGGTACATGGAGGGATATTAGAACCCTCGAGCATGGGGTTATGTCGAGAAGGCAAAGAGCGCTTCATGATCTTTACTGAGACGGCAGGCATAGCTGACTGGAATTGTAAAGAAGAAATATGGTCTATGGTGGTTTTGAAGAAGTATGTGTGTGAGAAGGGTGAAATGAGAGAGGGGAGTCGTGTGGGAGGGTAAGTAAGTGAGTAAGGCTCAATAAGTGGAGTAATAGAAGTTTAGCGGGAAAAGGAAGTTGGTCGGGGTTAGGTTGCAGGAGTGAAGCGTGTTCGGTCGCTAGGGTAACAACAAGTGGCAGCTTTTTTTTTAGCAAAACCAACAATTTTAAGAGGAGCTAGGAAGGTTGAGGAAGAAGATTGAGATTGATGAGGAAGAGATGAATTGTGACGAGAACTTGTAGGAGAAGAATACCAGGAAACACGAGAGATAGTCAATAACGTTCCCTTTTCCCCGCACTCTCTGTTTGGATATAATCTGTACTAAGTAATACTACCCGCGTAGAGGATAAGTAGCAGTGGAGATTGGAATCGATAACGGTGGTTCGGTAGAATAATTGTGACCAAATGCAGAACAACTGGCAGGGAAACGCTGGATGATGCAAGTGGGTATGTATGCCAGGGGGGTTGGATCCATTAGTAGAGTATAATACTCATATGTACTGTGCCCACACAGCATCTCAGTATGAATACTACTTTGCATTGTAGATAGTATTGGGTTAGGGCTTTCTTACTACCCCTCGAAGGTTGGATAGAAACTCTCCAATACCATGATATTTTACAACTCAATTATTAGAGGGTTTTAGCTACACAATTTGGACAGAAACTCCTGCACCTCCTATTGGTTGTAACGTGCATGAGTTTCTGTTTAAACTGCCCGAGTTTCTGTCCAAATTGTGCAGCTAAAAGCCTCTAACATCAATCTCTCGAGTACTGAGTAGAGAATAAAACGTTAGCCTGAACAAGTTCCAAAGGCTGCATACATGCATGACTATGACTTCTCTTCGTGTACTAGTAACATGTATCCAACAACACGCGCTGATAGGTGATAGGTACAATTCTCCACATGCTAGAAGTAAGCGATTGGAAAGGGTATCTCTAGCACTCCTTCAACCGTCCACCATGTGGTCAAATTCACAATCAACCCTCGTGGGGGAAGTTCCCGCAATTGGATCATTTTACTCTTGCTCTAGCCACAATTTAGGCGTAAATACATGTCCAAAACCCCAGAGAGGCTGTCAGGGCCGAACAGATGATTGAGGTGACAAAGGGGGAAAGAAGGGACATTCGCTGCATGCAATTCCTAAGATGAAAGTGAGAGGAGTGAAGGAAATATAACGGCTCCAGTGCCAGTGTATATCATGTTCATTATTAACTACATGTACCAAGCGATCATGTATCTGCCGCCACCTGCTATTTGCAGAACAAATCGCGTGTATTGTATAAATTGTGGACCGTCTCCGAAAGCTGACCACACCCTTGGCCCCCCTGAACAGCACAATCTAGAACTTCATACCCCGCCAACGACTCAGGTGTTCTCTCTCTCCTTCTCCCCTCCATCCTCACTAGCAACCCACACAACATTCGAGTCTTGTGAACATCAAATCCTTCAAACAAGTTATTACAATGGCTTCTCATGCTGATGATGAATTGGTACCCACCACCACCGAAGGGTAAGTTCTATCCGGTTGAATTTTAGTATTCCCATTGTTTCTCCCCGCATGACTGGGCGGGGTTTGTCCCCCAGACTCTGACCAACGAAGCTGACGAGTCGGTTTGTGTTATAGGTACAAAGTTGGAGAGAAGAAATCTGTCGATGAGTACAACAAGCTAGGTTAGCTGTTTCTTCATATTGTCACTACTTTTGATGTAGTGCTTTTCATCTCTCATGGTTGATGTAAGGTTCTACTAGGAGAGCTTCAAACTAATCAACTTTCTACAATCATAAAGATGCTGAAGATGAATCTCTTGCCCGCTGGAAACAGTCCCTGGGTATCGGAGCCTCCTCTGCTGGTTCCATCGGTGAACCCGGTGATATGCGCAAGGTAGATCATCAAAACCTTATTTCACCACATCCGTCAAGACTGATGAACGATATCACAGGTTGTTATTCTTCAGCTCTCGCTTCTGATTACTGGACGTCCGGATGTTGTTATCGACCTCAGTGCTCCTGGTGCCGTTGAGACTCTAAAGGAGAAGCCTTTCACCATCAAGGAAGGGAGTGAATACAAGATGAGAGTCAAGTTCAGAGTTCAGCACGAAGTTATCTCTGGCCTGAGATACCTCCAGCTTGTCAAGAGGAAGGGCATCAAAGTCGACAAGTCAGACGAAATGATGGTGAGTTCCCGAAATAGGAAGAGAATGGTTATGGACTCGGTGTTCGATGAGCTGGTGAGCTGATTAATGCGCAGGGGAGCTACGGGCCAAATACTGCAGAGAACCCGTTCTATGAGAAGATTTGTAAGAACACAAATATAATTCTCCTTTGGTTTACAATCGTATAAATATTGACCCAACCTTATTCTAGTTGCTCCTGAGGAAGCCCCGTCAGGTATGCTTTACCGCGGACACTACGAGGCCCTGAGTAAGTTCATGGATGACGACCATAACACCCATTTGGAGTTTAGCTGGAGCTTCAACATTTCTAAGACCTGGGAATAAATTCACGCTCTCTCTCTGCCAATTATTTTTGTTTTTCGGGCAGTAGTAGTTATACCTAGCACAGCATGACTCTTAATGGGCGCTCATCCTGCTTTTCGATGTACTCTTCCCTTCGTTGTTGAATCCTTTTTTTTTTCTACCGTCGGTTTTTCAAATATCATGAAGCGCATTTCTTGTCTGAGCGTAGGTTGAGGGCACAGTAAGGGCATTTATTTAGGAGTATTTTCTGAGATGTATTCGTGTGAAAGTTGAAATGAAACATGGAAAAACATGGATAATTTCGAAAGTTGCGCCCTTACTTTTGTGTTATCAATCTACATACTCACTTCCTATCGGCTCAACTCTACTTATGAGGGGTAAGGGGCCATTTATCCCATTGCTGTGGTGAGGTCACCATGTGGCAACCCAACCGTCTAGAAATGTACCTGACTGGTATTTGCAGCACTCTACCGCAAGAGCCGCAGATAGATCCCAATCAGCAGGTAAGTCTGAACACTCTTGTCTTTCTTTCTCCCGCCCTTTCTCAAACAACAGAGACTCACAACTAATAACAGATCCGCAGCAGATTTTATCTTGCCTACTCGAGTATAATATATCCCGTCTAATTTGATTTCCCTCATACGTGGATCTCAAAGTCCTCAGCTATTGATCTGCAGCCCACACATGGCCGTCGTGTACAACCTTTTTCCAGGGCTTTTCATCCCCGTGATGAAGACCGAAAACCGGGTCACGAGGGCAGATGCACCAGGGGTTGCCGGCTATTGCCCCGCATTTGACACTTGACGTAGGCATTCATGCCTGTTCTCCTTCCTTTTGCTTGTGATTTTACCTTTGCGTAAATCCGGGCCCGGAGGTGAGAATCATCGATTTTAGTGTAAGTTGACACGTCCGCTTGGATTCTTCCGCTCCCTGAGACACATCCCGTTGGCTGTATCCTGTATAGTTCCATTCTATTGTTCTGTTCTGGTGATCCCTTTCTTCCTATTCGGCCCCGCACGGCGCGCGACGTACTCCACACTAAGCTTTGAGGTCACGCTACCCATTTAGTTATTTCCTTCCATAGAATTCTCAAAGTCGTGGTATATTTAAGCAGTCTTCCCAGGGTTTTCTTCCTCAAACCGTTCGCTCTCTCTCCATTTCTTCTCTTCCTCGCTGGTCTTGTTGCCCCTGTCTGGTCGAGCTTGTTTGTGATTCGATATTCCCATCCACGGCTTGCCAAACAATTAAACCACCATGGTTCTTATCGAATATCTTTTCGCCGCCTCCCTCTTGGGGGCCAACAGTGTGTCTGCGTATGCCGTACCGTCGGTCCCCTATCAAACTCCCCTTGGATCTGAGTCCAAGAGATTCTCAAAGATTTCCGAGCATACATCTCTAGTCCCCCCTAATGACAACCTCGACAAATGGATCACAGAAGAATCTGAATTCGCATGGGAGTATCTTCTCGATAATGTTGCGCCTTACGGTAAGAATACGGAAGGCGCAGCGCCGGGTACGGTCATCGCTTCTCCGTCCAAATCCTATCCGGACTACTTTTACCAGTGGGTTCGTGATGCGGCTATCACGATGAAGGGAGTCGTGAATGCGTATGCAAAAACAGATTTCCAGGATCTCAGGGATACGGTGGAGCGATACTTGGAGATTCAAGAAAACATCCAAAGTACGGCTAATCCGAGTGGTGGGTACAGTTCTGGCGGTCTAGGGGAGCCTAAATTTATGGTTAACGGCGAGCCATTCACCCAGTTAGTATTAACTCTCTTTGGAATAGTGGTGTTTATTCTTTCTCTTCCTCTTTCTCTTTCTTTCTCTTTCACTTTCACTTTCACTTTCGCTTTCACTTTCACCTTCACTTCCTCTTTCTCTTTCTCTTTTTTCTTCTTTCCCCACCCTTTCCGAAAATAGCTAACACCACCTCGATAGGCCATGGTCGCGCCCGCAGAGGGATGGTCCGGCACTCAGAATTCTTACTCTGACCAGTTATATCAAGACTCTCAACGAGTCGGAGCCGGAGCTTGTAACTGGGGAATGGTTGACGAAATTGTATGATCCAACGAAGCCTAACTTCTCCATAATCAAGGCCGATCTCGAGTATATTGCGCGCACATGGAACGAACAAGGCTTCGATTTATGGGAAGAAACCATGGACCTTCATTTCTTCACCGCACTAGTTCAACATAAAGCTCTCGTAGAAGGGCGTGATCTGGCGAGACTACTTAATGATCACCAAGGCGCGGCCTGGTATGATCGCCAGCAATCTACGCTGAAGGGTTTCCTGAAAGACCAGTTCTGGAGTAAGGAAAAGGGGCATCTTCTTGCATATCTCAACACCCCACAGAGGACAGGGTTGGATTGCAGTTTGATGTTAGGCACAATTCATGGTGGCCAGAGCGATCTTTTCCCGGCGTGGAGCGATGAAGTGC